CCAGCTGTTGCCTGGCCGTCAGTTGGCTATGTGGTCAAATCCACACTGTAATGACGTTGCAGTTTGAAAAAAACGTATACATTGTACAAACACACACCACGTAAACCAAGTAACCAAATTGTACGACATTCAACATGATTCGTTCGTCTTTCAACAGTATCGTTTTTCACAAAAACTAAAACGTTTATGCACTATATCAAACTTGCCATCGGTGAATGTGCCGGCATTCTACGTTGGTTACTTAATTCCTACATATATCGTACAATATATTTCCCTCCTCTTCCACTCTCCCCACCTATCGATACCATATCCAAATACATCACGAAGATCAATGCAGTAAGCAGTTTTTAATTCGGTTTGAAATTCGTGTTTCTATGACATCCGCTCAATGTAATGCAAATATACTGAAAATTACATGCACTGTAAATCTGGCCAGTTTTGACACATTACGAAATCCCCATTCACATTCACTGTTCTTTTGCGTAATTTATAATATGTCTTATTCAAATGTCAAATTTAGCTGGGAGAATTGAATTTAAAAGACAGCCCCCAAAAAACAAAACAAAAACAACTACAAAACAAAAAAACAAAACAAAAAACAAAACAAAAACAACCACACACCAATTAACAAAAAAAACAAAAACGAATCATTGTGATCAGCAGTATTTTCGTTGTTGTTTGATCGAATCACCAATGCTCTTTCTGAAACATTGTCGATGAACCGAGAATCGCTGAGAATGTTGTGAATTTTCAGCCATATTGCTGAGTGTTTATAAAATCACGTCACACGCACACAAATACCTGAATTCCTCACACAGTTCAAAATAAACTGACAAATGGTCTTTGTCACCAATACCAAGTGTTTCAGTGAAATCTAACGAAATATCTATCAGATGCCGCGCTGGGAAAGGACCACTTGTCTCAGATTTCACTCTGTGTATCTGTTCCCCTACTTTTGTTGCAAACACTTGCTCATTAGTTTTAGACCATGCATCGGAAAGGTATCGTAGCAAGCGATAGTAAAACAAAATAGGTGTATTCCAATGATTTCCGAAATTCATCACAACATATTGTACAGTTTCTGAAAGCGTGACGCCATGACTGACGCAAACTCACACACACCGACGATAAAAGTTCCTCTCATTTCTGGCTATTTCCCTTGGTCACAATTAAAACCAAAAGAAAATAAGAATAAGCAGACTGTCAGAAAGTTTCGGACTACCTACATGTCACATTTATGGATATACATTGCTTGAAACAACGAAATTTTCCGTCGAAAAATCCGGCGTACTCGTGTCAGTGAACACGCCATTTTGAGAGTGTCGCTTCCCGATAGTGATGTCAATATTTGGTATTTTCATTGACACGAGGTTATGAATGGAAATACACACGATCAATCTGTCCTGCTGCTTACATTTTCTGTTCTGATGCTTCTTTCGTATTTTCACAAACTTTTCTTACGTGACTATTTTTCAGCTTTATTATCTTTTGATTTGGGACAAGACAGGAGACCAGTTTAAAATCAAGTGGCACCAATTATAAGTCATAATCAAAGGGAGGTAGCTCTGGCCTGTTTAGCGCGGCAAACAAGGGCCGCATAATGGCATAACATTTTAGCCCCTATTTTGAGGGTTATACTTTCATTGCAAGAAATAAGTACATCAATCAAAGCTGAGTATCTGTCAGATGAGTGGGATCAGAGCAGATGGAATGCTGTAGTCCGTACTTTCGAGGAAAGGAGGCAATTTCCACATTGTCTCGGTGCGCTTGATGGCAAGAACATATGCATCAAGAAGCCTCCCAAAGCGGGTCCCTTTTCTACAACTACAAGAACTTCTCCATTGTCTTGCTGGCACTCGCGGATGCCGACTACAAGTTCCTGTGGGTCAACGTCGGAGCCGAGGGATCAGCATCATCTTCAGCTGCAGGTAATTGTTCCTTTTCATAACTAAATCAAATTATAATTTACTATCTTTAGGTGTATGCAATATTATATCAAAGTAAATGTTTTTGAATTTTGAATGCATTTGACTTAAAAATGTTTAATTTGTGACTTTTGCAGACTGTCTCGGGCCAGACGAGTGGTGGAGAATACCTTCGGGATTCTGCCAATGAGGTTCCAACATACATACGACCCTGGTTTTAGATCAAGACAAACATCTCACTGCTGTGGCCGAAGTTGTTACCACCGCATGTTGAGAAGGACGTAGAAGTGCTATCAGGTCAACTCTGCCCAAATTCATACAGTGCACGATTCAAGTACCGGTGTTTTTATCTCTTGATTTATGCTGTGATTTCTTAAATATGAGGGGCGGTTTGGTAGCCTTGTGGTTAAAGGGTTCGCTCGTCACGCCACGTCACCCGGGTTCGATTCCCCACATGGGTACAATACGTGAAGTCAATTTCCGGCGTCCCCAACATGTTATTGCTGGAATATTGCTAAAAGCGGCGTAAAACTAAATACACTCACTCACTCTTTAGATATTATGCTGTATCAGTTTCCACATGAAGATTAAGCCAGGACGTACATCGATACTGATCCTGCCATACAGCAGCCAGTTGTCATTCTTTGGTTATTTAAACCTCCAGCCTGAGGGAGGTATTTTCTTGGTTTTATCAAACTTGCAGCCATATCATGGCAAAGATCTGAGAAGTGGCTGCGGACAGTATTCACATGAATAGAACCGAACGCGTGCTGTAGTAAGTAATGTAGAAATATTTACATAGCTTCATAAAGTTGGTGAAAATACCAGCTACATCTTGAACACATAGGCTTCACAGTGACCATCCTATAATGGTGAACATGTTGGTCGTTCAGTAAACATGGCTACCACACCGTGAATATCACTGCCATATAGTAAACATGCCCGCTACATGCATCCTCGATAATCTCCAGGGTATACTTTCGATAAATCTCCACTACACTGGAGATTTATCGGAACGTATACCCTGGACATTATCGAGGATGGCGATATGTGGCCAAGTTTGAATCTCAATGATCAGCAAAGCAGCTTGGTTCTCGGGATCAGCTGCGGTACGCTTCGACGCGTAGCTGTCTACAAATATATTTATAGCTTTTGGAATACCTACTTTCGTTTCTTCTTCCACGAATCAAGACTGCTTTCCTACAATCGTGTAGCAGTTTCCGCACGTCACCCACCATCAGTAAGTACCTTTGAACATGATGATTTATGTGCAAACCCCTCTCCCCGCTACTCCAAAATCATGAATCCGGCCCTGTATATTCTTAATATACATTCACCTTAGCTCTGAAACGTCGTATGAAGAAATGAAAAAAGTATTTATGCAACGTGTCATGTATACAGGCCATTGTGTGGTTTACTTATCAGACATGTCTTGACTGGTTACGTCTTCGCGGCTCATGTTAGTGACCGCTATGTATCTTAATTTAATAATTTATGATGATTTTAAGGGTGTGTGGGGTGGGGTGTGTGGTTCACCCATTTTGTTCTGGGAGCTAGGGGGGGTCAGCAATTTTGTACACACGTACTGGGGGTGGGGGTGGGGGTGGGGTGGGGGTTCTGGTGTCAGGAATTTTGTACATAAAACTATATTTAAAGTTATGCTTAGAAATGATGGGTAGGGGAGGGGGGTCATTGATTTTGTACATGACATGCAGGGGGTCACTTATTTTGTACATAAATTTTTAGGGGGGGGGGCATTCACATTGTACATGCTTCTCCATAGAAATCATCAGCACCCCCCCCCCAGCCATAAATTATGAACGGTCCCTAAGCTATGCAGCTCATGTCAACATGTTATAATATAGTCCGTTTGGCTCAAAAGCCGTCCGATGAATTGCAATCTAACTCGAAAACTACTAAACATATAATACTCAATGAAACACTGATCATAATCAAAACATCAGACCAACTCTGTGATTATATTTTGCAGAAATTGTCCTAAAATTAAAAAAGTTGTTTAACAAACGATCATTAAAATTTTGGCACAGTTCACTATTTGTTACGAGGGAGGACTGCAAAGAGTGGAACAGCCAGGTGTACGCGGAGCACATGCACAAGGGCCGACAAAGTTATTGAATCATTTACTATCTGTGCTGTGCTCTCTCCATCCTTTCTCGCACACTTGGCTGTTCCTCTCTTTGCACCACTCCCTCGTAACAAATAGTGAACTGTGTCAAAATTTTAATGATCGTTTGTTAAACAACTTTTAATTTTTTATATATTTTAATCACTCTTTAATTCATGATCTACATCGTTTAGGGTGATATATTTCTCACCACAACACAGACATTCGATATTTTAATTGCTATGAGCCGGCCCACTTTGAATCCAACACCGGCAGAAATCGAAAGGCAGCTCTCTGATTTGTTGGGTATTTTGGTTACTGTCAGGATAATGTATTTGCTGATTTGTTTGAAAACTTGATCCACTAAGCCTGTATATCTTGAAGACAAGATAAAAGTAAGTATTTCCCGTTCAAGTGTCAAGGTGTTCAAAAATATGCATTACCGTGCAAAACTTAGGATATAAGCTCGACGAATTAAATTGATTTCTTTCTATTACATGTAAATATCCAACTTTCTAATACATTATGCTGGTATTAAGCACATTTTCAATGAAGACCCACTTGAATTAATTTTTAGTAATGAGTTGCATATATACTCATGCCAATAATGGTTGTCACCCCCTTCAATTTTTTTAATTGGAGAGGAGGTGTGGGGTGGGGCTGTGAGGTGTGTGTGGGGTTGGGGTTGGGAGGGGGGTGACAACCATTATTGGCATGAGTATAGTTACAGACACATGGAAATGGTTGGCATGAAATAATCATTAGATTTTTGGGTGCTGTGGGTTTTATTTTCAATTGGGGAAAATGTTACTATCAACTCAGAAATACATTCTAATATTCTATTTCATCGAATGAATGTATTAAATACTGGGAAGACAGTTTCCATGCAGTATTTTAGTCTTTAAAATCCAATTTAAATTGTGTGTTTTTTTTAAAAAATTATTGGAAGCAACCAATATTAGGGCATCTACTGGAATTGTAACACCCCCTTGACTATTAATTATCTTCGAAATTATCAAAAACAATCATGAAATTAATTTTATCACAATATTTCGTCAATATTTAACACTCGACTTAAAATAACTTTTCACCCGGATTCTATCAATTCTCTTAACTTCTAAAGAAATGCCTTGGCTATAATCGTGGAAATATTGACACACGTCCATATCCGCTTCTGACAATCCAAACCTGTTTATGTTTTTAGGATTATCAATAACATAATCTGTGCTCATGGATATAACAAAAGTGTTAAACGGACGTAATGTTCCCCTACACCTCGCTGCCTAGCATCACTGAACTACCGTTTAGTGCGGCGTAAAGCAACAATCACTCACTTTCCACTGCAGCCATCTTCACCATGGGTTTCCAGTGGCATCTTATCTGTACTATTCTCTATGTTGAAATGTCGTTCACTGTTCTGCTTCTCCTCCCTGGGATTCCGCCGCAGTTGTAAGTGCAAACATTTCTGAAATATACCCTCTATATAACGAACACTCCCCACATACATTATCTGTTGTTCAACCTATGATTGATAATTCCACCTTATTCGTTCCAAACCATAGAGCCCAGGGTTAGAATTGGGCTTCAGCAAATTATGCTTGTCGTAAGAGGCGACCAACGGGATCGGGTGGTCAGGCTCGCTGACTTGATCGACACATGTCATCCTATCCCAGTAAATCAAGTCATGATGTTGATCACTGGGTTGCCTGGTTCAAACTCGATTATTTACAAACCGCCTCCATATAGGTGGAATATTGCGATGAGCATCGATCTACGCAATTGGGATACTTACTTTTCAGCAAAATATTTTTTAAAATTTGAAAGTAAATAATACTGATAAGACGAGTAAGTGATGTTTTATTTGCCATTAAGACTTTAAATGTACATTAACATACAGGTGGTGCTACTTCTTGACGTCATTTCCGTTCCAGTGGATCACAGAAAATATTTGGTTTTTCATTTTGAGTGGAGGCTTCACCCTCATTGTTGTATTTGGAGGTGAGGTGATACATTACTAGTGTTGGGAATTGGTTAAAATCTCATAATTGATGATTGGTTCATTACAACCGATCAATGATCGATAATAATTGGTTATCGTCATTTATGAAATGTTCCTGGTTATTTTTGTTAATGCTCAAATAAGGAAAAAAACCATGTAGTTCTTTGGGTATTTTTTGTGCAAAATTTCATATCTTTAAAGGATGACAAGTATGTAAGGAACATAAATTTCTTAGAGTCTTTAAGATATATTCAATCATGACTTGGAACGAGCTTGTAGTGCTTATGAAATGTAACAGACCAAATCAACCTTGTGAAATATATTGTTTATGAAAACAAGTGTTCCAGAATTGTTTGTGTTCGATTATGAGAAAACATGATCGATTGCTTGGTCGTATAGTCACTGCGACCAATCTTCGATTATTTCAATTAATCGGACCGCCACTAGTTAGAACACAGTGTCATTTGGAGGTGAGGTGATACATTACTGATTACGGTCTTAATCATCTGACCTATCACTGTAGTGTAGTGAGTGAGTGTGTTTAGTTTTCCGCCGCTTTTAGCAATATTCCAGCAATTTCACGGCGGGGGCACCGGAAATGGGCTTCACACATTAAACCAATGTGGGGAATCGAACCCGGGACGTCGGCGTGACGAGCTAACACTTGAACCACAAGGCTACGCCTGAGGCCCTGTAGTGTTGTGCTTTTGAAGGACAAAATGCTTCTTAACTACCATCTTGACTGTTTGTTCATGTTTATGAATGAGTAGTCAATATGTAAAAATTGTCAGCTGAAAATGCCCATCCTGTGAAGGATGTTTTTAAATGCTTGTATGAAAATTATCAAACATGTAGATGGCTGCCTTTCCTTCTGCTTTGAGCAAGTCCGAAGTTCGAGACAAACGTTCATGTTCGAACTCGTATTGTTCATCTTGCTGGCCAGATACTTGTTCGTGTTCAAATGCTTCCCGAAAACCGTTAAAATGAGCCTTTTTCTTAATTTTATGTGTAGGATTTATGTTATCATTTAGAACTGTTCCAAAACATGCATGCGTACGTGTTATAGACTACCCGTTGTCAGACTTCATTTTGGGAGGAAGCCTCGATTGCTGAGTGGATTAGATGGCTGAATTTGTGTGCCAGCGACGTGGTGCCTCTCTGTGCCCGGATGTTGAACAATCCCAAAAACGTACTGGAACTGAGTTGAGTGAGTGAGTTTAGTTTTACGCCGCACTCAGCAATATTCCAGCTATACGGCGGGTACTGGAACTGCTTTACGATGACAGTGTAATACCAACTACAAAACGTGTTACGTCTGTGTTGATTTCTGTGTTGATTTCACTGGGTTTCAACCATAGATGCTGTTTGGAGGCACCACAAGTGCAGATCTCTATTGCCCAAGAAGATTACGAACGCACATTAGGAGATCATTTTGTCGACATGGGCCGAAATATTCCGGGCTCAGAGGAATCTCCACATCTCCGGATTCCTTCTTCTGTTGGCTTTGTAAGTTCTGTTGCTGATAGTACACCTTCTGTTTCCTTCTTTCGCTGGCGTTGTAAGTTATGTTGCTGATAGTCTGTACATCTCCTGGTTGCTTCTGCTGGCTTTGTAAGTTATGTTGCTGATAGTCTGTACATCTCCTGGCTGCTTCTGCTGGCTTTGTAAGTTATGTTGCTGATAGTCTGTACATCTCCTGGTTGCTTCAGCTGGCTTTGTAAGTTCTGTTGCTGACTAAAAACAAACACTAACAACTGTGTGATGCAAGCTGATTGTCAAAATTAATGGTCTACAGTGGTTTATCGACCTTCTTGAAAACCGTCAAAATCAAGAATACCACCCCATGCACGTGTATGGGGCTACTGCGTTGTACACGTGCATCCCATGCATTGTGTTTAGGGGTGGTGATAAAGATAAATGGTGATGCGTTCACAAGTTGTCTCTCTTTGAAAAGTTTGTTAACGCTTATAGTGAGTGAGTGAGTGAGTGAGTTTAGTTTTACGCCGCACTCAGCAATATTCCAGCTATATGGCGGCGGTCTGTAAATAATCGAGTCTGGACCAGACAATCCAGTGATCAACAGCATGAGCATCGATCTGCGCAATTGGGAACCGATGACATTTGTCAATCAAGTCAGCGAAACTGACCACCCGATCCCGTTAGTCGCCTGTCAACGCTTATACTTCCTGTCCAAATTGAAAGTTCCCTATCTTTTTTTTAAAAGAGTACACGTTGGAATGATTGAAAGCTATTGATTTCTGCAGCGACAGTCTTGTGTCTTTCAGTGTGAACAAACGCCTGGTTGATCTATTGATATACACGGCCCATGAGACACAAGAAGACGGAAACACACATGGTAGACATCTTCACTGAGGAGGATAGACAGGCTGGTCAAGCCCAGTTATTTGGTTAGTTGCAAGCCGCACCCAGCAGTATTTAAGTCTGTCTCACAGTCCCTGAACCGCATTATCTTCCCTTCCGCCCAGCCCTTTCTGCTATGCTAAAGCCCTAATTGAAACAAGTATAGATGTCCTCAGGTTCTGGAGTGGATTTGATTTTACGCCGCTTGTAGCAATATTCCAGCAATATCACGGCGGGGGACACCAGAAATGGGCTTCACACATTGTACCCATGTGGGGAATCGAACACGGGCCCTTGGCGTGACGAGCGAACGCTATAACCACTAGGCTACCCCACCGCCCCCCTCAGGTTCTGAATCTCCCATATCTCTCGAGGCTCTTGTTTCATTTTAATAGGAGTTTCTCTTTGTTTATATTATACATGTTAAGATACCAAGAGTTATTTTAAGCAGTATTCCAGCTAGATAACGGTGGTCTGTAAATAATCGAGTCTAAGCCAGTGATTGACATAACGAGCATCAACTTATGCAAATGGGATACGTCATGTCAACCAAGTCAGCGAGCCTGACCCCCCGATACCGTTAGTCGCCTCTTACTACAAGCCTGGATTGCTGAAGGCAAGTTCTAACCCAGATTTCACAGGTACCTAGTTTTTTGGGTGACTGGCGTTAATCGGCACCTGGTGATTACGTGGGATAATGGGAATGGCGCCGGATGGACCTCTGGAAGTGGTGTCGTTTCCCTTTAATGTACTGATGTCGTCATACGAGTACATCTTTATACTTCGTTATTACTTTATTGTATATATTACACACCTCTCCTTGTTTCTTTGTGGTTCGGCTCGCTGACTTGGTTGACACGTCATAGTATCCCAGTTGCGTAGATTGATGCTTATGATGTTGATCACTGGGTTGTCTGGTCCAGATTATTTACAGACCGACGTCATATAGCTGTGTGCGTGGTTAAACAAGAAACCAACCCAACCAACCAACCAATCTTATGTCTTTAGGGACCGTTCATAATTTATGGCTAGGGTTGGTGATGATGATTTTAAGTGTGTGTGTGTGTCAGAGAGACCCATTTTGGGGAAAGAGAGAAAGGAAAGAAGAAACCCAGCAACAGAAGGGGAGTGTCATTGATTTTGTACATGCAGGGGGGTCACTTATTTATTTTCTGTGTGTGGGGTGTGTGTGTGTGTGTGCTTCTCCACTGTTTTACATTCTCGAGCCAGAGAAAATACATTATGGCGTTGTGCACACCTTTTCTGAATGTTATGCCTGCACCATAAACTGGGATATGAGCAGTTTCGTTACAATAAGACATTTACAATTTTTGAAAGATGAGGTTTCAAGACATTTACAGATTTGAATATATGAGATTTCCAAAAACTTTCAATTTGGGAAATGTCCACAAGGGGAGATAACTGGTGGGTGATGGTAAATGAGTGTTCTTTGTACACTCCAAGTCCTAATCTCTTGTGTATTGATGAGTGAGTCAAGTCAGTTAAGATTCACCAATTAACAAGGCCTACTGCCTTGATAATGATAAAGTCGACGTCAATTCTGATTTACTTATGAGCAATAAATGTTGTTATAATACAACTGAAGTTAAATACTATTAAATTTATCCTGGCTTGGCCATTTTATTAGGAAAGTTAGAAACTGCACATCCCCAGGTACACATGCATGTATCCATGATGAGCAAAATGTAATCAACTATTGAACCAAAATGTGAAGCATATTAAATATGTTGTAATAAATCTGAAAAGAAACTTGCCCATTCAATGCAATTTAAATATTAGGATAGCAGAAGATTAGTCCCTCCATTCCTTGTGCACATGTGTGATCTTATGAATTGTACTCTTGGCAATGTGGCCCTCTAACACTGAATAAATATCTTTGTCTTTGTCACACTTGACATCTTATCATTTTCATGTTTTTCAAATACATCTTAGAGCAGCAAGAAATCTCACAAACCATTGGGGGAGTGATCATGGTTTTAGCAATAGTCCAGCAATATTATGGCAGGGGACACCAGTGAACGCCTTAACAACTAGGCTATCCCACCAGCCCTAACCCTATGGAGCATATCTGGGACATGATTGGTCCTCGTGTGCAACAAAGGGATCCTCCTGTACAGAACCTGGCGCAATTTACACGAGGAATGGTGTAGACTGCCCCTTCAGAGCATCAGGAGGCTGACAGGGGGTATGAGGAGGAGGGTGCTGGCTATCATACAATCACATGGAGGTTACACTCGGTATTGACCTTGAATCGTGTAAGACATGCAAAATGGCATTTTGAAGGTTCACATTCACCAATAAATTCAACATTAAACATTCCAACACTTCCCCCAATCTCCATCACAAAAATGCATCATTGCTATTATTATTTGTTTGTTGTTTAACACTGCAAACAGCAATATGCTCTGTAAATAATTGAATTAGAGATAACGTCATGTGTTGGCCAATTTCCGGGTGTTATTGAGTATTTGAAGCACGGAATTCATTTGGAACCGACGGCATCAGCCGGAGGTTTCAAATGAAATATTCCCGTGTTTCAAATACTCAATAACACCCGAAATTGGCCAACACATGATGTTTATCGACATTGTAAACACAAAAGTAAACCAAAAGGTCCACACACGTTTTTGTGTCTGCTCTCATTGACATCGAGTAGTACGGGTACAGCAGTGAAATGTCATCAGCCGGACGTTTCGGCTGTCTCCCATGGTAGCATCTGGAACTGCTCATTTGTGATGTCATTCGGACTTTACGTCACAATATGATTTTAATGACGTCATCACAGCTGACGACGTAACAATACAATGGTGTGAGCGATGTTTGTATGTATTAATACGCAAAGAATTTCCGGGAATCAAATACCATTTGATCACGTTTTTCAACCAATCAGATTAAAGAACACAGTGACTTTAATTTTACAATCTGGACTAGACAATCCTGTAATCAGCAGCATGAGCATCGATCTATACAATTGGGATACGATGACATGTGTCAACCAAGTAAGCAAGCCTGACCACCTGATTCCGACAAGCTTGGTTGGTGAAGACTGATTCTAACCCAGACCTCAATCCAATAAAACTGTGACAAGAACGTGTTATCCATTAAATGTATTTTTCCTTATTTACTAACCAATGATGAAGAGAGTCTAAATGAAGAGTGTATTCCTTGTAATTTCATCACCAATCGTACTGCAGAGATATTCCTAGAACAAAACAAATCACAAAACTCATTCACTTTAACTGTTTATCCAATACAAACATTTATTTACATTCCTACTGTCCATCATAAACTTCAATTTATGCATTATGTTACAAATAGGAATTAATTCTGATCATCTTGAGTTCATAACAACATAATGAAATAACAAAACACAGCACAATTATATCTGTAAAAGTTAACAGGCCACCTGCTAAGTATAAACAGAGATAAAAATTTATAATTTTAAAAAGTATAACAGCTTAATGTCATACAGGTGACGTCAAATTAGATGAGGTAAAAGTGTACCTGAAATGTCTGCTTAAGTAGAAAAAAACTCAACATACAGCGGATGTTGGCGTATTAGCCAAATCATCAAAACAATAACATCTAACCCTTTCAATGACATAGCGCTAAAATATATGATTAAACTTTCTTGGACATTTCCGAACATTTATACTTGATGAAAACTAATTCGTAATTACAACCTGGGAATTACTTTTATTGAAATCATACCATTTACTAATTGACAACTTATGACTGAAGATTAGCCTATCACATAGATAAGCCGATGTCCTAACTTGACCCTTAAAATCAGTATGAGAATAGTATGTCTTGTCCAAAAGCCGAACGTCCAACCTTCCTTCATCTTCTCAATATGATTGGTAACTTTTTTCCATGTGCTCCCATCTGTATGATCATTGCAACAAATATAAGATCATTTAAAGCGATAAAAGATAATTTAAACAAATATAAGATCATTTAAACAGATATAAGAAATGGTGCAATACTGGGTGATGTCTAACACTGTTATCAACTAGCTAGCTGAGTTGAGTTCTGTGATTAGTTCCTGAAAGTCTGTGACAAACCATGCAGCTCTGGACTTGACGCTTTCCCGGACCACATTCCCTCCATATCCAATGAACGCATCCTGGAAAGACAAGATGAATGTGACCAGGTGCATTAATAACAGGGAGGGTTCCTTTCTTGAATTGTTTTCATGCACTTTGTACACACGCCCAAACCTTGTTGTTACTGCAATTACACAATCTGGTTAAAAAAAAAGTGTTTAAACTAGTTCAATAATTGTATTAAAAAATCACTCATTACTGTTTGAAATTAATGAACCTGACCACCCGATCCTGTTAGTCACCTCTTACGACAAGCATGGATTACCGGGATCTTCACAGGTCACATACGATCAGGTGTTGAATTGATGTCAATTTTTTGTTTCCAAGCACAAGAGACATACTTGTGTTTTTCACCAAAATGGTCCACAGTTCTACCTTGACGTACAAAGGTAGGGGTCCAAGCCACCCAAGTATATCTGTAGTATTGTGTAACGTAGTGTACTGTAAATATTTCAATGAATCAATGATCATGTGAACTGTGTCCATGACTGATGGATGAGTGAGCATGGTTTTACACCGCTTTTAGCAATATACCAGCAATATAATGGTGGGGGACACCAGAAATGGGCTTCAAACATCGTACCCATGTGGGGAATCGCACCCAGGTCTTCAGCATTTTACCATTAGTCTACCCCACCACCACTGATTGATGAAATAAAAGACACCCATGATCGTTCTTCTAGATACACTGTAGATACAATGACTATTATTATGCATCCCTCAGGACACAGTATTTGTTTTTGTGTTCTCTACATTTTTTCGATGCATATAAAGCTGGTTGTCAATTTCAAACCCAGATCATTCAATCTCTAATCACAAACCTAAGACAACACTTACAGCAGGTGGAGCTGCTTCCAGATCTGTGGCTCCGTCCCCTATCATCACCAGTTTGTTGTCTTTATGACGATCCTTGATCATCTGCATCACGCGGGGCTTGCCGCCTGAGTCCGATGTTGGCTGGTCTTCATCAAATCCTGCATAGTCCCCTGTCAACAGAGTTTGGTCATAATGTTAAACCAGATAAAGTTTGTTGTTTAACACCACACTCGGCAGTATTCCAACTATATGGTGCCTGACTGTAAATAATCAAGTCTGGACCAGACAATCCAGCGATCAACAGCACGAGCATCGATCTATATGCAGTTGGGATACAATGACATGTGTCAACCAAGTCACCTAACCACTTGATACCATCTGTCATCTCTTACGACAAGCATGGGATTCTAACCCGGATCTTCAGCAGTAGGCATTACTTGTGTTGCTAAGAGTTACCGGTAAGTTAAACACATTTATCTCAACTTGCCAGGTAAAACTAAAAATCAGGTGAGTACGGTTTTATGCCACTTTCAGCAATGTTCCAGCAATATCACGGTGTTGGACACCAGAAATGGGCTTCACACATTGTACCCATGTGGGGAATCGAACCCAGGCCTTCGGTGTAACGAGCGAATGCTTTAACCATCAGGCTACTCCCAAGTTATCAGGTACTCAAGTAAGTTAATTTAGCTGGATGGAAAACTTGAGTGCCATTATCAAACCACCCTCAATCTTTCTTTAAATGTTCTGAATGAAGATTTATATTTGACATTAAAATTTGAACTAGTCGATGAACAATTCTGAGTTCATTTCCATCTCCAGTGGCCGGAGTTACAGCCCTTAGGTATGGATTAAGTAAGTAGATGAGTACAGTCACATCAGCAGTGTTTCAGCAAAATAGATACACTGTTGATGGTAGAATTGTAACGAAACTATAGAGGGAATTTCTGCCTGTAGAATGGAAGATCCAGTGTTCCATTACTGGTCATCCCAGAATAACAGTACTTGTTGTTACCCTGCCTGGCTCTTGTCATTTAAGGGACTGGCCAGATCAGAATCAGGATACTGTGTTTCAGAGGGGTATTCGTGTTATACTGTAGCAAGGACTCTGAGTGGGCTAACTCTATAAAACCAGAATTAGACCAGACTAACACCTACCTGCCCGCCTGCTCATCTGCAGGTACCCGCCTGACCGCCCACCCCCTACCTGCCTGCCTGCTCATCAGCAGGTACCCGCCTGACCGCCCACCTGCCTGCTCATCTGCAGGTACCGCCTTACCGCACACCCCCTACCCACCCGCCTGCCTGCTCATCTGCAGGTACCCGCCTGACCGCCCACCCCCTACCCGCCTGCAGACTCATAGCTCCAAATTGATCCAACTGCTGGCCTCCAGCCGAAAGTGTGACTCAATATTACTGTTACTTCCCTAGATGGATGCTCTAGCCCCAGTGGTTTCTGTAGTTATAACATGACTTTGGCGAGATTTACAGGAGATGTATTGGAGCCTACCTTTATCCAAGCTTACGCTAATCCTATCAAACAGCAAATAGCTTTGCTTATTACATCAGTGTAACATACATCTGCAAAGAAACGTTTAAAACCATGAAAAAACAACATTTCACTGATTGGCTCACACAGGTCTAGTCACCAGTCAATGTATAACTGAAAAAGTCTCACCTGTAAAACTGAACTTGAGTTGGTTGGCGAAGATATTTTCGGTGGGAATTGATAAAAGATGAGCTGCTGGTTCAATAATAGGCTTGAACCCTCCAGAAACCAGATACACGATTCGACCCTTTTGTCTTAGAGCACTCACCAAGTCACTGAAAGTAACACATTAACTGTCATTAACATAAGAGTCCAAGGAATCTTGTGAAATGAAAATACAGAAATATATAACACAGCACTTGAACACTGTTAAAGGGGAAGTGTACACGAATAAATCACAGTTATTCTTATGTGAATCAAAGTGAACTGTTTTAATTAGTTAATACCAATGTTTGAAAATATACACTCATTTTTCTTACAATGTAAGTATAACCCTCAAAATAAGTGCTGAAATGTTATGCCAATATGAGGTATTTGTTTGCCGAGCTAAACAGGCCAGAGTTACCGCCCTTTGATTATGACGTAATTGGTGCCACTTGATTTTAAACTGGTCTCCTGTCTGGTCCCAAATCAAAAGATAAGAAAACTGATATTAATCACGGGAAAAAAAGTTTGTGAAAATACGAAGAAGCATAAGAACAGAAAATGTAAGGAGCAGGACGGATTGGTCGTGTGTATTTTCATTCATAACCTCGCCTCAATGAAAATACCAAAGATGTATAATAATGTTGACGTCCGTATGACATCACTATCGGGAAGCGACTTTTTCAAAATGGCGTGTTCACTGACACGAGTACGCCGGAGTTTTCGAAGGAAATTTTCGTTGTTTCAAGCAACGTATATGCATAAATGTGACATGTAAGTAGTCCGAAACTTCTGTCAGTCTGCTGGTTGTTATTTACTTTTTGTTTTCATTGTCACCAAGGGAAATAGTCAGAAATTAAGAGAAGTACCGTCATCATCAAGCAGCGTGAGTTTCGCCAGTTATGGCGCCATGCTTTCAAAACTATAATATGTTGTGATGAATCTAGCAAATCATTGGAATACACCTGTTTTATTTAACTATCGCTTGCTACGATACCTTTCCCATGCATGTTCTAAAACTCATGAGCAATTGTATGCAGCAAGTAGGCGAACGGATACACAGTGTAAAATCTGAGATTGGCTTTGTATACATTTCAAACAAGTATTCTTTCACAGCCCGGCATCTCATATCCTCGATATATTTCATTAGATTTCACTGAAACACTTCGTATTGGTGACAAAGTCCATTTGTCAGTTTATTTTGAACTGTATGAGGAATTCAGGGACTCATGTAAGGAAGATGGTGTTGAATTTTATGGGCGAAACATAACCGACATACATGTGACGTGATTTTATAAACACTATATGTAATATGGCTGAAAATTCACTTTGACATTTGCGTATTTTCCAAAACATCCTCAGCGATTCTCGGTTCATTGATGTTTCACAACGAGCATTGTGATTCGATCATACAACAACAAAACTACTGCTGATCACAATGATCACGCCTTTTTCTTTTAAATTCAATTCTCCCAGTAAAATTTGACATTCGAATTAAGACATACCATAAATTACGCAAAACGCAGTGAATGGTGATTTAGTAATGTGTCAAAACTGGCGAGATTTACGATGCATGTAATTTTCAGTAAATTTTATCTACAATGAGCGGATGATATCATAGAAAAACGAATTTCAAACAGTGTTCAAAACTGCAAATTGCATTTATCTGCGTGATGTATTTGGATATGTACTATCGATATCAAAGTGAATTAGGTGGAAGAGGAGTGACATATCGTACGATTTATGTAAGAACTAGTAACAAACGTAGAATGCCGGCACATTCACCGATGGCAAGCAAGATGTAGTGCATATACGTTTTAGGTTTCATGAAAAAAGACACTGTTGGAAAGGCGACCGACTCAGGTTGAATATGTTATACAATTTGGTTACGTGGTAACACTTTTAGTACAGTGTATACGTTTTTTCAAACTGCAACGTCATCACAGTGTAGAACTGACCACATAGTCAGTCACTTAAATGTCAAGGCCATCTATGGCCGACAAGTGAGCATGATTGCCGATGGTTTTGGAGAAAGTGCCTGCTTACTGTCGAGGAAATGATTTGTAGATGTTGCAATAAGTTTTTAGACCCGTGGAATGCCGCTGCCGATCGAATCTAGCCCGACATAGGTGCTGTCAACGTGGCTGGAATTAATAAACGAATTTAAAAGGTGAGTTTTCGCTGTCTTGGGTGATCCATAATTTTGGCAATGTCATATCAATTACGGAGGTAGCTGTTTTCGGTGAGTCGTGTCGTATAACTTTTGAAATAATGATCCGATTGTGACCATTTATAGCTCATTTTGTAGGGAAATCATCTCGCTTTCGATCCGTAGGCCTTGACGGGGCCTTAAAAATAGTTTACGTGGTGAAATCTAACTTTGATTGAGGAGGGGGTGGTTCCGTCGTTACATCCCTTTCCTTTTATATAGTACTAGGGTAGGGTCTATGTACCTATATGTCTTTCTAACGCTGTTTCTAAGCGTGACACGCCCCTGTGTACGGGTTTGGATATAAAACAACTTGATAAACACTTTTTATGAAGAAAAAGTGCAAGACAAAAAGGTTAATTTTCGTGTACACTTGCCCTTTAAGACTGCAGTAGTAATTGTGATTGTTGATGAATTTTTATTGACATTGCCTTGCAATGACACTGCTTGGCTATGATATGACAGTGCCCAGCTATGATATGACACTGCCTAGCTATGATATGACATTGCCTAGCTATGATATGACATTGTCTAGCTATATGACAGTGCCCAGCTATGATATGACATTGCCTAGCTATGATATGACATTGCCTAGCTATGATATGCCATTGCCTAGCTATATGACAGTGCCCAGCTATGATATGCCATTGCCTAGCTATGATATGCCATTGCCCAGCTATGATATGACATTGCCTACCTATGATATGACATTGCCTAGCTATGATATGACATTGCCCAGCTATATGACAGTGCCCAGCTATGATATGACATTGCCTAGCTATGATATGACATTGCCTAGCTATGATATGACATTGCCTAGCTATGACATTGCCCAGCTATGATATGACATTGCCCAGCTATATGCGGTGCCTAGCTAAGCTATGATATGACATTACCTAGCTATGATATGACATTGCCTAGCTATGATATGACATTGCCTAGCTATGATATGACATTGCCCAGCTATGATATGACATTGCCCAGCTATGATATGACATTGCCTAGCTATGATATGACATTGCCTAGCTATGATATGACATTGCCTAGCTATATGACAGTGCCCAGCTATGATATGACATTGCCTAGCTATGATATGACATTGCCCAGCTATGATATGACACTGCCTAGCTATGATATGACATTGCCTAGCTATGATATGACACTGCCTAGCTATGATATGACACTGCCTAGCTATGATATGACAGTGCCTAGCTATGATATGATACTGCCTAGCTATGATATAACACTGCCTAGCTTTGATATGACACTACTTGGCTATGATATGACACTGCCTAGCTTCGATATGACACTGCTTGGCTATGATATGACACTGCCTAGCTATGATATGATATTGCCTAGCTATGATACAACATTGCCTAGCTGTGATATAACACTGCCTAGCTTTGATATGACACTGCTTGGCTATGATATGACACCGCCTAGCTATGATATGACATTGCCTAGCTATGATATGACATTGCCTAGCTATGATATGACACTGCCTAGCTTTGACAGACACTGCTTGGCTATGATATGACACTGCCTAGCTGTGATATGATATTGCCTAGCTATGATACAACATTGCCTAGCTATGATATGACACTGCCTAGCTATGATATGACACTGCCTACCTTTGATATGACACTGCTTGGCTATGATATGACACTGCCTAGCTATGATATGACATTGCCTAGCTATATGAAACAGTTGAAACCATAATAGGAAGGTGAAAATATGCTCCCACATGCATACCTACATTCAAGAAGGCACACCTGATCATCTTTTTGAGTGTCCTGTAGCTCATTTGAAAGAAACTCAGTTGGGAGACTACCATATTACAACCAGCGCACGGATTACTAGTACCTGTTGACTTGGATATTGTACCTAGTTACTACCCATCAAGATCCAGTTAGAATTTATCTTCAGCAACCCATGTTTGTCGTAAGAGATGACTATAGGATCGGGTGGTCAGTCCCGCTGACTTGGTTGATACATGGCATTGCAATCGATGTTCATGCTGTTGATCACTGGATTGTCTAGTCCAGACTAGATTATTTAAAGACCGCCCAATGTAGCTGGAATATTTCTGAGTGCAGAGTTAAACAACAAACCAACCAACCAACCAAGTTTAGTCGTATACAACATGTCCAGGAGTCATTCGAAGATAGCAGTTGACATCCACGTTGACACATCACCACAAGGATATCAACCATCCTCGCACATGCCATAGTTTGTGAAGTGCAACCTGTCAGTACTGGAGATACAATGATACTCAGGAGCACCAAATGAGGAGACATCATCAATAAATGGACTTTGAAGCAGCTGTGACTCCTGAAGAGTGAGTGAGTGATTCAGTTTAGTTCTACTGAGCTTTAACAATATTCCAGCAGTATCATGGCAGGGACACCAGAAATGGGCTTCACACATTGTACAAATGTGGGGAACTGAACACGGGGTCTTCAGCGTGATGAGTGAACACTTTAACCACTAGGCTACCCCACCGTCCCGACTCCTGAAGAACTTACTCAAGGCAAGACAGTATCTGGCCCTTGAAATGTACCCATCTTACCTCATGCCATCACTAAGTTGAGGGGGATGGTTGGCTATAAAGTCCTGGAGCTGTTGTCGTGATGGTTTCACAATATTCAGCCTCTCACTCAGTGCCACACGAAACGAGACGTCTCCGCCCATGGCCTTTCTTGTCCTACAACAATTTTATGAATGATGCTGTTAGAGCTGCTTCAACAAAATGGCATCAATGGATGTCTTCTAGGTGTGAAATGATACACCAGTGCATGAAGAAAATGATGTGTTTTCTGTATTGATATGATATATAGTTCGGTCTCCTATTCTCGCGGTAAACACGTTTCCTGCCGATTTCGCGATGCAAGACACCGAGTGGTTGTTAACCTTGCAAATTGCCGACCGGTAACTAGGAAGTGGCCCAAGTCTGCCAGTGATCAAAATCTTGTAATGTCATGAATATTGGTGAGTTTATACCAGCTTTGACATATCATAACTTTTTCCCACCCTTTCCGGCAGGATTGCTCTTCCATACACTCCATAACGTTACTTCCTCGTTATACAGCGAGAATGGGAGAAGCCTCGTTTCGTCAATGGCGGATGGCATTGTTTATCGCCGGGCTCACGAGTGGTAATTCACCTGATGGATCTAGCAGCTGATAGATGCAGATGATAGGGGAGAAGACCCTTCATTTAAAAACAACAAGCATTCATACAATAAGACTTCTTTGTGTTATTTTTTCAGCCGATATCCGTAAGTACCATGAGAAAGGAAACGTCTTCATACTAGCTAAATTACTTACAACATCTTTTTTGACATCCTCACTGCTAGTGTTCTGTTTGCCTAGTCTGTCGTACAGACCCTGGCACATATATCCACGCAAGTCTAGAAAATGTGGCAAGTTTAGATTTCCTCAGCTTCAGAAAATGAAGAAAGTCTCAGGGCTCCTTTTCATTTTATTATTTTTTTTTTACTATGAATTTTTTTTTAGTAAAATATGTTCATTTCAGAGACAAGTTGTTAGTCTACTATTTGCCAAATGTTGTAAAATGAATTGTATGCAGCAGTGAATGAGTGAGTTTAGACTTACGCCACACTCAGCAACATTCAAGCTATATGGTGGCAGTCTGTAAATAATAGAGTCTGGACCAGACAATCCAGTGATCAACAGCATGAGCATGGTTGGTTGGTTGGTTGGTTGGTTGTGCGTGCGTGTATTGCAAGAGTGCGTGTGCTCTTTGATGTATTATTTGAATCAAAGGTCTACTGTACAAAGTCACATCAATGTCTGGCTAAGGCCACAAAGTAAAACTAAAACCTCTTTTTGGTTTTTTGTTCTGCTATCAGTGAAATTCAAGCCACAAAAAACATTAAGCATTCATAAAACATGACTTGAATAACATTATATATATTGGCTTAAATATACATTGTATTATATTCAGAAAAGAGGAATAGGATTATCAAACAAGCCTAAATGGCTCATATAAATGCCACACCATAACACGTGAACTGGTTCACATTTACGCATAATGTTGTATAATATTTATAACAAGCTGTGACAATAAGAACAAGTTATTTCTGAATGATAACAATCGGGGATACCAACACATTACGTAGTTTTGTCTCGTGGCCAGTTGATGCAAATAAGTAAATAATAGAAACTACAGAACTTTTATGACTCAAATTATTTTGATGTAATAATGAATTGATGGACTGACCGTAGAATATCGATATTCGTCTGATATGATACTAAGTTATTACCATTTAGCACATCCTGCAGGGAGAAACCTTTTGTATAGAAATGTGATTCAAATGCGATCATATTTAGGACACATGAAGAAATAGTGGAATACATCCTCATAGTCATGCGAGCAGGAACAAGAAGCATTATATTTATCACTGTTTAAGTCACTGCATCCCAGTGTCTAAGACAACAGTGTATTATCTAGTGTTGGAAATTGGTTAAAATCTCACAATTGATGATTGTTTCATTACAACTGATCAATCAACGACAATAATTCATCAGCATCATTTATCACATTCTACTGGTTATGTTTGTAAATGCACAAAAATATAGAAAAAATATGTAGTTCCTTCAGGGTTTTTTAAAGCAAATTTCACAAAATGCATTTGCAAATTTCACATCTTTAAAGGATGATTAGTGTGTTGGGAACATAAATTTCCTGGAGTCTTTAAGATAAATTCAATCATGACAAGGATCAAGCTTGTAGTGCTTCTGAAATGTAACAAACAAAACCAACCTTGTGAAAAATGTTGTTAATGCAGAGCTACAGATAACTTTTTGGATCATTGAGTTATGTACTCGCTTGTGTTCATCTCAATTGGGTATCCTACTTTTCCTTTGAGTAACCAAATAAATTGTACTCGCCTCACAAAACTCAATTGGGTATTTTGCCATTTCCCATTAATTTTTTAAATATAATAAAGTTTAAATGTTAGTCAAACAAGATTTGACATTGAGTATTGACAAAAATTCAAGCGTACTTGTACGCAAATAGACTTAATAGGAATTGAGTTTTCACATAAATATTTGCGTAATTTACGCAGATACGCAGCTTATCTGTACCTCTGTAATGCAAACAAGTGTTCCAAAATTGTTCGTGTTCGATTATGGGAAAACATGATCAAGTGCTTGGCTCTTTAGTCATTCGACCAATCTTGGATTATTTCAATTAATCGGACCACCACTAGCATTATCTGATAGATCAACTAGCAACATCTAGATCGAAGATTGTATTGGTATCAACTCATGGTGTGAAAAGATTCCCGAACTGTCCAACAGAGGAAGCAATTGTCATATTTGTAGGTAGTTATTTCATAGTTAAATTGTATCAGGCAAAACAAATTGGCATAATTAGTAGATTTGAATTTTTGAATGATAATTTTCATTATTCCTAAGATTGCAATTACTGTTGTCAGACATTCCCTGGAACAAGATCAGAAAGATAGTTGGGAACCATATATGGTTTACCATTTCATAAAATAAAGTTAATTTGGAAGTTTCTCTTTGTTTCGCTAAGGTGAGGTGAAATTGGGTTTAACGTCGTGCTTGAGAATATTTCGCTCATATGACAACATGCATGCGTGTGTATGTGTATGTGCAGCTGCTTGTACTAGCCCAGGCTGAAGCTGGTTTTATAGTGCTAGCCCACTGAGATATCATGCCGCAGTGAAGCCTCAATACCCCACTCAGACACATTATACCGACTCCCGAGCCGACCAGTCCTTGTTATACCCATTAATGCTGAGCGCCAGGCAGGGACCAAAAAGTACCATATTTTAACGTCTTTTGGTATGACGCGGTCGCGGATCGAACCCGCGACCATCCGCTCTCCGGGCGGACGCTCTAACCGCTACACCACGGAGGCGGTCGTTTCGCTAAGAAGGTCTGGTTTGTCTCATTATATAGTTTGTCTCATATATTGAATATATTATGACCATACTTGTGATGTGATGCATGTGTATAGTCTTCTATTCTGATGATATTCGCTTCAGACTTGGGGCAGAATATCACCCTCGAAGTAGTGGTCGTAGTGACCAAATCACCAAGCAATCAATCACATTTTCTCATTATTGAACACAAACGATTTTGGAACTTCTGTTTTAGTGCTTGAAACACTTGACGATGGAACATATCTTAGAAGTTGTCAGGGCCTTAAAACATGTTTAATTCTTAGAAAACTCACTTCACTTACTGAAAAGTCATGACTGAATATTTCTTGAAGACCCCAGGAAGTTTATGTTTATGATATTAGTCATCACTTTAAAGTAGCAAGTTGCATCAATTTTTCAAATGCAATATTTGCAGAGTCTAAACAAAAAACAACAACAAAGAACCATGTTATACTTATAGTATGACCAGAAATTATTGAGAATTTTAGGAATATGTTTAATTGGATTTCTAGTGTAAACAACCTTGACCAGCTATCAAGTGCTTGGTTTCATTCAAGAGAGAAAACTCTGTTAATCCTTTTTCATTAGTTTGTGAAGAGTTATCCCCCTTTGTTTACTTGCTAGCAGACAACATTTTCAGTGATCCTCAGTATGGGTGATTTAGAAAAGAGGAAGTTGATTTTAGAGTATTATAACAAGGACATCAGATCAGCTAAAGTGATTTCAAGTAGAACAGGCATCCCTTTGTCCACTGTTTATCGTGTTTTGAAAAATATTGCAAATGGATATGGCATTGAGCACCGGGGAGGCGCAGGTAGGCCCAGAAAATTGACTGTCGGTGACAGGAGGTGGCTTGGTATTCTTGTTTCTAAAAACAAACGAAGGAGTTCAGAAAACTTAATGCTGGATATGATTGATAGAGGAACTGTGGCTGTCTGTAAGGAGACAATTAGAACTGAGCTGCATGCAATGGGTTGGCAGAAAAGTCGAGGAATTCCATCACCGATCATGAAACCTGAACAAAAGGAGCAAAGGTTGAACTGGTGCTTACAGCATAGAAATTTTAACCGGGACAATGTGATTTTCTCAGATGAAAGTTGTGTGTGGCTGTTTCCTAATACACTGAAATTCTGGACCAAACAAACTGAAAAACCTTTGTATCAGCGCCCAAAGTACAGTCCGAAATTTAACGTGTGGTGTGGCATATCTGTGTTAGGGGCAACGCCCCTCTGTGTATTTGAAGCGATTATGAACAGTGAGCGGTACACAGATATTCTCGAGGGACATTTACTTCCATCTGCTCACGTGTTCTATGGAAATGTTTGGATTTTATAATAATGTTAAAATTTGTATAGCGCCTGAATCCAAGGTCTGCTCTAAGGCGCTTGGTCGAATGCTCTGTGGAAAAGAACTGTTTTTAGTTCTTTTTTGAATGGAATTATGTCTGACAAGTTTTTCAAGTTTTCAGGTAGTTGGTTCCATAACAGAGGACCTGCTTTGGCGAAAGCTCTATCGCCATAACTCGCTCTGCGGGTAGAGGGCACTACTGCTTGTTTTAAAGAGGCTGATCTCAGGGTTCGTGATGGCTGATACCATGACACTAGTTCAGTCAGGTATTCTGGAGCTTGGTTGTGAAGGGCCTTGTGCACAAACACCAACACCTTGAAGACAATTCTTTGTCTGATTGGCAGCCAATGCAGTGTACGTAATGTTGGCGTTATGTGTTCATATTTGCCTGCACCAGTGATGAGTCTTGCTGCTGCATTTTGTACTCTGGTGAGTTTGTTGAGAGTTTGCTCTGATATGCCAAACATCAGGGAGTTGCAATAGTCCAATCGTGAGATAACCAGTGCTTGGACTAATCACTGGATAGCTGATCTGTCAATGAAGTGCTTGATTTGGCTGATGTTTCTCAGATGGAAAAAGGCGGATTTACAGACAGTGTCTGCATGCCGATCCATACTCAGGGAGGAGTCAAAGATAACTCGAGGTTTCGAGCTTGATCACTTGGTGATATTGTGCTGTCTCCTATCTTTAAGGTTGGGAAATCCATTTTCCCTGATAGAGACCTTGGCCTCAGGATCAAAAGTTCTGTCTTGTCATTGTTCAACTTCAGATAGTTGGTAGACATCCAACATCTTATGTCGTCGATAGCTTTACTCATTAATGCAAATGTCGACTCAGCAGATGATATTTGCAGAGGCTTGAAGCCTAGGTACAACTGTGTGTCGTCTGCATAAAGGTGAAACGATAGGTTATGCCGTCTTGCAATGGCCCCTACAGGCAGTGTATATACAGTAAACAAGACAGGTCCCAGGACCGAGCCTTGTGGAACTCCGTATCTAAGTTTATGCCTTTGTGATTTACATCCATCTATTGTCACTGACTGGTAGCGGCCAGAAAGAAAGGATTCAAACCAGTAGGACAACGACCCAAAACATTGTTCAAAGCATTCACAGGCCTGGTTTCGGACCCAAAATATGACATTATTAGATTGGCCAAGCTATAGCCCTGACCTAAATCCAATAGAAAATGTTTGGGGACTTATGAAGGAAAGTGTCAATAAAACAAATGTGACAAATATTGCTGAAATGAAAGAAGAGGTGGTCCGATATTGGGACAGCATGGACCACGACTTTCTAACTTCTTTGATCAGTAGTATGCCCCGTCACATTGAAGCCTGCATTGCTGCCCATGGTGACTTGACAAAATACTAACTGTTCACCTGTCTTTGAATCTGGAGTTATGTTCTGCTAATATTCACATTTAATACGTGAGTAATGAGTGAAAAAATAAAATAAAATAACAATCTTTAAATTCTCAATAATTTCTGGTTGTACTGTATTTGCAATAACAAACTGAATAGGAAAATCTGAAAAATGACGCTAACCAAATTTTTTCAATGATTGCTCGTGGGTAATGAACCAATTATCAATTTATAAGATTTCAACCAAATTCCCAACACGACCTCTAAGCAAGTCTACATAAATCTCTGGTACAACTTTCCAACAGATATTTTACAAGCTTCTTAACGTTTCAAATATTCCTACGAGAGCTGGTTTTGCTCACATCATGTAGGTTGATAATCGAAGCTTAACTGATTGTAATCATAAACACCACCTCAAAACTCATATGGTCAATAATGGGACACAATTGACATTGTGCCTATGAATTCAGAACTGATTGATGCCATGATCAAGACGATCGAGGGTACTTCCTGTTGAAACACACAAGCAAGTATGTTGTTTACACTGCAGTTTTAGAAGTCAGGAAACTGCATCAGTTGTTTATGTCTTGATTGAACAAACATAACAATAAGAAACATACTTTCCAAAGTTTAATTTGATGATTAATTATTCATGAATAACGATTAGTCTCCCGAGCTCGTTGATAATTGCTGATGCAAGTGAGATCTTTCGACTGACTGATTATTAGATCAATCACTCCAACTCTAATTCTTACCATAGTTATCAATACAGCTTGTGACCTACTGACCATGGCGCCATGTTATACATGCTGACATGCCATAATCTAAAAGTACTAAAAAGGATCTTTGAGAAATTATATATTCCACGAGTTTACCATGCTGCTACTTGCTCCCCGACACCGCAAAAACCTGCCAGTTCATCCAGACCCTCATCTTTACATACGGTTGAATCGACATCAAAACAAACGATATCAGCCGTCCGCCATGTGGCTTTCACTTCTTCTAAGGACATTGTGTGCGGCTTCCTGGAAACAGAGTGAATGAATACTTTGAACAACCTGTAATGATGATAACAATAGTGAGTGAGTGAGTGAGTGAGTGAGTGAGTGAGTGAGTGAGTGAGTGAGTGAGTGAGTGAGTGAGTGAGTGAGTGAGTGAGTGAGTGAGTGAGTGAGTGAGTGAGTGAGTGAGTGAGCGAGCGAGCGAGTCTGGGCCCTTGTATTGTAAGGAAAGGTAAAAACCTGTAAAGACAATGTTAATTTTGAAAGGGTGTCTAAACTCAGCAGGTGGATATCGGCTTATCATAATTAACCAACTTGTCAGCTTGGTTAAATACTGTAGCCGCAGGAAGAATTTGTTTCACAAACGAAAAAATTATTCTTGGTTTTGAAGGGAAACATAACAATCCATTGAATGTGATCAGTATTATTACCAAACAAAATATCTATAAATGCAGTAAAAAGAAAATCAAACCATGTTTTAAACATGTTAAGAGGGAGATACTTAACTATTATGAGGCAACAAAGATAAATTATTTTCAGAACTGTCAGTTCTCCAACTTTTTCAGTTTCTGGTCTTCTTTTCATACTCTGTTTGCAGACATGACAAATCTTCCCTAGGGGTAAAATTATCCCAAAAATCTCTTCACATGTTTGAAAATTGCAAACACTCTACACAGTTATTAGCATTTTCTGTACATCAGTCTAAAGAATAACTATAAACACATTATGACTGTATAACACTTTTCATGTGCCATGTGGTACATTATCATGCATGATGTAGGTATATAATGTTACCTACTCAAAAAATTATTCTTCACCTGTTAAAACTGACAAATACTCCACACAATTATTGAATTTTCTGTACATCATTACAATTCAAAAGAATAATTATAATATATTACGACATGTATAATACATTTTATGTGCTATCCGTAGTACATTATCATTCATATTGTACATATCTAATGCTATCTTTTCACTTGCTGAAACTGTCAAATACTCTATACAAGTATCGATATACTATGTACATGCACTACATTATCATCCATGTGGTATGTATCTAATGCTATCTTTTCACTTGCTGAAACTGTCAAATACTCTATACAACTATCGATATACTATGTACATGCACTACATTATCATCCATGTGGTACATATCTAATGCTATCTTTTCACCTGTTGAAACTGTCAAATACTCTATACAACTATCGATATACTATGTACATCATTGCAAGTCAAGATAATAGGTACAACATTCTATGATTTGTAAAACACTTCTAAGTGTCATCTGCTGTACATTATCATACCTGTTGAAACTTAGTGCTTTGTGTACATCATAACTTAAAATCTCACTAAAATATCATATACTACCATGCCCCAAAAAATGATGTTATCCAGATTTATACACATTACTGTATACCTACTTTTGTAATATATGAAAATGGGAAACAAAAGACTTATATTATAAAAAAAATAAAAATAATTAACCAAATAGTCAGCTTTTCTCAAGGCACTGAAGACAAAGTTCAGATCAAGACTAACACTGGTCACCTTACCAGTTCATCCCACCGGGTACCTATTCACTGCTGGGTGAACAGAAGCATATTTTCAGCAGTCACTTGCCTAAGGATACACCACTTATGCCACTTGTGCAGAGATTGAGCCTGAGTCCTAGAAACTCCAAGCAGCAAATCGCAGTCACCTGACCTACTCTCTCTACGACCAATATTGTTCAACCCACAAATAGGTGACTTGTGTGCTCAGCACAGTACCATGTGCTACCATGAATATAAATTACATCATTGATAATATCAGGGTATATAAGTCGAAAACTTATGTGAATGGAAAAATTAATGATGATAATACGATAATATATTATGACCATACATGTGATGTGATGCATGTGTATAGTCTTTTGACGCGGTCGGGGATCGAACCCGCGACCTTCCGCTCTCTGGGCGGACGCTCTAAGCACTACACCACGGAGGCGGTCCCAACATTTGTATTCATTACCCAAAATGTATGATACACGTCATGTTCACCTCATTCTGGACTCATTGTTGCCCTACCAATTATTAAGGGTGACTATTGAAGGGGAAACAACTATTGCGATAACGATAGTCAATTGCAACATACTATTGCGACCAACTATTGCATTACTATTACAATAGTGTTTTCTCCTTGAATTGTCTTATTTGAAGTCTGTATAGCTTATATGAAATAATTACAAGTTGAAGTAGTTTCAGTCTCTCTTAATAACTGACAAGAAACTAGAGCTCCATGCATGTTTAAGAGGTAACAGGGGTGGATAACTCTAAATCAAAGTGAACAAATCTGCTACTTCCTGTATTTTGCGCTGTGCATTTATCAATGGAAGTCAATTACTGAACTATCGATAGTCACACATTCTATCGATGCATCGATAGTTTTTTCGTTTCTACCATCCATTAATTGCTATTGGATGGAGACTCAAGAATTGCAATCCATCGATAGTTCGATGCATCGTTACAGCACTACTAATTAGGGATGTAAGAATTGACTACAGCTATAATAATAATACTGAAAATTTACATAGCGCGCTAAATCCAACCACAAAGAGGGTGCTCAAAGTGCTATCCAATAAATATCTCAGTAGGAAGGTGATAAGCAAAGCTCTTGCATATGTGAGTGAGTGAGTTAGTGATTTTAGTTTTACGCCGCTTTTAGCAATATTCCAGCAATATCATGACAGTGGACACCAGAAATGAGCTTCACGCATTGTACCCGTAAGGGGGATCGAAACAATCGAACACTTTACCCACTAGGCTACCCCACCGCACCCCTTGCATATGTAATGGGTGTGGCTCAGAAGAGAACTTACTGGAATTATTTCCAGTCAGTGTTTTGACTAAAAGTGAAATCTGTCTAGCTGTGTCCTAATAATCTAGAACATGTACAAATGGGTAGCCCTTTCGAAAATATACTCAGCAAAAAAAAAAGAAACACAAAAGTAGAAAAATGGCAATTTGACAATCAATCAGAGTTTTCCATATATTCATAGAAAATGAATACCAAATTTGACTTTCTCATGTCTACATGCATCAGGAATGATTTGTGCAGGTTGCATGAAGTACGGCCCAAAAATACGGAAAAGGTGGGGGGTAACGGAAAATCACTATCTCGTGGGACCATGGCAGCCAAACACACCTCCATGAAAAGAATGTGCAACATGAATTATTGGGCTATGAAAACTATGGGGATTCATTTATTGGTCATGGCAATCGTACAGCAAGTGAAAAGTGAAAAGTGAAAATGTGCAACAACTGACAGTAGCCACTGGTGAACTGCAGACAGGAGACTCGACTTCGGCCATGCCCACATCTCCAGTACAGGTAGAACAGACTGGGTACATTGAACACATATGGGATGCTCCAGCACACAATTTGTAATCTGATTGGTTCCATGGAGCGACATTGCCAGGCAGTTCTGGAATCTCATGAGGGCCAAACAAGACATTGAGAACAGATTACCTTCACCTTGACATTTGATTGTTTCATGTGAACCATGATGAACCTCGGTCAGTGACAGTGACTCCAGTCAAATTTCAACAGTTTATTATGGCCTGTTGATTTTTTATATACCAGTAACACATAAATTACATATCTGATTTTGCATTTTTCTTTTTGCAGAGTATAGTTAATGCAAGTCCTTAAAAATTTGAAAGGAGAACTTATATATAATGAGATACATATATACATAAATACTTTATGCCAATATTTATCAAAATTTGGTCATTTGGTTAATTCTTTTTATGCATATTTTGTTGTCATTTAGTAAAATGTGTACTTCTCCATCCCTAGATAAGACATTATGCACTTCGTGTATGAATAAATCTTCAAAAATAGTTTATGTGTAAGATATTTGGGTCAGGAAACCACAGGGACTAGTGAGCCAGAAGAATTGCTTGAAAAACTAAATGTATTGTCAGCATGTCTGGGAAATAATAGTTTTGTATTGCACTGAATGTATCATCACACAAATACCAGACCTCAACTTTTGTCCATCTTTAACAAGATTACACCACAAGCACAATCAGACTGATTATCAGATCAAACCAAACACAACTGACCCTGGAAAACAATATTCTCCCATGGGACAATGACATGTTAAACATCATGTTCATGTTAGACAATAATGACACTTGAGATGAACTGAAGTCCTCTTGTTTTGTTAAAAGTAAATATACAGGGCTTTGTGTTGGCAAATATATCATATTGTAATATCATAGGTACAGATAAGCTGCGTATCTGCGTAAATTACGCAAATATTAATGTGAAAACTCAATTCCTATTAAGTCTATTGCGTACAATTATGCTTGAATTTTGTACTCACGAAAAGGTCAAATCTTAGCTTGCGTACCGGTGGATAGATAAAGTAACTGAGGTATACTGAGAGGTTCTATTTCAGGACATGAACTTGACAACTTGCAGTCTTTATAGTTTCTCATATTACAGATCAAATGTAAATAACAAACACTAACATTTGAACTTTATTATATTTTTAAAAGTAATGGAAAATGGCAAAATACCCAATTGAGTTGAGTGAGGCGAGTACAATTTATTTGGTTCCTCAAAGGAAAATTAGGATACCCAATTGAGATGAACTCTAGTAAGTACATAACTCAATGACCCAAAAAGTTATCTGTAGCTGTGTAATATATTGCAATTCTGGTACCCGTATTCCTATACATATTTTCATATATTGGGAGCTTCAGTGTTTGACAGTGAGTGACATTGATTATACATGCAGAGCCTATTTTGACATACTAAACTTACTAGCCTTAAACTACATGCTATGTTTGTAGATTTACAAAAATCTCTAATTTAGATTTGATTTTGAGGGATTGTAGTTTCTTTTTTTATGAAATTTATGCATGTAAAGAATGCTGTTTTGTCAATTAGTTACCATGTAACACTTGAATGAAAGTCTGTGTAGATCGTAACTTAAACCATAGAGATAATCACAAAACTTCAAATATTTGTATTACTCAATATACCAGTTCTGAGAAAAAAACATTGCATTACATATTGTTTCCAAGATGTGCTGCAATATAGTGGTATACAGGTAATGCTGTGCAGACCCATAAATAAACATCACTGTTAACATGGTTCATTTTCTATCGCTAAAACATAATCTGGAAAATTACTAAGTATTCATAACAGTTTCAATAATGATTTTAGAAGACACTGCATACCCTGGAAATGTTGTTTGTGGTGAGTTTGGAGTACTGGCTCTGTGTTTAGCGACCATATTATTTCCAAGTTGATGGTTTAACTGGTTTCCATGTTGATGGAGGGAGCTGACCATCAGCTGGAACATGTCCATCTCATGTTTCCTTTCTGCCTCTCTATGCCTATTTTCAATCTCTTGTCTCTGCAGTTCAAAATTGAAATGTTGCTGCTGCTGTTTCTCATGGGAGGCTAGGAAACGGTCTTGCAAGTCTTTCTGAATTTGAGATACTTTGTTCAACATCAAATCAAAAGTCTGCTCGAGTCGAGCTCTCTTCCTTCCTCCCCCTCTTCCCCCTCTATGCAACCTATGTCCATGGCCCATATAGGGGTTAAAATGGTGATGCATCATTCCAAAACCTCTATCAAACCCAAATCCTCCTCTCATACAGTCTCCCCGTCTTCTCATTGTCATTCGAGCAGCATTGAGTGGTCCTGTGTTCATTTGTTGCCAAAACGTGGCAGGATCATCTTTTGGCACACTGTCGGTTTTACTGGATGATGCAAATCTACCTGTCCCACTAGGTCCTCCTCCGTGCATAAACATATTACCATAGCTACCAGCTCCTCCACTGTCATGCACTGGGTTTGCTGTTTGTTGTGTTGCACTAGATGATGGCTGAGCCTCACTATATTGAGATGACATTTCCTCGTGGACATAATCATCATCTGATAAATCCCCTTTCAGATAATCATACTCACTTTCAGAATCAGAATCACTCAAGACGGTGCTATTATTGTCATTGCTTATTACACTTGGGCTAAATCTTGATTTGTCATATTCTTGAGGATAGTAATGTGATCCGTGTCCATTAGCCTGATCACCATGGTGGGGATGTGGGCGTGGCTGATGAGGCACATGCTGTGGGTACCCATCCCCTCCTTCCTCGATGTTGTCTCCCAACACAGACCGAAGAATGTCATAGAATTTAAAACTACTCTTCCTGTAGCCCTTTTTCTCTCTTATTCTTCTGTACTTGAACTTAAGTTTCTTGATTTTATCTCGACAACTTATCGCTGATCGATTGATTCCAAGTGAAGCAAGTTGAGTGGAAATTTTTTCGTAGACAGGCAAGTTTTGATGCATGTTACCCAGTTCATTTTGAATATCCTTCTTCGACCATATATTCAGTAAACTCTCAATTTCGTGGTTCTGCCAGTTGGCAGTTTCAGATAAATCAACACTCGTCATCTTTCCATGTAAATTAATCACAGCGTACAGAAGAAACAAACATACTCTTCTCATACAAGCGTCTGCACTTCCGGGACCAAACGCTTTTGCGCAGGTACAAAACTACTCTAAACTGGTTCAACTGTTGGCACACGACTGAATTACTCAGACTGGTACCCTGCCTTTCGACTCCTTAAAAGTGCGTCGAGGAGCGCAAGCGCACCAGCGCAGGTAAACCACTCTACTGATTTAGATAGACATGACCCAGTCAATTAATACTCCCTACAGGGTTATACGGAAACGCGTTTGTGACGATGAAGAAACCGGTCTCAGAATAATTACTAGTTTTCGGGTGTCCACGTCTCAAGAACGCTGATTTAGAGCTAAAGATATGAAGTCCGTTGTCAGTCGGTTTAAATGTGATGTGCATGAATATCACGGTAAACATGTATACGTCATGATAGTATTTTGTGACCTGAAGATATACTGCTCTCTTAAGAATCTGTTCTCACTCACAAAATCAGCTGTGTTCCACAAGGCCGGCAAACTGTTGAAAGGAGAGATCACGTGATGTAAGGAGTGACACGTGTGTACCAGCCCATATACATACAACTTGACAGATGGCACCTACGGTAATGATATGGAAGCAGATGTTTTTAGTGAGGTCTATAGTGCGGCACCGAGGCCAAAGGCTGGGTCAAATCAATTTACAATTGTGCAAGATATATATGCAATCAGAGACCCCAAAAAATGGTCTCTGATGCAATTATGCGGTTAACTTTCAAGATAGGCTACTCGTATTTCTCTGACCATGGCAAAAATGAACATGTCATTAAACTCCACGGTCACCTGATTCAAAGTAATTGAAAAGATATACAGTTTTCAGGAAACCGGCTCCATTTTAGTGTAATTTCATTGAGTATCTTTTTGCAGTATCGACAGGTGCATATCCTCGAAAGAAAGAAACAACCTTTGAGAATGAATTATTGTACTGTTTTTGGCCTACGCCACTTTAGACAATACTGCAACAATACTACGGTGTGGGACACCAGAAATGTGCTTCACACGTTGTATCCATGTGGGGAATCGAACCCAGGCCTCTGGTCTAACGAGGGAAAGCTTAGGGACCGTTCATGATTTATGGCTAGGGGGGGTGGTGATGATTTTTATGGAGATGCATTTACAACGTGAATGGACCCCCCCCCCCCCTAAAATTTATGTACAAAATAAGTATAATTTTAAACATATTGTATGTACAAAATTGATTACCTCCCAAGTATGTGTGTACACAATGGAGCTCGCCAGAACAAAATGGGTGGGGAACACCCCCCCCCACCTTAAAACATCATCACCCCCCTAGCCATAAAGTATGAACGGTCTCTTTAAGTTAACCACCGGGCTACCACACCGCAAAGTGAGTGAGTGAATATCGCTAAACGCCGCAACAGCAATCTTGCAGCTGTTCGTATTTTACAGTATGAAATACACAAAAAAACTGATGATGAAAATCAATACAATCTCAAATATCACATTCATGGAGAACATCTGTTTTTTATAGAGTCTGCATGATTTCATTTAAATGTGTTTGGGTACTGTAACAAACATTTAGTGAGTGAGTGAGTTTAGTTTTACGCTGCACTCAGCAATATTCCAGCTATATGGAGGCGGTCTGTCAATAATTGAGTCTGGACAATCCAGTGATCAACAGCATGAGTATCGATCTGCGCAATTGGGACACGATCACGGGCATCAACCAAGTCAGCGAGTCTGATCACCCGATCTCGTTAGTCGCCTTTAACGACAAACATGGGTTATTGAAGATTAATTCTAACACGGATCTTCACGGGTACACAAATGTTTAGATGAGGTTGGAGCGTCATATTGAAAACGTTGTCTGATATGTGCAAAGTCAACGCATTCAAGCAAAATCATATGTGCTATGATAGGAGATGCATTGAAGTGGATCTTCTCATATTAATGAAATTCGACTGGCTGAGTTTAGTTTTACGCCGCTTTTAGCAATATTCTAGTAATATCACGGCGGGGGACACCAGAAATGAGCTTCACACGTTGTGCCCATGTGGGGAATCGAACCCGAGTCTTCAGCGTGACAAGCGAACGCCTTATCCATTAGGCTATCCCACCGCCCCTTCTTGTGCCAGAGCGGCTAGGAATCCAATATCAGAACACGATAACCTTCGTGAGTGACTTTTAGCTTTACGTCGATCGCTTTTAGCAATATTCCAGCAATATCACGGCTGGGGACACCGGTTGTACCACGTTCCCAGGTTGCAGATAAACCTTTTTTGGTCTCATTACATGTTTAACTGTTTTTTCCAGGGGTGTGTGCGTGTGTGTGTGTGTGTGTGTGTGTGTGCATGCCTATTGATATGCATGTATGCCCATGAGATGCACTTCATTTGGCAATGATAATGGCTATATGAAATGTCAATATAAAATGCAGACAGCTGTGATGGAATGTTGGAATAATCCATGGGAGAACAGTTTGTGTTAACTGACCGTAAAGTGCATAACTATAAGTACTTTTTTATAACAGAAATGTGAAGAATGTATTATCAGTGGTATATATTAGTGGTTTTATTTACACAATGTGTCAAATGCTATAGGGGTAAATACTTTCAGCACACGTGTCTAATGTTTCAGATGTAAATACCTTTATATGTGTGCCAAGCACATTTTCATGATATGCGTGTGACTATTATAGGTCTCTAATTAATACTACAGTGTAAATACTTTTAGCATATATGTCAAATGCTACATGCGTAAAAACCTTCAGAATATGTGTCTAATGCATGTTCAGTGTTACAGACACAACACCTTTCAGCGGATATCCTAAGTTACAAGTATAGCTGTACTTTTCGTATATATAGGCGTCTAATGCTACAGGTGCAGAAACGTTCAGCAAATTCGTATATGTTACAGGCGTTATGAGTGAGTGAGTGAGTTTAGTTGGTTATCATGACTTCTTCGAGTTCAATACATCGGGTCGAATGCTACCTCGTTAGGATGAGAAAGCCACAATAACTCGGTGCGCCTAGTGGCTGCAAGAGTTGTATACTCCCCAGGGAGTCGAGATTGATAATGCGATGTGCCGTTGAGATTGACATCCAATGATCGAGGGAAAAAATACCAGCGCCTTGAGCATGCACTAGTGCGTGGATATGTGCGCTATATAAACATCCTATAATAATAATAATAAAAAATAGTATGTCCTATATAGGTATACTTTGTATACAACCAGCTGTTGTATCAGCAATGAGACTTGTATTATCAGCTGATAGCAACAGATGACTGGGCAGATAATATCCGCTGACAACGGACGGACGCAAAACACAGGTCGTACATGTGTATTGATTAACAGAACATGAAAAAATGTTGGTCTATGTCCCTTAAGAGACGCTGTCAGTAACTGTCAATATTGTTTAATATTGATACATGGAACCGTTACAGGGGCCGATAGAGCTTCTTTGAGAAAGTGGGGGTGCACAGTTACTTTTCACCCGTTTTCACGAGCGTTTCAATGGTCATTTAACAAATCCCCCCCCCCCCGATTCCGCCTATGCATTATATACTAGCATACTTTCTAAACGATTTAACTTTATAAAATTAATTATGTGTATATGGCAGGGGGATTTACAGACCGCCGCCATATAGCGGGAATATTAATTGCGGTGTAAATCTAAACTCACTCACAGCCGAGAGTCCCGCTCTCCGCCGTGACTCAACATTAGGGACGGTCGTTAGTTAGGGTCATGTCTTGACTATAAACATGGCGGTTTTTGCTCCCGAAAACAGGACTATATATCCACGGACATTATCTGCAGTATACTTATGATTCTTTTTCACAGTTCGTATTTTTCGCAGTCGTAATGCAAGTTTGAAAAATAGTCTGGCTATACAGATTGAACATACTCACAGTTCAACTACTTAGCTGTACATGTGTTGTATTCAAGGTCCCCGATCTTTCTGGTCTGTAAACATGAATGCGGCATTGACTGATTGCGGGCGATCAAGGCCAAAGTCACAGTTACGCATGCATACACTGATACAGCTGCAAAAAACCAGTTTGGTGACAATTGTTGCGTACAAGGTTTATTATTATTATTCGTCTGTTCAAACCGCCAAGCTCTTACAAACAGTTCATATCCCGCGGGTAGGTTGTAGGATCCAGACAATATCTGGCCTTTATACCGGCTTGTGTACAGAAGAAAATTAAGGAAAATAAATGATGCGTAAACATACGGTTGCGTAACAGAGAGAAAAATGACCAGTCTTCCCATATGCGAGCGAAGGAAGACTGGTAATTTTTTCTGGATGAAGACTGGATGAAATATCACCCAACAAAAAAACTCCATACCTTTCCCACCATAAAATATCCTAGTTATCATTGAAATAAACCTAATTGTACGTTCATTCCCTTTTCGTGTTATTTTCAGTTACATAGAAAGAAAAGAGAGTATTACATTCATGATTTTTTTTGTTACATCCCATTATTGAATCATTCACAAATTCACAGGAATAATCATATCGTGTCCTGGACGTACACGGAAAGTCGATTACACGTGAAACTGCACCGGAACACACCCAATATTAATTTGTTTCATGGACCATTATAACAGTTTTTCATAGTGCCTACATTTCTGTGTAAATATGGTGCCTACATTTTTATGTAAATATAGTGCTTACATTTCTATGTAAATATATAGGGCCTACATTTCTATGTATATATAGGGCCTACATTTCTATGTAAATATAGTGAGTGAGTTTAGTTTTACGCCGCACTCAGCAATATTCCAGCTATGGCGGCGGTCTGTAAATAATCGAGTCATGACCAGCCAATCCAGTGATCAACATCATGAGCATCGATCTGCGCAATTGGGAACCGATGACATGTGTCAACCAAGTCAGCGAGCCTGACCACCCAATCCCGTCAGTCGCCTCTTACGACAAGCATGGGTTACTGAAGGCCAATGTTCTAACCCGGACCTTCACGGGTCATGTACAGATAGATTTAACTTTCAAGTTCTTAATTTTCCGGGGCGTTGCCTGGTAGCCTAGTGGTCTAAGCGTTCGCCCCTTACGCCGAAGATCAGAGTTCCATTCCCCAGATTGATCTCATTTCTGGTGTCCCCTGCCGTGATTTATTGCTGCAAGCTGCGTAAAACTATACTCACTCACTCTTAATTTTCCCTAAAGGCTCTGTCAATTCACAAAATGTGTACATTATCCATGGAGATTGTTTACAACCATTGAGCGATAAAGAGTTCGCTACGACCGGTTATTGTCTAATTTTTAAGTGTAAGTAATGCAATAGACGTAGCATAAAAATGCGTTGATGAACGAGTCTCTGGTCATATAAACAATTTAATATAGAATAATAAGCCAAACATGCAAAGGGACGTAGCTCTGCAGTGGCACATTCATTCACGCGGAAATAGGCTCAGCCACAATCACTCCGATGAACGAACTAATCATACTGGACGTCGCCTGTTTAATCAGCTGTACGTCGCCTGTTGTGATGAAAAAATGCGATGGCGGGACGTGTTGACAGTTGCGGGAATCGACGTGATTTAGGTCATCTAAGATAATGGACACTGGAGATACAGATATTGACGAGATGAGTCTTGACGATACCTCGGAGACTACAAACTTAGTCGGACGTTATCGCCCGAAGATGGACCTGGCGGAAGAAAAGCTCGAAAATGGCTCTTCAGGTGGCTCTGAACAGCCAAAAACGACACTTTTTATATGGATTCTGGCAGTTTTCTCAGCCATCGGTGGATTTCTGTTCGGTTATGACACCGGTGTAGTATCGGGAGCTATGTTATTAGTCAAAAACGACTTCACATTGACATCCGTGGGAGAAGAAGTTGTCGTGAGTGTGACGATAGGCTCCGCTTTTGTGGCAGCGTTGTGTGGTGGAGTTCTGAATGATAAATTTGGACGAAAGTCAACAACTATTTTAGCTAGCTTCGTGTTCACTGTAGGAGGAGTGATACTTGGAGCCGCACAGAACTTTGCCATGTTAGTGACTGGCAGGCTCATACTCGGGATTGGCATTGGTATGGTGATGATGATGATGATGATGATGATGATGATGACACACTTCTTTGTTGCATATATAATAATTATAATAATAATAATATCGATCAGATGTGTAAAACTATTTGCTATATTGTATTGTACAGATGAAATAAACGTGACTTTCTTTTTTGAATATACTTAAACAACTAATATTGTCTCAAATAATTTATATTTCCAAGTTCAAATTTAAAAAAACAAGTAATTTTAAGTTTTAGATGATAAAAATAACCTGTATGTATGTGAACTAAAACTAACTTCAGCTAATGCTGCTATTATCAGTGACAGTTCTGGAATTAATATATTGCATGAAAGTCCAATTAGTACTTAGATTATATAATCATAAAATTTGATATTAATTTCAGCTTTCGTTGTACCCAATAATATGGTAATATGACCCAGAACATACTGTTTTGCACCTTGAATTTCATCCCTGTGTATATACTGTTTAAAAGAAGTAAAGAAACCAGTGATTCTTTCACATTACCATAGTTAGGCTCCGTTCATAATTTATGGCTAGGTGGGGTGGTGATGATTTTTATGGAGAAGCATGTACAATGTGAATGACCCCCCTAAAATTTATGTACAAAATAAGTGACCCCCCTGCATGTCATGTACAAAATCAATGACACCCCCCCACCCCCCACCCCACACACATGTTACCTTAAAAAGGCTCTACGTTTTTTTGAGCTTTGAAAAGGAACAAATTTCCAAAAGTTTGCCTTGAAAAGGCCCTAAATTTTGCAAGCTGGTCAAGTTTTGATTTTACAGGCCATAAATGTTTTTATTTGATGGCTGGTAATTTGTATGAACCCTGTTTTATCAGTGTAATGTCAGACAATGATTACATCTCCCCAGGTCTTGCATCAATGACAGTTCCGATGTACATCGCTGAGTGTGCACCTTCACATCTGCGAGGTCGCCTGGTGACGGTCAACGTCCTCTTCATCACGGGAGGTCAGTTTGTCGCCAGTGTGATGGACGGCGCCTTCAGCTATGTGGAGAAGGATGGCTGGAGGTAGACCATTCTTTTGTATTTCAAGAAAAATATGTTTGAGACTTTTAAACGATTCCCTGTTAGGGTTCTGTAGTGCATGCCTGTTAAATGGTGATAGATCAGACTATATGACTGTCCTTATTTTCGGAAGTCTCAGGAAATATGAACAATCATCTGGACCATTGTTGTTTTTTTTCTGTTTGTTTGTTTGGTGTTTAACACTGCACTCAGCAATATTTCAGCGATATGTCGTCTGTCTGTAAGTAATCAACAGTCCAGTGATCAACAACATGAGCATCGATCTACGCAATTTGGATATGATGACATGTGTCAACCAAGTCAGCGAGCCTGACCACCCGATCCCGTTAGTTGCCTTTTATGACAAGTATTGTTACTGAGGACTAATTCTAACCTGGATCTTAGCGGGTCTTGTTTTTTTAAAAAGTCATTTGTCCTCTCTGGAATATTTACGGCCAGTTTGAATCAGCTGGGATATTGACAATGGACCATGTTAAGGGTGGAATAAGTGGTCAGGTTCAAAGCAGCTTTGATCAGTATTCTAGTTCTATCACAGCGGGTCAGCTTAATGTGGCAAGAAAGGCTGATGGTGGTCTCAGACATTTACTTCTTTGGTAAAAAACATGGTTTTAGTGTTGACAAACCTGCAGACTTAAGTGAGTGCAGCCGGGATTAGAACTCACAATCACAGGCTCCTGGCATGCCAAAGGGAAGTAACTCTGTACTTCTGACTTACACATCTGCAGCACCCTTGACCCATACTGTTAGGGGACAATATGAGTTGAAGTGATATTTTACAATTTATGCTGCAATAGCTGTTATGGCTTTGTAAAAGTCATTTGTATTACTCTGAAATTATTGAATACAAATTTTGAAAAAAACTCTGAATTTAGGAATATATGAAGCATAAAAAATTCCCAATTTTTGAAGAGCATAACTGCTTTTTCCAACTTGTCTGCCACTGGAACTGAATCCAAGACAAATCCCTGCCCACTACGGTGATATGAAATTAAAAAAAACACCTGTGAAATGTCTAACAAAATTACACATACCGGTAAGTGTATTCAAAATAAGTACCTTTTTGTCCGAATTTGTTTTTTACAGATACATGTTTGGCTTGGCAGCGGTGCCAGCATTTGTTCAGATGATAGGCTTCCTGTTCCTCCCAGAGTCACCCCGCTGGCTGATGAAGAAGGGATACGAGGAGAAGGCGTACTCGGTGCTGGCCAGAATCCGCGGTACCAAAAACGTGGACGAGGAGGTCAAGATTCTGAGGCGAGTCTGTGACGAGGATGAGGAAATCAAACAGCAACAAGGTGTGATATTTGCACAAGTCTTTAATGCAATACTCATTACTTGAATAATTTAGGTCAGTTTAGTTTTATAATTCCTTTATTAAGCAAATGAAAATACAAGATGATGCTATTAAAGACTCGTGTCCTTATTGTTCTCTGGGGTATAGATGTTAGATTAAAGAAATCTGCTTCTGATAGCCAAAACATTGAGTGTATTTCTTAAAGGAATTGAAATACCTGTTAAAACACATGTCACTTGCAGTTTATGGTATCTATTAGTTTTATGATGGTATAAACAGCCACTCTCAATTTGTTTCCCCCCAGGACCCGTGAAGATCCAGGGTAGAATAGGTCTTCAGCAACCCATGCTTGCCACAAAAGGCGACTATGCTTGTCGTAAGAGGCGACTAACGGGATAGGGTGGTCAGGCTCGCTGACTTGGTTGGCACATGTCATCGGTTCCCAATTGTGCAGATCGATGCTCATGCTGTTGATCACTGGATTGTCTGGTCCAGACTCGATTATTTACATACCGCAGCGTAAAACTAAACTCACTCACTCACCCTATGTAAATTATCACATCCATTCTCATTTTTTATGTGAATAGGATGCATTTTTCTGTAAATCTTGTAAAACCCTTAAAATGAATGATATCACTATATTCATCATGTTGGTGAAATTATATAATTAGATTTAAATTGATTTTTACCCATGTTGCATTGATGAGCATGGGATGAATTATAATGCCAGAAAAAAGGTGTGGACAAGTCCAAATTTATTACCCAAGTACCTGAACCCCTGCACCTATCTCTTACCTGGTGCCTGCTGTAGACCTCAAGGGTTGGGTACAAAACCTCTGATAAGGATGTGTTACAGGAGCTCTGGCAAAATGTTTGTAGATGTATGTCTCAAAAGGTCTAATTATGCATACACTGAAGCTGGGACTTTGCTCATACATAAAAGTAAAAAAGAATCCAATCATAGCTTGGTAGAAATGCCAACATTAGAGACTTGTCGTGTAACCATGGCGTTACCTGTATATTGTTATTGTTAGGAAGGTATGGGTAGTACGTCGGGTACCTGGGCCTAGATTTTCGAAGCTCTCTTAGCGCTAAGATAGTCATAAGTTAATGTTAATGTATGGCACTTACGACTATCTTAGCTCTAAGAGAGCTTTGAAAATCTAGGCCCTGGGCTGTATGATCCACCTGTCACAAGTATGTACTTGAGTACCTGAGGTGAGGTGAGGTGAAATGGGGTTTAACGTGGCACTTTAGAATATTTCGCTCATATGACGACATGCTTGCGTGCGTATGCTCTGGCTACTTATAAATACCCCACTCAGACACATTATACTGACTCTGAGCCGACCAGTCCCTGTTGTACCCATTAATGCCGAGCACCAGGCAGAGACCAACAAGTACCATATTTTAACGTCTTTTGGTATGATGTGGCTGGGATCGGACTTGCGACCTTCCGCTCTCCGGGCGGACGCTCTAACCACTACACCGCGGAGACGTTAAGCCCAATTTCACCTCACCTATTTCTGTACAGCCGAAAGTAAGGGCATATAAGCAGATAATGACATCATCACCTAAATTGATTCTGTGCATAGTAAACAGTCTGTCATAACACAACACCGGCATCTAGTGATCCTTCTCAGCTGGTAGTGTATGTTTACATGTTCTATATTGATCTACACAGTGTAGTCCAGAGACATAGTCAATATTCTCAAGTACAAGACTCCTTGAAGTGGCTGTAAAACATACTTAGGGACCGTTCATAATTTATGGCTGGCGGTGGGGTGGGGTGATGATGATTTTTATGGAGAAGCATGTACAATGTGAATGACCCCCCTAGAATATATGTACAAAGTAAGTGACCTCCCTGCATATGTCATGTACAAAGGCAATGACATCCCCCCAAAATGTTAAGCATAATTATTGAATATATTTAAGTACAAAATTGCTGCCCCCATCCCCGTACATGTGTACAGAACTGATGACCCCCCTACCTCCCCAGAACAATGTGGGTGACAAACACCCACCCCTCTTAAAATAATCACCACCACCCCAGCCATAAATTAGAAACGCTCCCTTATATGAGAGCCAGTAACATCACAGAAAAGAATGTTATTATACACGACATCAGCCATGGTCCTACTTTGTTTTAAACAGGGAGTACTTTTTCTTATTTAAGGAAATCTGTATGAACTTTTCTATTTAGTCTGATATATTCCATAACCAAGTACTTCTGATGCATAAGTTAATATTGGCACTTCTGTTTTCTTAAATGACTTCAGTGACAGTACATTCAGATTTCTAATTCTCACATACAGTAAATATGAAAACATTTTGGCCTGTGCTATAAGTGCAGATTTTGCTGTTCGATATCTAACTTCTAAATTACACTTCTATAATAATTATATGAGTCAACAATTTCTGAAGCATAACTGCATAAAATAAAATTATCCCTGGTCTTTTTTTTTTCCAAAGATGACTACTCATGTTTAATTTTCAATTACAGAAAAGTTCCAGGTTTGACAGTAACTTAAAACTTGTGCTGTAAACCTGAAATACTTAATCAAACAGTACGATGTCATCAGAATATAGAGTGGGTGAGTTAGTTAGTTAGTGCTGCCTTTAGCAATATTCAAGCAATATCACAGAGGGGGACACCAGAAATGGGCTTCACACATTGTACCTATTTGGGGAATTGAAACGCTTTAACCATTAGGCTACCCTACCACCCCTCAGGCCGATAATTTTTTTTAAAAAAGTGGTATGAATAAAAAAGCTTTCAGATACCATTGTTTTTTTTCTGGCACCGATGGACATTGGTCATTCTGAAAGTCGACATAATGGCTGCAAGCTTGATTGAATAAACAATTACACATTGATAAATGTGTTATAAGTTCCTACTTTACTTCTAAAAAAAATGTAAAAACATAATCCCACCTACCTACCCTAATCGAACCACAACATTTTTTTATTTCAGAATATAGATGTAATAACATGTTTTTACATAATTCTATAGAACTGTCATCTAATATTTTCCCAGTACATTATTGTTTGTATATACATGTATATATAAATCTTCTAAATCATTCAAATTAAATGCCAACAACATAATTTCATAGTGGAAAAAGTAAAAGATTCACTTTTATGATAAATACTAGAGTTTGATATCCTTTTAAATATTATGCTTCCAAATTTAACATGTTCCTTGTATGTGAGACTTGGTAATTTGTTGCCCTAGTCCAACTTGCTGTACTCATCAGTAAAAGTACAATATAGTTTTCTCTTTCATACTCTTAGACACTGAGGGGAGGTGGGGTAGCCTAGTGGTTAAGGCGTTCACTTGTCACTTGATCACAAGATCCGGGTTTGATTCCCCACATGGGCACAATGTGTGAAGCCCATTTCTGATGTCCCCTGCTGTGATATTGCTAGAATATTGCTTAAAGTGGAGTAAAACTAAACTGACTCACTCTTAGACACTGACAAGACATTAATGGGTTGTGATGGGTTGAATAATCATGGCATATTCTGTCCAGTATTTTGTCTATCGGTTTATTGGTATCCTAGAAACATTTATATTACTTGCTGTGGGAAGAAAATAGCTTCCCAAAACAACTTACCTTGTAGTTGGCCTGTATGACTGACCAACAAGTTTCACTCTTTATACTGGTATATATTGGTTCAATATGCCCTAGGAGACTTGATAGTGGCATTATATGCGTTTCTAAGAAAACATTAAAATATCTTTCATATGTAAAAATGTATTTTAAACTTTCATCAGCTTTCTGTTTAATGCTTTCACCTCTTGCCCGGTTCGGGTGTGTGTATATATTGTTTTAAGTGTTACCATGATCACTATATGAGATATCCCCTCTTAAAATATTGATGAAAATCAGCTCTATTAACATCCTCGATAATCTCCAGGGTATACGTTACGATAACTCTCCACATCGCTTGGGGCGATGATTTTATTACCTCCCTTGGCTGGCTCTGCATTCTCACAGTAGCCAATCAGCTAAGCCGCCGTTACAACCGAGCTTGCCAGTGTCAACAAGAATAGAGGTCGCAGTCGCGAAGGTTTGTTCGCAGTGCCACTCAGATTTTTTGGGAAATAACGAAGACAAATTGAGAGATCTGAAACTTTAAAAAATATATATGACAGAACTCCTTCTACTTCTTTCAGAGTACCTCTGCAAGTTTAAACGGTTAAATAATTTAAGAAGCAAAAGTGAGTTGTGATTGGTACGCTCAACTTCCCAGCGTAGGCACCTGATTGGATAAAAAGCCAGCCAAGGGAAGTAATAAAATCATCGCCCCAAGCCGTGGATGCATCCAGGGTATAGTGGAGAGTTATCGTAACGTATACCCTGGAGATTATCGAGGATGCTCTATTAATAGCATCCCCTTATGCTTAAATATTAAACATATTAAGTTTTGTCCAATATTCTCTTGGTGATTTATTTATCACATTCCAGACTTCCATATTTAATAAATATTTTCTAACGTATATTTACCAGGGACAGAAATGCAATTAATTTAAGGGTGCCATGGGGCACCAGACAGATGATTTAGGTGTGCCCTTGTGAGTATGATATCTTTTGATGATCCAATTAAACTTAAAACATCACAACAATGTTATTTCAATTTATTATTTAATATATCAGTAAAATTCATATGAACCTGTAAACTTGAGAGCTGGATTTCCTGAACACATGCATGACTGCAAGAACAGTCATTTGTCCCAGACCCATAAGCTACCAGTAACCCACAAACTAATAAATCAGCAAACATCATGTAAACCTGTAAACTTGAGAGCTGGATTTCCTGAACACTGTCATGGCTGCAAGAATAGTTCAGCTTCATTTCCCCCCTCACCAAACTACTAGTAACCTACAAACTATCATCCAAAACACGATTTCCTGTTACGCCGCTTGCATTCAAAATGGCCACACCCATGTTAAGCTGTGAAATTGAGAGTGTCACCGATTAACAGTTTTGGTTGGTCGAATCTACTGTATTTTCTATTAATTACGGATGGGAAGTAATGTTTTCATAATTATAGTCGTGTCATTCTTTCAAATGTTTCCTTGTAGCATGCACTAGGCCTATGTCTTCCCCTACTCAACTGTTACCATATCAGTAATGGTACATTAATCGACACGTGTGAAGGTCTGGGTTAGAATTGATCTTCAGCAACCCATGCTTGTCGTAAGAGGCAACTAATGGAATCGGGTGGTCAGACTTGCTGACTTGGTTGACACATGTCATCGTGTCCCAAGTGGCGTAGATCGATGCTGATGCTGTTGATCACTGGATTGTCTGGTCCAGACTCTATTGATAAGTTTTCAGACTGCCGCCATATAGCTGGAATATTGCTGAAATAAAACTAAACTCACTCACTCACTGGTACATAGATTTTATTATTAGATGTGGTATTTTGACATTTCATTGCCTAAGAACATTTTTAGTTATCAGCCAAAATAGGTCAAATAAGCAAGATCAAACCTAACTCTACAATGGATTGCTCGTCTGGCGCTAGATTGTGGATGAAAACTTTATAATTTTTTTGCAATAACTGGAGAAAGTCAAGCATCATGTGACCAAAGGTATATAAAGTTCCGGGTTTTACATCAACCCACAACCATGGAGTTGCAGGGGGGCCCCTAATTATTAGTATAAGGGACCTTGCTGGCAATACGAGGGTCCTGTGAAGTAACGGTTTAAAGAACTGTATGTTGTGATAATTTCTTTAGAGCCTGGATTGAATCATTGATCATGTAGACTGGTGGATGAAATGTTGCACGTAACTGCTCTGAAAGAAACAACCAAACAGTTATCAAAGTCATAGATGTGTTGTGGGTACAATGAATAATATTGTGCATCCCTCTGGTCGGAGTGAATTGTTTTTCTGCATGCATTCTCTACACCAGCTGGATGCACATTGCATGTCACATAAAACCCTGCAGTTATATACCTACTTACAACTGAACACAACTTTACAGTGAGTGAGTTAGAATTTAATGTTGCATCTACAATATTTCAGGGATATAGTGACAACATCTTTATAAGAATTTCTGGTGATTTCTTAATGATTCATGAAATTTTTGTTTTTCAGGTGACCGCTCGACCATTGTCCGTCTGCTGACTACTCCGTCCACTCGGCGAGCTGTCACTGTAGGCTGCGGCCTTCAGCTCTTTCAACAACTCACAGGAATCAACACCATTATGTAAGTAACATGGCAGGATCATCGGTATATCCTGTACACACACTGATATACTGCTTAAAAAATCTTTGTCTGAAAGTAATTGTCAAATAAATTGATAAATATTCATAATAGAAAACATTTTTCTTGTGTTTACTTACTGTTTTAAGTGTCTATGTTATGTAGATGTTGCAACTCTACTCATAGAAACGAAGAATGGAATAACATATACTCATGGAAATGAATAAGGGAACACATGAAAGTGCAAGTATTCCTTTATTCTTTTCCAGGCTTCTTCACAAGGTATGTATTGCACTGTGGGTGAAATTCTGGAATAAAGAAAGGAACACTTGTACTTTCATGTGTTACCTTATTCATTTCCTTGAATATATGTTATTCCCTGTGTTACAGGTATTATAGATCTTACAACTATGTTATTCCCTCTGTTACAAGTATTATAGATCTTACAACTATGTTATTCCCTCTGTTACAAGTATTATAGATCTTACAACTATGTTATTCCCTCTGTTACAAGTATTATAGATCTTACAACTATGTTATTCCCTCTGTTACAAGTATTATAGATCTTACAACTATGTTATTCCCTCTGTTACAAGTATTATAGATCTTACAACTATGTTATTCCCTCTGTTACAAGTATTATAGATCTTACAACTATGTTATTCCCTCTGTTACAAGTATTATAGATCTTACAACTATGTTATTCCCTCTGTTACAAGTATTATAGATCTTACAACTATGTTATTCCCTCTGTTACAAGTATTCCCTGTTATTCCCTCTGTTACAGGTATTATAGATCTTACAACTATGTTATTCCCTCTGTTACAAGTATTATAGATCTTACAACTATGTTATTCCCTCTGTTACAAGTATTATAGATCTTACAACTATGATCTTACAACTATGTTATTTATTCCCAACTGTGTTACAGGTATTATAGATCTTACAACTATGTTATTCCAACTATGTTATTCCCTCTGTTACAAGTATTATAGATCTTACAACTATGTTATTCCCTCTGTTACAAGTATTATAGATCTTACAACTATGTTATTCCCTCTGTTACAAGTATTATAGATCTTACAACTATGTTATTCCCTCTGTTACAAGTATTATAGATCTTACAACTATGTTATTATTTATTCCAACAGGTATTATAGATCTTATCTTATTCCCTCTGTTACAAGTATTATAGATCTTACAACTATGTTATTCCCTCTGTTACAAGTATTATAGATCTTACAACTATGTTATTCCCTCTGTTACAAGTATTATAGATCTTACAACTATGTTATTCCCTCTGTTACAAGTATTATAGATCTTACAACTATGTTATTTATTCCCTGTGTTACAGGTATTATAGATCTTACAACTATGTTATTCCCTCTGTTACAAGTATTATAGATCTTACAACTATGTTATTCCCTCTGTCTTACAACTATGTTATTCCTCTGTTACAAGTATTATAGATCTTACAACTATGTTATTCCTCTGTTACAAGTATTATAGATCTTACAACTATGTTATTCCCTCTGTTACAAGTATTATAGATCTTACAACTATGTTATTCCCTCTGTTACAAGTATTATAGATCTTACAACTATGTTATTCCCTCTGTTACAAGTATTATAGATCTTACAACTATGTTATTCCTCTGTTACAAGTATTATAGATCTTACAACTAAGTATTATAGATCTTACAACTTGTTATTCCTCTGTTACAAGTATTATAGATCTTACAACTATGTTATTCCTCTGTTACAAGTATTATAGATCTTACAACTATGTTATTCCTCTGTTACAAGTATTATAGATCTTACAACTATGTTATTCCTCTGTTACAAGTATTATAGATCTTACAACTATATGTTATTCCTCTGTTATAGATCAAGTATTATAGATCTTACAACTATGTTATTCCCTCTGTTACAAGTATTATAGATCTTACAACTATGTTATTCCTCTGTTACAAGTATTATAGATCTTACAACTATGTTATTCTTACAACTATGTTATTCCTCTGTTACAAGTATTATAGATCTTACAACTATGTTATTCCCTCTGTTACAAGTATTATAGATCTTACAACTATGTTATTCCCTCTGTTACAAGTATTATAGATCTTACAACTATGTTATTCCCTCTGTTACAGGTATTATAGATCTTACAACTATGTTATTCCCTGTGTTACAGGTATTATAGATCTTACAACTATGTTATTCCCTCTGTTACAAGTATTATAGATCTTACAACTATGTTATTCCCTCTGTTACAAGTATTATAGATCTTACAACTATGTTATTCCCTCTGTTACAAGTATTATAGATCTTACAACTATGTTATTCCCTCTGTTACAAGTATTATAGATCTTACAACTATGTTATTCCCTCTGTTACAGGTATTATAGTGCGTCCCTCTGTTACAGGTATTATAGTGTGATCAAAATGTCAGGAATTTCTGACAAGCATGAAGCAATATGGCTCTCGGCTGCGACATCTTCATGTAACTTCATCTTCAGAATCGTTGGAGTTTGGCTGGTGGAAAGGATTGGACGGAAGAAACTCCTTCTAGGAAGCCTAGTAGGTTGGCATCGCTCCATGTAGTGTCGTCTTAGCTTGTATTGATGTTCAATGTTAAATGTGGAAAGTACCAATATTTCCCACCATCTTTGAATGTTCATACCCACAGACCAATTGATCAATCAGTGGAAAGTCATGCGAGTGTGTGCTGCTTCATTTGACGATCAACTGATTGTGTGGCCTGGTTGACTTGTGTCTTTTGTAGGTTGTCCATTGTATTCATTGCTTTTAAAGCCTTTGGCCATATGAAGTTGTACTTCAGAGGCTTTGTCCTAAAGACAAATTATACCTTCATTTGTGCAAGAGGAATCTGTTTTCAATATGGTCGCAATGTTTTGTGTCTTTATCTTTTATTACAAAACAGCCAAAACTACTGATGTCAATGCAAGAGCAGTAGGGTAGCCAAGTGGTTACAGCAGTCGCTCTTCTCAACGAAGACCTGGGTTTGTTTCCCCACATGGTACAATGTATGAAGCCTGTTTCTGGTGCCCCACTGATATTGCTTCAATATTACTAAAAGCGACGTAAAACTCAACTTGCTCATTCACAGCCAGAGGAAGTTTCAATTTTGGTAATGACCTAATCCGTGTTGAAGGAAACTCAGACTTCCATGTGTGATACCATGGATAGTGTTGGTCAGCTTGTTTCATTTGTCCTCAAGTGGTATCACAAGGTTAACATTTGATTTTATTTCTTTATGGTTTCTTCTCATCTGAAAAATGACAACAACTCCATAAAGCACTATTACAGCTTTCTTCCATATGTACAGTTTTATGCTAATAGCAACGAGAGCTGAGTATATTGTATATGAAAAGTAATTAGTGTATCATTTCCCACCTACCAACCTGGAATTTTCACAAAATATTCCCCAAAACAGTAAAACAAATTGTCTGGCCTAGCATATTAGACTGACTGACTGACTGAGTTTGGTTTTACGCCGCTTTTAGCAATATCCCAGCAATATCACGGCGGGGGACACCAGAAATGGGCTTCACTCATTGTACCCATGTGGGGATTCGAACCCGGGTCTTCGGCGTGACGAGCCAACGCTTTAACCACTAGACTACCCCACCGCCCCCAGCATATTAGACATGTGGTTGGTGTGTTTCACACAGCATCAGGTTGGTGCTTCATTCATTGTACTCTTGTAGGAAAGTGTGGATTCGAAATCAATTTGTGGGGTTTTAACAATTTATAATACTGCTCTGGTTAAAATGAAATAACATATAAAAAGGAGTGTATTTCCATGTTTGGCTGCTGCTGCTGATAATTTGATTTGGAGATTTTTTACGCCCACTTTGTGACATGATTAAGATGTTGTCTTATAAATATTTTAAAAGGAATAATCTCTAATGTAGAGACCATTATCTCCACGTCAAGAACAGGTTATTAACAGAACATAGAAACACTGACTAGATTTCATGTGGAGTTGTGTCCCTTATGTATGCAAGGCTCCTGTGATAGTTGTTCATCCTGATTTTCATCCTTCATTTGCTATAGTCATATCTGAGTTCGTGTGTTTCTCCGAAATAGAACTGATCGATTGATTGATTGTTTTTAACGCCGCACTCAACAATATTCCAGCTTTATGGTGGCAGTTTGTAAATAATCAAGTCTGAACCAGACAATCCAGTGATCAACAGCATGAACATCGTTCTACGCATTTGGGATACAATGACATGTGTCAGCCATGTCAGTGAGCCTAACCACCCGATCCTGTTAGTCACGCCTTAGGACAAACATGGGTTGCTGAAGATCAATATTCAGCGTAATATTACGTAAAGAATACGCACGCATGCTTACCTTGTTCAGAATTGGCAAACTCGATATAATGCAAAATACAGTAAGGAGGCAGGGTATGGACAAAACATCCGTTTTTGCCCACTATGTAATTTAAATGCTATTGAAAATGAAATTCGTTTTATTTTTGTTTGTCCTGTTTATCATGATATACGTCTTAAATATTTTCCTTATTTACACGTGGGCACTATCAGTCACAGAGAGACTCTTGTAAGAATGCTACAGCCCTCTGTAAATATTTGCATGTAATATGTACGTGGGCCTGAGGCCTTATTACTGAGATAAATGAATGAAATGAAATATTCTAACCCAGATCTTCACGGGTCCCGAAATACAAAACATGTGCAGCTGCACTTGCTCACTGACTGAGGCTAATGCATTGCTTTATGACAGTGGTTATTGAATTGTATCTGCCATCTCTGTTAATCATTAAGTTGACATTGTTTTATTTCACCAGGTGTCATCCTGAGTCTGACATTCCTTGCCATAGGATTCCAGGTCGCGGCCTTCAACTCCCCACCTGTGACCTTAACTGAAAGGGGAGATAACTCATCATGTTCTTCCTTCAGGTGAGTTGCTGCAGTTAGGCTGTTATGTACCACTAGGTGATGTGGTTTGTATCATGTATCACTGTTATGTATCCCCAGGTGTGTGAGGCTTGTATTATGTATCACTGCTATGTATCTCCAGGTGTGTGAGGCGTGTATCATGTATCACTGTTACATATCCCCAGGTGTGTGAAGCTAGTATCATGTATCACTGTTATGTATCCCCAAGTGTGTGAGGCTTGTATCATGTATCACTGCTCTGTATCTCCAGGTGTGTGAGGCTTGTATCATGTATCACTGCTATGTATCTCCTGGTGAGTGATGTTTGTATCATGTATCGCTGTTACATATCCCTAAGGGTGTGTGGTTTGTATCATGTATCACTGCTATGTATCCCCAGGTGTGTGAGGCTTGTATCATGTATCACCTGTTGCGTATCCCCAGGTGTTGTGAAGCTTGTATCATGTGTCACCCATCGGTATCCCTAGGTGGTGTGAAGCTTGTATCGTGTCACTCGTTGCATATCCTTAGGTGGTGTGAAGCTTGTATCATGTGTCACCCGTTGCGTATCCCTAGGTGGTGTGAAGCTTGTATCATGTGTCACCCATTGCATATCCCTAGGTGGTGTGAAGCTTGTATCATGTGTCACCCGTTGCGTATCCCTAGGTGGTGTGAAGCTTGTATCATGTGTCACCCGTTGTGTATCCCTAGGTGGTGTGAAGCTTGTATCATGTGTAACCCGTTGTGTATCCCTAGGTGGTGTGAAGCTTGTATCATGTGTCACCCGTATGCGTATCCCTAGGTGGTGTGAAGCTTGTATCATGTGTAACCCGTTTGCGTATCTCTAGGTGGTGTGAAGCTTGTATCATGTGTCACCTGTTATGTATCCCTAGGTGGTGTGAAGCTTGTATCATGTGTCACCTGTTGTGTATCTCTAGGTAATGTGAAGCTTGTATCATGTGTCACCTGTTATGTATCCCTAGGTGGTGTGAAGCTTGTATCATGTGTAACCCGTTGCGTATCCCTAGGTGGTGTGAAGCTTGTATCATGTGTCACCCGTTGTGTATCCCTAGTAGGTGTGAAGCTTGTATCATGTGTAACCTGTTGCGTATCCCTAGGTGGTGTGAAGCTTGTATAATGTGTCACCTGTTATGTATCCCTAGGTGGTGTGAAGCTTGTATCATGTGTCACCCGTTGCGTATCTCTAGGTGGTGTGAAGCTTGTATCATGTGTCACCTGTTATGTATCCCTAGGTGGTGTGAAGCTTGTATCATGTGTCACCTGTTGCGTATCTCTAGGTAGTGTGAAGCTTGTATCATGTGTCACCTGTTATGTATCCCTAGGTGGTGTGAAGCTTGTATCATGTGTCACCTGTTGCGTATCTATAGGGGGTGTGAAGCTTGTATCATGTGTCACCTGTTATGTATCCCTAGGTGGTGTGAAGCTTGTATCATGTGTCACCCGTTGCGTATCCCTAGGTGGTGTGAAGCTTGTATCATGTGTCACCTGTTATGTATCCCTAGGTGGTGTGAAGCTTGTATCATGTGTCACCTGTTATGTATCCCTAGGTGGTGTGAAGCTTGTATCATGTGTCACCTGTTGCGTATCTCTAGGTTGTGTGAAGCTTGTATCATGTGTAACCCGTTGCGTATCCCTAGGTGGTGTGAAGCTTGTATCATGTGTAACCCGTTGCGTATCCCTAGGTGGTGTGAAGCTTGTATCGAGGATCTGAGCTGCGGCTTCTGCTACAGCTATGCCAGCAACAACACCGTTGAAGGGTCATGTGTACCCACCTTCAGCAGCTCGGATACATCACATGCTGGCTTAGGCCCCTGTAATGAGACAGAACCTAAGGGCCATATATGGGCAGAAAACTTCTGCCCTACGTCCTATGCCTGGATGTCTACACTCGGGTTGGGCCTGTACCTCATGTTCTTTGCTCCAGGTATGTATGGCTCTCAGAGGATGGCTCTGTCTGTTTTATCTTAAGTATATACCAACCACTTAAAGATTCTGGTAATTTCTCAGACATGACCTTTCATCACTAAAGGATGGTATGGTAAGGGATTTAGAACAGCTAAGTTTTTAAAATGATGAAAACATTTTAGTCTTGTTATAAATGTGGAATTTGTTGAAGATGAGAGTGTCACTATTTTTCCAGTTGACTTTATTTTTTAAAATATAAAACAAATTCCCCCCTTGTATCTTTTGACATCTTAATGGAATACTGGACAGAACAACAGTACTGGTGTGTGTGTTAAATTCCCCACTGTTTTTTATTTATTTTTAGAGACGAATGTGGTGTTCTTTATACTTCTAGTAAAACATGAAATGAGGACCTTTAAAATACAGGTTAATAAAGACTCAAAAAGGACATGGAGTGAGTGAGTGAGTGAGTTTAGTTTTATGCCGCTTTTAGTAATAATTCAGCAATATCACGGTGGGGGACACCAGAAATGAGCTTCACACATTGAGCCCATGTTGGGAATCGAATGCAAGTCTTCAGTGTGACGAGCGAATGCCTTCACCACTAGGCTGCCCCACCACCTCAAAAGGACATGGGGGCGGTGGGGTAGCCCAGTGGTTAAAGCGTTGGCTCGTCACGCCGAAGACCCGGGTTCAAATCCCCACATGGGTACAATTTGTGAAGCCGATTTCTGGTGTCCCCCACCGTGATGTTGCTGGAATATTGCTAAAAGCGGCGTAAAACCATATTCAGTCAGTCAGCCAAAAGGACATGGAAGTTACAATAGCAGACTGAGAACCTTATTAAAACATTGAAAATTCAACTTGTCTTGGGACAGAGATGTCCCAAAATTTCAGAATTCTTTTGCTTTTCTACTTTGGTTGATGCCACATGCAGGGGCGGATACAGCTTTTTGAGAAAGGGGAGGTGCACAGTCCATGTACATCCATTTCCATGAGAGTTTCAGCCCCTATCTGCTGGATTCGCCTATGTTAGGTGTATTGGATGGAAAGATTTATCTTTATAGGTCAGGTGCACACTTCAGATACTTTTTAATGGAACAAGACACATGATTACTAATTAGGGACTGACACAGTTAGACACGTAATGTGTGTGAACACAAACTTTTATTTATTTTATTTATTATTTTATTATTTTATTGTAGGATATTTATATAGCGCACATATCCACGCACTAGTGCATGCTCAAGGTGCTGGTATTTTTTTCCTCAATCATTGGATGTCAATCTCAACGGCACATCGCATTATCAATCTCAACTCCCTGGGAGTATGCAACTCTTGCAGCCACTAGGCGCACCAAGTTATTGTGGCTTTCTCATCCTAACGAGGTACCCATTCACAGCTGGGTGGACTGGGACACATAGTCACAGTACTTTGTCCATGTTCACTGCACGTTGCTGTACCCGCAACTAGGTGTTTGCACGTATTCATGTGGCCACCATCTGGTCATATACCAACGGATTTGTGGGTTCTTTTAAGTGCACAGGGTTGTACCTCTTGTTCTGCTTGTGCTTATTACATATCTAATGCAGGTATGGGTCCTATGCCATGGACTATCAACTCTGAGATTTACCCTCTGTGGGCACGAAGCACGGGCAACTCTCTGTCGGCAGCTACCAACTGGATCTGTAACCTGCTGGTGTCCATGACCTTCCTCACCATGACAGAAACGCTGACCAAATATGGTAAGGCTGACCAAATATGGTAAGGATGTGTACAGTTGCATGGCAATGTGCAGCCTGTGGGCGAAATTATGGAGTGCAGCGTTATCACAAATGTGTGAGCAGATATGATGATCAGCATTCCAAAAGATAAAATTGAATTCAAGATGGCTGACATAGCAGACATGTGGACATCCAGTTTGAGGATTATAATTGGCCATGTTGACAGGGAACTCTGATATATCTGTAGCATATATAGGATCCTAGTTTGTATATTCAGCTTGTATAAATAATATGCTCCATTATACCTCAAAAAGTTTTAAGATTTTGATACCAAAAGTCACCCCCACAGTTAAGGACCAACCACTTGAGAGTTTGTGGAGTGATTTTTGTCAGAGACAGAATATTCTTAGTTGGTACTTTAGGACTTAGAATATACTCTCTCCAGGTTGGAATCAAACAGTTTGGAGGGCATGACACATTTTTTTCAATCATGAAAGCAGATGTTTAAATATGTTTTAAACCTGACACAAAGGTATTTGTCTGTGTCATTTGGGGGAAAAAGGTTGTGTGTTGTAAAACCCTAGAACACATCTATTGTCTTTTTGGGTTGGCGGTGTAGCCTAGTGGTTAAAGCATTGGCTCATCACACCAAAGACCCGGGTTCGATTCCCGGCATGGGTACTTTGTGTGAGGCCCATTTCTGGTGTCCCCTGCCGTGATATTACTTGAGTATTACTAAAAGCAGCATAAAACTAAACTCATTCACACTGTGTGGTTTTTTTTCAGGAACATATTGGCTGTTTGTGGTGGTTGCAGTCTTGGCACTCATCTTTTTCATCATCTTCTTGCCGGAGACAAAAGGGAAAAGCCTGGAGGATGTGGAGAGACTGTTTTCACAGCCATGGTGCTCCTGTGGTGCGAGACACAGCCTTAATATCAACTCACACGACAGAACAGATCGTGGGACATTGCAGTGACAAGGGTGGTGGTGCTTGTCTGTGTGCTAGCTTGCCCTGAAGAGGACCCGAGTTTGAATGTGCACGATGGTACACGTGAAGAACATTTTTGGTGCCTGTTGCCATAGGACTTTACATACCAACATAAACATCACCTCACCTTCTCAGGTAGAACGAACTCTGTGAACCTTTCGTACATGCCTGTGAAATCTGTGCCTTGAAACAAGTCACTTTTGAGTAAATCAGAGTTAGTTGTGATCTTAGGACAAGCATGCATGATTTCATTGGTGAATGGCTACTAGTTGTATCTTTTGGTGACAGTGTATAATAGAAATATCATTCCAGGTGTAAAATAATGTTTTCCAGCAATGTTTACAAACTGGGTCCACTTAAACCAGTACAATGTTTCCTCCAGACAATACATCGGTGCTGTACTTTGTTGCTGCAACAGCCTAATGATAAACCTTTGGTTGCAGCTGATAGTGTGTTTTTTGGGTTTTTATTATAATGTTTTTATTGTTCCCAAAGGTACATCATTAAAACACCAATTCACGTTTTTTAGATTTTTTTAGGTAGAGTTAAAAAATATACAAAAGTTCACATTTTCACATCAAAATAACCTACCGAATATAGAGTCTATTTTCATTGTTAAGTTGGGAATATAGATCTCCATTTTGTGTCATTTTTGGCTATTAAAATGTCTCTGCTATTTGTTGATAGTGTTGATACATTCCCATGTTGTATATCTTTGGGAACAATTTAATTAAAACAGCACTGGTAAGAAGGAGGTTGTAGCCTTTGAAACAAACTCACTCAAGCTTGAAATCCTTTTGATTTATGTGACTCACAAAAAGTTAAGGACCTCCTGATTCTTTCATATTACTGTACTTAATCTGTCTAAGGACCACCCGAGTCTTTCATATTAATATAGTTAATCTGTCCAAGGACCACCTGATTACTATAATTAATCTGTCTAAGGACCACCCGAGTCTTTCATATTAATAAAGTTAATCTGTCTAAGGACCACCTGATTACTATATTTAATCTGTCTAAGGACCACCTGATTCTTTCATATTACTATATTTAATCTGTCTAAGGACCACCTGATTCTTTCATATTACTATATTTAATCTGTCTAAGGACCACCTGAGTCTTTCATATTACTATATTTAATCTGTCTAAGGACCACCCGAGTCTTTCATGTTACTATATTTAATCTGTCTAAGGACTACGTGATTACTATAGATAATCTGTCTAAGGACCACCCGAGTCTTTCATGTTACTATATTTAATCTGTCTAAGGACTACGTGATTACTATATTTAATCTGTCTAAGGACTACATGATTACTATATTTAATCTGTCTAAGGACTGCGTGATTACTATATTTAATCTCTCTAAGGACTACGTGATTACTATATTTAATCTGTCTAAGGACCACCTGATTCTTTCATATTACTATATTTAATCTGTCTAAGGACTACGTGATTACTATATTTAATGTGTCTAAGGACCACCTGATAGTTAATATCTCTATTGATGAATTGATTTTTTCATATTACTATACTTAATAGCCCGACATATTATCTACAGTAATATGACAGAATAGGATGGTCTGTCTCCAGACCCCAGAAAATAAATTCAAAAGAAAGTCCAACTCAAGTCTAGAATCATTGAGCAAGTCCAGATTGCCTTAGCTCTGTAGTTAAGTATTGTTGTGGGGCCCATTTGAAATGTACTATATTTTTTACATGTATATTGTTAAGTAACCTTACTATGTTTCTAGACTCAATGTCAGTCTTAGGATTGTCCTTAACTTGTTATATGTAGTATATATTTTTATTAGAAGCTAACTGCATTTTAGTTCAGAACATTTCACCATGTAAAATATTTAAATTGAGAGCATATATGAGATTATTTATATTATACTGAATATATTTTAACATGCTATCTTTTGACCTTAAAATGGCCACATATGCATCATGAAGAAATATAGTTTTATGTTATGCTCATTAAATGTTTATTCATGTTTATATTGAACTTGTTATTTTTTAGTTTATATTCTGGCATATGACTTGAATATTGTGGAACACCTCAACACATGTCCCAGTTGACTTCCTTTGCATGCATGATATATAGGTCATTTATAATTTTGTGTGAGTGAGTGAGTTTAGTTTAGTTTTGCGCATCTCTTGGCAATATTCACTCAATATCACCCCGAGGGACACCAGAAATGGGCTTCACACATTGTACCCATGTGGGGAATGGAACCCGGGGGTGACGAGTGAATACTTTAACCACTAGGCTACCCACAGGGTCATGTGGATGCAAGCAACACAGAGTACTACAGCTGAATGCTTCGTGATATACACGTAAATTATATTATGTTACATGTAATATTACATATGTGATATAATAAGCATGCTGGGAATAAAGCTGTGACGTGTGACTCTTGGAGGTTGAAAATGCCAGGATTTTTTCTGTCATATTATGTGTGGCACCCTCATTAACCAGGAGAGTATTTTGTTAAACAGATTGATAAATACGCAATGTTCCTGATTGCACACTGAACCACTTACTGAGGTACAAATGTTGAGCATGCTGATGGGTTTTGGTGCCAAACAAATGTACTCCTTGCTAAAAAAGATTGATAGTTGGAAATATCATGGTTGGGAAGAATTACCAACGATTATCAATATGAAAAGTGTGTCATCGGTAATATTGTACTAAACTATTGAGATGAAAAATGGCTTGCATTGTCTACACATATAATATTCAAGGTTATGTCTTTATTCACATCAACTCTTAAAGTAGTGAGTGAATGAGTGAATTTAGTTTTACACCGCTTTTAGCAATATCACGGCTGGGACACCAGACATGGGCTTCACACATTGTACCCATGTGGAGAATGGAACTCGGTGTGACGAGCGAACACTTTAACCTTTAGGCTACCCCCACTGTCCCAACTCCTGAAGTAGGTTAAGGAGGCTGTTCTTGTTGGTGATGGGGGCGGTGGGGTAGCCTAATGGCTAAAGCGTTGGCTCGTCACGCTGAAGACCCGGGTTCGAATCCCCACATGGGCACAATGTGTGAAGCCCATTTCTGGTGTCCCCCGCCGTGATGTTGCTGGAATATTGCTAAAAGCGGCGTAAAACCAAACTCAGTCAGTCAGTCAGTCAGTCTTGTTGGTGATGCATGCATAACTGTATCCCCACTCACCAGTGATGTGAAATATCTTGATTTCTTTCCTTCTTTGCTTCTGTGATTTTAATCGATAATTGATCGATATTTAGTTAACCGATCTCTATGAGCTACATCCATAGTATGCCCTAAAAAATGTATATTTATGATAATTTCACTACTTCTACGTTTTCTTCTGTTTAGATCTCTTAGTGTTTTTTTTGTAACACCATAGGTAGCAGTGTTCTTGTAAGAGGCGACTAGTATCATCGGGCTGTCAGCCTTGCTGATAGGTTGACACCTCATATCCAAACTGCGTAGATCCATTTTCATGCTGTTTTTGTTTGTTTGTTTTTTTTAAGTATTTTTATTTCCCATCAGTATGTTGTACATTGCATTTCAGAATCAAATGCAATTTTTACATGTTATAGAATACAGTTTTTGCGTTACACACCACTTTCAAGCAATATACATATCACATTTTACAGTATTGATTTCTGCTATTTTCAGTTTTGTAAACACAGTAGTATGTATAGTAATAAATCTGCGTAGTTGCAATGATCATGAATCGTATTCATTGCTTAGCTGATACATAATAGGGACACTGTTCCATATACATACATATACTTCATCTATATATACCTTAAGTGCATGTACATATGCGTTCTTATATACTTCTACACACATACACATATTCATCTACGGACACATACATACACATGCATATACACATGCATTTTCATGCTGTTGATCACTTGATTCTCTGGTCCAGACTCCATTATTTTCAGACAACCACCTTATGTATACCTGGAATATTGCTGAATGCCTGTTAAACAAGAAGGAAGAAAGACAAATAATGAAAAGTAAATAAATGTACGAAGTTACACATTCTGTGTGCTATCAGTAAAGTGAGTGAGTGAGTTTAGTTTTTTGCTGCTTTTAGCAATAATGCTTTTAGCAATATTCAAGCAATATCACAGAAGGGCACACAAGACATGGGCTTCACACATTGTACCCATGTGGGGAATCGAACCTGGTCTTTGGTTTCCCTGGTCCTGTCGTCCTATATAGCTGGAGGAGCATCTGACAGGGTATCTCAATCTGATCAGTATGGGTACTCAGTGCTTAGTACTGATGTTCATTATCACGTTTGGACAAAATGTTGCTCATATTGAAAATATGTTTATCGAACACGATTCCCGTATTGAATGCGGCGATAAGTGCTAGAACTCGGCATTCCCACTCTAGTTTCGTTTTCTAAAAATAGGCACACGTAACATGCCTCTACCTCTGCAGTGACTGGTAAGTATATCCACTGCTCTATCACTGCAAAATTCTCACATCTTGACGATATGCAATCAGTTTGTATCGGTGCATTTGGAACTGTAAGATCTAAAGTCAACATATGTGGATCTATTACGGTGTGACAATCGATAAACGCTGCAAAATCAAACTGATCAATAGAAACTAATTTGACCTAGTTAGCAGGTACCAAGGACAACGTTTTACATAAGATACATTAGATTTCATTACTAACCATTCGTGTTATTCTAAGGAACAGAGCCATGAAATGTTAGTATGTGCTGATTATGAATCACTGCAAGGAGCTCGTATCACAGCTGTCATCGGACGGGGCCGAGAAATAGTAGTTTTACGTGTCTATAAAAACTGGGTTAGCGTTTACTCTTGCACCCCGTCCAGGTGTACACTGGTCTGTTCTGTACGGGCGTTCATAGACAGGACCACGACCCTTGCTTGTGATGGCGCCAGTTTGCATGAAATGATCACAGGGATATATGAAAACAACGTCTCAGTATTCCGTACATACCCCTTCAAATAAAATTATTTCCCTTGTAAATTTTGAACTAATACATTTATTACTGTACAACGTGTAAACAGATATCTGTAAGTTTACACTGCTTATAGCAGACGTATGGCCAGACTCGCATACAAACATCACCACACTTATCTCTACGCGGAAGTAAACAAGAGCGGCCGTTGACAATAGAAGCTTTTTGAACATTCAAACTCGCTCCCATGTTTATCACATGTAAACGGATTTGAAAATGTCAAATTCTATTTAACACACACTTATTGTTCAGACGGAGTGCTTTCAGAAGGACACAATGACTCGCTTACAACTAGTTATGTACAAATGTCAATTTATAAACGGGGATGACGTAGTGTAGTTGGTCTATAAATAGACGTATTTGTATGGCGCTGATTGGTTTATAAAGGTTTGTCACAAAATGATATTTCAAAACATTTTTAAAACACAAATAAAGGTTTGCTATGTGGGAAAAGCACATGCAAAAAATAACCCACAAAAAAACCACCCAAAACACAAAACAAATCAAAAACACAAGGAAAGCAAACACACACACATATTGTATTACAGATACGTCACACATTTTCATCCATAACTAAGCACTCTGACTATACATATTTCATATTAAAATCAACACATATTACATTATATCTAAATAGACTTTATATATGTATTTATATAATGTCTATAAATATGTGTAGATTTTAATATGAAATATGTTTATTTTCGGAGTGCTTAGTAATGTGTGAAAATGTGCGACGTATTTAGAGACCTAAAATAACTTAGCCGACTCACCTTTGAGTTATTTGTATTTCGTAGTTCCATTGGATCAATATTTACAAATTATGCTTACTATCAATGCTTACTATTTCTTGGACAGTCTAAATCTGTGTAATTTGTGGAACTAGTTTCTTGTCTTGGTGTATTTTTGAAATGAATGCATGATTATCCCAAAAGCTTACTAATGGAAATCCAAATGTGTCATTTCTATAACAGACAGACGCTATATCTAAACATGATGAAACCCAGGTCTTTCGTCAGTGAACTGAAATGGTCGGACACACAACAGGTGAGTGTAGTACTGTGAAACTGTTTCGAGGTCAGTTTCAGTTTCAGTCAAATTACACAGTAGGACAATCTACTGAGGCTATCGGGACTTGATTTGGGACCCGCCGTCTTATTGATGGAATATTGTTAAAAGCAGCGTAAAACCCAACTCACTCACTATATTTTGGAAATTTACACTGTTGATCGTAAAATGCGAATACGTGTGTACGATCCTATGCAATATTTTGACTTTCGACTTAATATGTTAATTATGCACTTAATATGTTAATTATACACTTAATATGTTAATTGCACACTTAATATGTTAATTATACACATTATACTGAGACATGGATAGGTACATCTGACTGAGACATTGTCTGCCTCGATCTGAGACCTGCATGGTCGATTTCTACTGGATTCACCCAATGGTCCCCGACCGATACATAGGCTACGCCGCGGGATTTTAGAGGTTACGGTACATGTGACCACGTGACAGCCGCACTTAGCAATATTCGGGGGGGGCAAGCGTAGTAGTTGGAACAGTGAAACAAATGTACGTGCGGTACGTGATGAGCGTTAACTTAGACCAACCAAACTTGTTCTAGGTGTTTCATCTAATGTGCATACCCCCTTGTAATACAAACCAATAATAGCGGTTTGAAACCATGATCGTTTGTTAAACAACTTTTATCCTATGTTGAATACAATTCTGAGATTTAAATGTTCAATTGGCAAGGTAAAATTATGAGGATTCGCAATCTTATTTTCACTTTATTCGATTTACTTTTTTGTTTAAAGTGAAATTCATCGGTACGTTTTCCCTGCAAACAGACTATAAGTATGGTTCATGCAGGGACTGTGAGACGGACGAATCAGAAACGTCCCGATAAATTAGGGTCTAATGGCTTTGTAAGCGATTAAGTGAAGACCGCGCTGAAAGCTGATTGGCTGGTCGTTTGGAAATTGAAGGTCGCCGCTTCCTGGAAAACGGGGGCTGGCCCTTTCGCGGAAGTACAATCTCTCTTTCGTTTTGGCCGTACCACATGCTCTTTGATACTGAATAAAAGGGTTCAGTTAAGAGGTGGTTCTATGAGCTATATGTATTGCCGTGACAAGGTGACATAGAATGGCAAGAAAGAGGCCCGCCGTTCATTGAAGACACTCCAATTAGGTAAAGACCCATCTTTCAGACCACTGATCCACGCGAAAGCTATGCACTTCTCAACGCCTCTGGTCAGTCATCGTCAACAGCAGACAGGCGCTCTACAAATTGTTGTTATCTTTTTACCTTTATGTTTTTTTAATTATTCCATGCGTTTTTATACTCAGGGACTCAACTAATATTGATATTTATAATTTATATGCTTATATTTTACCTACGATGCAGATTTGGGTTTTCGTGTACTTGCGTTTTACATGACCTTCAGATTGTAGCTATTCCTTGAAGAGGAGTATTCTTTTTCGATTTTAAGATAGGTTAAATCAAATGTCAAACGCCCATTTCTCAGCGTCAATAGCTTGATCTATCTCAACACTGCTTCTCGTGTGAAAGTGTGTAGTAAACAGCGCACAGGAAGGGAGGAATCCGGAACAACAGGCTTATTCCAAGAAAGTGGGAATTCCCAATTTTCTTGTGATCGTCATTGTAGAACTATAAACCCGAATTCATGCCCATGCATGTGTAGGTATGTTCGACACTATGAAGGAGAACTCGCAAATAACAGGGTGAGAACACTGAGATACCGTAGATAGTCCTAGACACGTAAGTAATTTATAAAATTGATTCGAGTAAGTTTTTGAAGGATAACTTGAAATAATACAGTGAGGTACCGTAGATGCTCCTATGCACGTAAGTAACTTACATATGCATTGGTTTGGGTACGATTTTGAAGGATAACTCGGAAATAACACAGTGAGATACCGCAGATATTCCTAAACACGCAAGTAACTTATATATGGATTGGTTCGAGTACGTTTTATGAAGGATAACTTGGAAATAACACAGTGAGATACCCCAGATATTCCTAAACACGCAAGTAACTTATATATGGATTGGTTCGAGTACGTTTTATGAAGGATAACTTTGAAATAACACAGTGAGATACCGTAGATATTCCTAAACACGCAAGTAACTTATATATGGATTGGTTCGAGTACGTTTTATGAAGGATAACTCGGAAATAACACAGTGAGATACCCCAGATATTCCTAAACACGCAAGTAACTAATATATGGATTGGTTCGAGTACGTTTTATGAAGGATAACTCGGAAATAACACAGTGAGATACCCCAGATATTCCTAAACACGCAAGTAACTAATATATGGATTGGTTCGAGTACGTTTAATGAAGGATAACTTGGAAATAACACAGTGAGATACCGTAGATCTTCCTAAACACGCAAGTAACTTATATATGGATTGGTTCGAGTACGTTTTATGAAGGATAACTTGGAAATAACACAGTGAGATACCGTAGATATTCCTAAACACGCAAGTAACTTATATACGGATTGGTTCGAGTACGTTTAATGAAGGGTAACTTTGAAATAACACAGTGAGATACCGTAGATATTCATAAACACGCAAGTAACTTATATATGGATGAGTGACGTCACGCCCGGATAGACACGCTAACAACCAAATCACCACGCCTGGCCAGCGATACATTAAGTCAACACGTATCACCAACACTGGTTCTTAGGGACCAGTATTGTTCCTGAATCTCCAATGGGTCAAGCGTTCGCTCGTTACGCCGAAGACCCGGGTTTGATTCCCCACATGGGCACAATGTGTGAAGCCAATTTCTGGTGTCCCCCGCCGTGATATTGCTGGAATATTGCTAAAAGCGGCGTAAAACTAAACTCAGTCAGTCAGTCAGTCTCCAATGGGTCACGCAAACACGATCCGAACTTGATTTTACAGTGAAAGGACGTACAAAGGATATATATTGATACTGAGTTTCGCGATCCGGATTAGAACCCATGCTTGTCGTTAGAACTGCGTGATTAGGCTCGCTGACTTGGTTGACTCATGTCATCGCATCCCAATTGCGTAGATCGAAGCTCATGCTGTTGATCACTGGATTGTTTGGTCCAGACTCCATTGTTTACAAACAAACAAACAAAACCCACTCACTGTCACTAGGAATATTGTTGAGTTCGAAATTTACTGAATTTAACACAATTTTACCTAGAGGTCAACTGTGACACCGTCATAACTGAAGAGTTCGGTAAAACATAGTTATTGTGGAAATAGTTCGGTTCCTTAAACGCGATGAAACTTAATGACAGTCGTAGTTTTAACCAGGATACTGTTTTGGTCAGGTTTTTCCATGTCATGCCTCTATCACCAGCCTGCAGATCGTTGTAGAAGCAACACACAAACTTGGCTGGGCATGATGTCACTGAATCTGGTGCTCGCGATATACACATCCGGTGGAAAAGATGTTTTTGGGCGGGTTTAAAAGTATCCTGAACCAATTCCTTGCGCGCTCTCTCTCTCTCCCTTCCTCCCTCTCTCTCTCTCGCTCTCTCTCTCTGTCTGTCTGTAACTTTATCGTTCTCTCCTCTCCCCCTGACCGACTGTTTGTTACTCTCTCTCTCAGATAATAAGGTGTTTCAGACTTCTCTCTCTCTGATAATTTTATTATACGTGTTTTCAGACTTCTCTCTCTCTGATAATTTTATTATACGTGTTTTCAGACTTCTCTCTCTCTGATAATTTTATTATACGTGTTTTCAGACTTTTCTCTCTGTGATAGTTTTGTTATACGTGTTTTCAGACGTTTGCATCACGGCAGTGGCAATGCTAGGTGATGTTTACTTCGGCAACTGATCGTGACGTGGAAAGAACTACAACACATGTTTATCAGAAAAAAGATCAGCTTGGAACAGGGTCGTCCTGCGATGTGTATATAGGGTTACAGAAGGTAAACCCGTTTGTCTGGTTTTTATTGCATGTATTTTCAGAAAACTGGAATTATTTATGTGGGAAAATCAATTCCCTGTCGTCATAGAACGACCAGGATGCCTAACACAGGAAGACTAACACCAGCCTTCCCCGTCATATCTTTAAATCAATTATTATATGAAAGGAAGAAGTAAAAAAGGCAGGTGTTTTTGAGAACTAAGTTCATGTTGTAAAGAAATAAAATCGTCAACAATTTTTTTCAGCTGAAATTAGAACATTTGATAAAACGAACTGAGACGTATTTTGTTCATCGGTTTACTTTAGACATGGTATATCAGCAGGTATCCTCTTAGTACACACCTTTAGGATTTGGGACAGAATACGTCTCTGTGACTTAAAAATCGTCTCCAATGATACACAGGTGGTTATAAAATGTGGATCGGTTGATTGTGTGGATCTGTTTAAACACCCTGGTCTGTCTGAGCCAACTCAGCTCTGTACAGTTTGCGGTGATACCTCTGGAATATATTTTTATCTTTAATATTTTGCTGATGACAGGGCACAGGGGAACATCACGCTTTGAAAATCTTTAAAGACGCTCAGTGGGCACGATCAGAAGAACGCCGACGCGAGGTAGTTGCACTTCAAAAACTGAAGCACCACAACATCATCAAGTTCTTTGGCGAAGAGGAAGAGGTGAGTTGTCATGGTAACACCCTTAAAGACTTGGCACATTTCCTAGGCTGCATTGGGTACATTTGATTTAGGGTCTGACAGACTAATGTTTAATTCGAGACATGATAGCAGTCACATTTTCAGAATATACACGTTTTACCCCTCAGAATATCAGAACAATCTTGTTCTATGTAGTTCAGGGTTTCAAGTGAACATTTGTTTTCTGTGAAAACTTGTCCGTTTGCTCTTGTTTTTTCTGGAACAATTATGTTTTTTCAAATCTTGTCCCGACAGAATACCAAATACCTAACCGCGACGGTATATGGTATATCTTCCAGTAGGTTGTCTCGCAACGCAAACCCGTGAAGATCCGGGTTAGAATTGCTCTTCAGTAACCCATGCTTGTCGTAAGAGGTGACTAATGGGATCGGGTGGTCAGGCTTGCTGACTAGGTTGACACATCATCATAACCCATTTGTGTAGATCGATCCTCATGCTGTTGATCACTTGATTGTCTGGTCTTGACTCGATTATTCGATGTAGCTGGAATATTGCTGAGTGCGGTAATAAAGAACAAACACAACTCAAATCTACAATCATTCGACAAGTCTAGATTACCTCAGCTGAAGTTATGCATTGTTCTTTTGTATTATATTTTCTTAGTTTGTTACATAGATTATGAAATAAAACAACTTTATTTCCATGACAAAATGATCCCCTGATGTTGTAGGCGAGTACGGGGTTGACGCTGTTGGTGTTGGAGCTGTGTCAGGAGAGTCTTCACAACTTCCTCCAGGAACCCTCACAATCCCGGGGCCTGGGGGACTCCGAGACGCTGTTGTTGGTGGAGCATCTCAGTAAGTTGATCTGGGCTTAGCTGAACAATTGTCACGCTGGGTCCGGTGACCAAGACGAGTGAGTATGTTTTTACGCCGCTTTTAGCAATATTGTAGCACTATCACGCCGGGGGACACTAGAGATGGGCTTCACACAGTATACCCATGTGGGAATCGAACCCAGGTCTCGGGCGTGACGAGCGAACGCTTTAACTACTAGGCTACCCCACCGCCCAACGGTGGGCGAGTCCGCCCCAGCATTGCAATTTGCTGTGCAGTAATGCGTCTCGTCGGCATGCCAGATGTGTGATTGTTCATTATAACCCAATTCGTGCTGATCATGTTTTTGCTTGGTCAGCACCATTCCTGTCTTCAGGAGTTTCACCAGAGTGGTAAACGTCCAAGATCTGCTTTGGGCTCTCCTACATGAAGACCTGCGACCCATGAAGATCCGGTTAGAATTGGTCTTCAGCCAACCATGCTTGTCGTAAGAGGCGACTAACGGGATCGGTGGTCAGGCTCGCTGACTTGGTTGACACATGTCATCGTATCCAAATTGCGTAGATCGATGTTCATGCTGTTGATCACTGGATTGTCTGGTGCAGACCGCCGTCATATTGCTGGAATATTGCTGACTGCGGCGTTCAGCAACAAACAAACAATCATGAAGACATGACGTGATGTAACTAAAATACTGTTCACTTCCGTGTTAAACCAAACTAATGCGTTAATTTCATGTCTTCTAATGATGTTTCGGGGCCAGACCCAATATCTTCATGGCCAACTGTTATGTGACCGTAAAATAGTATACACATTTTATGATGAGGATCGACACGTGTGATGAGTGAGTGAGTGAGTTTGGTTTTACGCCGCTTTTAGCAATATTCCAGCAACATCACAGCGTGGAACACCAGAAATTGGCTTCACACATTGTACCCATGTGGGGAATCGAACCCGGGTCTTCGGCGTGACGAGCCAACACTTTAACCACTAGGCTACCCCACCGCCCCATCATGTGTGATGACGTTATGATGCTGATTGTCATGGTGTAATGAGTGTAACATTGTGTGTCGGGAATCGACATTTACATTCCGTTGATTGTGTTCCAGGTTCGGCAGTTCACTATCTCCATAGAAAGAAGTACGTGCACCGGGACATCAAACCCGGCAACATTCTGCGCCACATCGACAACGACGGAAGGTGAACATATTACATAGTAAACCTACTGCGAATGGCTATATAATCACTTCCGCTCTTATGAGGTTATGCCGACCATCAGTGATCACCACACTTGAGTGGAAATACTGTGTTTAACATCAGGACTTAGTGGATCGGGTCCGTGGGTGCTTATCCATCCGAAATTGGCTGGTAGACTGATGTGATGTGCATGTCATCGTGCCCCAATGGTGTACATTGTTGCTCATGCTTTCGGTCACTGATTTTTCTGGTCAAGACTCATTATTAGACACGCTGCCATGATATCGCTCAGAATAGTGGTGGTTGGGGCCAGGTATCTCATGTAGGTGTCGTGAGAATAACAGCCTCGTAAATGAACGGGTCTCTCACAGGGGGCGCTGTGTAGCCCTATGCGTCACACGTTTATGCTTCATAGTAGCTGTTTTAAGTGAACATTATGCACGCTTTTTACCACGTTGCTGTTGGGGCGGTGGGGAAGCTTAGAGGTTAACCTTTAAGACTGCTGTGTTAATTTCAGCATAAGGCGTTGTAAAGAGGGTGGGTGATTTCAAACAGTCGGTGTGTCATTAATTAAGGGACAACTGAAAAAATATTTGAAAAATGAACATTATTATCTAAAAATATCCTGATAATTTCAAACATAGAGAGTTTAATGATAAGGCAAACATAAATAATGTAATATTTGTCTGAAATTACCTGAATTACTGTTTCATTTGGGGATGTCATTATGCTGCTGTCCTGTCGAATGGGTTCGACAGTAGCATTGAGAGGGTTAAAGTACTTGCTCGTCACACAGAAGACCCGGGTTTAATTCCCTGCATAACAATAATTTGACCATTTCTGGTGTACCCTGTTAAAAGATGTTTGGAATATGTTCAAAACCATATCCTCTCCTCACTCATTTTGCAGCTGCACATACAAGTTGTCCGACTTCGGCGCAAGTCGGTTTTTAGAGGAGGAGGATTTGTTCTTGTCCTTGGCTGGAACAGAAGAATACCTGGTAATATAATGATAACTTCATATCATCCACTCTTTGAATTGTACTAGACCGGCACTTGGCTAAAGTCTAAGCTATTACCCCTTCAATATACATGTCAGTACAATACATAGAGCACTTGAGACATGTCAGTGATAGCCATACATTCAAATATAAACAAATTTACCCGTGAAGATCCGGGTTAGAATTGGTCTTCAGCAACCCATGCTTGTAAGAGGTGACTAACGGAATCGATGATCAGGTTCGCTGACTTGGTTGATGGAGGTCATCATTCGGTTGTCATGATACCATGCCATCAGTGGGTTATCTGGTTCAGGCTCGAATTTTACACACCGTCGTCATTTAATTGAAGTATTGTGGGTGCAGCGTTGAAAAATAAAACAAAACAACATTGGAACTAAGTACAGACGTTGTCAGGTCAACTACAACCTCCAGCACAATACATATAGTTAATAGAACTTTCCAAGGATTGAAATCAATGTGTCTTTTCAAAAAGAGTGTTACTTTAAATTATGGGGGGCGGTGGGGTAGCCCAGTGGTTAATGCGTTCGCTCCTCACGCCGAAGACCCGGCTTCGATTCCGCACACGCCCGAAAATGTGTGAAGCCCATTTCTGGTGTCCACGCCGTGATATTGCTGGAATATTGCTAAAAGCGGCGTAAAACTATGCATCACAGAGTATTTTATATCCAAACTTGTATTTCAAATTGGATGATCAGGGATTGAATACTATGAATGTTGTCTAAATGACGCTTCTTAGTTCATGATATTTATTCAATTGTGTTTCTTCTGGCTCAGCACCCCAAAGTGTACGAGAAGGCGTTTGTGGACCGTGGTGCTGTCATCTGCTTCGACTCATCTGTGGACCTGTGGAGTGTGGGCTGCACGCTGTACCAGGCAGTCACCTGTCAGATCCCCTTCCGGCCCCACGGGGGAGTCCGATCCAACAGGACAATAATGTCAGTCACGTTACTGGGAAACACTGTAGTCTAGTCCTCCTGCTACTCCTCCTCCTGCTCCTACTGCCACCACCGTCACTACTACTACCATCATCACTACTGCTTCTATTACTACTACTACCACCACCGTCACTACTACTACTTCTACTACTGCTGCTTCTATTACTACTACTACCACCACCGCCACTACTACTACTACTACTACTACTACCACCACAACAACTACTATTGCTACTAATACCACCACCACCACTGCTACTACTACTGCTACGTCCACCAGTGCTACTACTACTACTACTACTACTACTACTACTACTGCTATAATTACTACTACTTCTACAACTACTACCACCGCCACCAGCACTGCTACTGCTGCTACTATAATTACTTCATCCATGTTATGCCCGTTGCGCCCGACTGGGAATCGTTTTCTCTCTGCATTATACCAGTGCTTGGTTTTCCCCCTATATATTATTGTCTCATGACGTTTTCCCATAATATACTGACAGGACCTGATATACATGTAACTGAAATACTATTGAAAGAGATAAGTGCGCAAATCAGCAAGCTCACTGCAACTGGCTTAACGATACCATAACAGTCTATTAACTTGGAAAAAGAACACATTCGAGAGAAGTATGGAAAACGTTTATTCTTTAATTCACTTGCAAATCAGGATCCATATTTTGATGTATTTTCTTCCTTGCAGGTTTCAGATGATTGCTGAGAAGCCATCCGGTTCCATTTCGGGTTACCAAGCAACGGAACATGGGCAGATCATGTGGGAAAGACACATACCAAACACGTGCAAGCTGTCACAGTAAGAGTTCTTATCAAAACAGAACTTTGTCCGAGCTTCCTTCCTCACGATTCCCTGTTCCTCGATTTACTTGAAGTAACATAAATAGTGATTTACTCAAATATAGCAGCGACGAAAATGTTTACAGATATATATATTTTGGCGCAGTGGTAAAAGTCTTAGACCTGTTATAATGTGGTGTTATAAAATACTGTTCCCAGGGGCATGAAATACGAAATACTCACAGATATATGGGTCATTTGCTACGTATGTGCCGTTGTTTCTAACCACATTTGGACGGTTCGCTGTATTTCTGCCTGTATATGTTATATCATATATATATATTTAGTCCACTGTATTGTTACACTTAAGGGGGCGGTGGGGTAGCCTAGAGGTTAAGGCGTTCGCTTGTCACACAGAAGACCTGGGTTCGATTGCCCACATTGCAACAACGTGGAACCCATTTCTGGTGTCCCCCGTCGTGATATGGCAAGGGTATTGCTGAAAGCGGCGTAAAAGTAATCTCACTCACTCTAACCAAATGTTAACCAAAAGCTCCAGATTTGTTATTACACTTTCGGCTAAATTGTGTTTTTCACCAGCTTCATCAAAACCTCTCTTTTCTGAGCCGTAAGCACCGTTACAACGAGCTCTCAAAGGGACCACTATTTTTGGTTCGTTATACGTGACATTGTACTGTTAAATAAGGTGACAACTGGTTGTGGTTTCGTATAGTGTTATGTTTCAAAACAGTTACCGTGTTTCGTTTTCCATGAGAAACACATTAGTCAAAGTTTCAATATTTAATAACACGTATTTATAGTAAGTTACTGGGGAAATATTGTAGTATCTACGGTCGTACCTTAATGCGTAATGATTAGTAATAATTTTAAATGTTCAGGTTGAAATACGTTCTATCCCGGGGTTATCTTTGGGTCCTCAAGACTTTGTTCCCCTGATGTTTTACAGCTAGATCGATGATAATATCACTTATGGCATTAAGGTAATCGGCGTTAGAGCAGCCAACGTCTTTAGCCTAGGGTACAATGTGTAAAGTCCATTTCTGGTGTCCTCCGCCGTGATATTGCTCGAATATTGCTAGAAGCGACATAAAAGTTTACTTAAACGTTTTGCCCAGGGTTAATGGATTACTGATACCATGATAGGATGAGTGACAGGGTAATCTCAGTCCACACTCTTTTCTCTTTTATTTAAGGCCATTGAGAGAGCAATTGAGGACATTGATTGCCCAGCTGTTGGAGAAAGACCAGGCCCACCTCTTGTCACATAACGAGTTCTACCAGCAGGTGAAGGTCATCACGCACTACGTCATGGTCGTTGTCTTCAACGCCGAAGACGTCACATACGTCATCATCTACATCAAACCAGACTCTAGGTAGGTACCTACCTAAGATGAATGAAGTCTCCTCCCTCTTCTACAGTGAATGAGTGAGTTTAGTTTTAAGCCGCTTTTAGCAATATTCCAGCAATATCACGGCAGGGGACAACAGAAATGGGCTTCACACATTGTACCCATGTGGGGAATCGAACCCTGGTCTTCGGCGTGACGAGCGAACGCTTTAACCACTAGGCTACCCCTCTTTAACCACTGTTATTCCTTTGGGGCGTTAGAGGTAAAGCCGACCCCGAACGTTGATGAAACCAACGAGCATTGATAACATGCTTCAAACAAACGCTTAACATCACAATTCCACCTTTCTATATGTATTGCATCAGCGTATGATTACAAACCTGTAATCGAACTGTACTGATTTTTATGTCCACAGCTTGGCAGAGTTTAAAGACGACGTTGCTGGAAGGACGGACATCATGGCGGGGGATCAGCTGCTCTTTCATAGGGGCCTCAGTTTGACAGATCTCATCGGGGATGACGTGATCACCGTCGCTTGTTTGTCATGTGACTTCCGGGAACCAGTTATTTTGATATCAAAGAACGAGACAGACAGCGTGATGAGAGAACCGAAACCTTTGGGTACCATCGTATTTCTAAGGAATTTTAAATCTGTTTATAAGCATTTACAATTTCTCTCCTGTAAAGCGACTTAAATATGAACCGTAATATCTATTGTTGTTAAGTGTAGGTGTATTTTACAGCGCATTTCTTACAATAAATCTATTATGTCACGGCGTGTTTATTTGGGGGTAAAAGCCCGTAGTTACGCAGGTCTCAAGCGTTCATAAATTACGACGACTGACATGATGTTAATATCCCGATGATTTGAACGTGACGTCGTGGGAGGCGACAGAGGCTGAGATGACATCCGGGGTAATAATAATGAGGGTGTTAGCGCAACATGCTTTGTTGCGTGGAGATTAGCGCATTATAAGACTTCTCATTATTATTATTATTATCACGGGGCGATTTGAAGACAATGAGGGCAAACAGTATTCACTGAGTTTTTGAAGATTCAATCAGTATATTAATGTTTCCTTCAGAACCACCGCCCACGTTCCCGTCAGGCTCAGTGCTGGAGAAGGACATCCACGTGGCCCACAAGATGGCGGTTTTTCTGTCCGGGGTGAAGGACAGGATAGCCTCATTCGTTGATACTGAAGAATCCATGGGAAAGGCTGACGTATGCATGAGGTGAGTTTCATACGAGTACCCATTTCCAGGCATATAGCTTTGAGTTCGTTCATTTATTTACTTCTGTTTTGGTTTTTTTTATCGGTGAGTTTGATTTAACACTTGTTTCAAACTGTTTTCCAGTTACATTTTCCGAAGCAGCAAAATTCTAATTGATGCAGATTTTGGGCGCTTGAGTTGGGTTAAATGCCATCTTTAAGGGTTATCGTTTGTCTTTGGCGTGGCACGTTCACATCATTACTACAGAGTCGTGCAAAAAGTATTCGGACGCTTGACGTAATTTCCATAGACTTACATGCTAATTTAGTGTAGCATAAGTCATTTTCATGAATTGAGTTTTCGTAAGATCCAAGTCACGTTTTGCACATTTGTGAGGAATCATCTTACCTACATAATTTCTGTTTAATTTTCCGTTGCTTATTTATCGAATGACAACAATTTAACCAACATATTTTACAGATTCTGTCACGACTAAAGGATGACTTTTCTGAGAAGATTGTATCACCTTTGACCATAAAAAGGATCGAAATAGATAATCCCCTGATTTTTATTATTCGTTTGTTATAAAATGAATTCAAGCTGAGAAGAAAGCTCAAAGAAATGCTGACCTTGCAGCATTCAGTAGTAGCGATAATTAGGAATTTAATCGGGAAGAATTCTGACACAAGTTACCACCAAATGTTTAATGACTTTTAATAATTAATATTATCGTTCTGCGTTCTTGCAGTGACTACTTAAAGAAACACGAGTCAAGGCTTGAGCGGACTGCAAGTAAACTCAGCACCAAGTTACAGAACACGAGGGGGAAACTGGAACTCATGCTGGACACGGAGAGGAAGCGGGTCCAGGTGACCTCGGAACACAACTCGTCAATATCACACAGGTGCAGCCGGGTCCGGAGCTCGATACCGAAGGTAAGACTGTATGACATTACCTGACTGAGTTACTGAAGAACAAGACTGTATGGCCTGACTGAGTTACTGAAGAACAAGACTGTATCACATTACCTGACTGAGTTACTGAAGAACAAGACTGTATGACATTACCTGGCTGAGTTACTGAAGAACAAGAATGTATGGCCTGACTGAGTTACTGAAGAACAAGACTGTATGACCACAGGCCCCCACCGCGGGTCAGAAAGTCGATAAACTAGGCCCCGGTTTAGTATCAACACCCCCTACTATATAATGCATAAAGGTTCATCACAGAAATACGGTGACATGATCGAAAACCGGACAATTACGCACATGTCAATGAATATATCGTATTTTAAAGGTCTCACAAGTATCAAAAGCTTTTGTCCATATCTCCGATGTATGTAGGAGGCATATACATGCGCTTTCCGTGGGGATGCATTTGATGGGTTTTATTAAATCGTCAAAGACCGAGTTGCTGTGCCGGAAGTGTACAAAACTAGGTTAATAAAATGACAACAAATGCACGTGCGAAAATGAGAGGGAAACTCAAACGTCTATCATCCAAGATGTCACTATCTGATGTTTTATCTTGGTAAGAATAATTTTAAAAACGAGTACAAATATTTTTTAAAGAAACACATTCATTCAGTGTAATGTGTTAGCCAATCAGATCGCCGGAGGTAGTGAAGTCAAGCGCTGACGAGCTAGTTTTGTATACTTCCGGCACAGCAACTCGGTCTTTGGCGATTTAATAAAACCCATCAAATGCATCCCCACGGAAAGCGCATGTATATGCCTCCTACATACATCGGAGATATGGACAAAAGCTTTTGATACTTGTGAGACCTTTAAAATACGATATATTCATTGACATGTGCGTAATTGTCCGGTTTTCGATCATGTCACCGTATTTCTGTGATGAACCTTTATGCATTATATAGTAGGGGGTGTTGATACTAAACCGGGGCCTAGTTTATCGACTTTCTGACCCGCAGTGGGGGCCTGTGTGTATGACCTTACTGAAGTTACTGAAGAACAAGACTGTATGGCCTGACTGAGTTACTGAAGAACAAGACTGTATGACATTACCTGACTGAGTTACTGAAGAACAAGACTGTATGACATTACCTGGCTGAGTTACTGAAGAACAAGACTGTATGACATTACCTGACTGAGTTACTGTAGAACAAGACTTGGCTGACTGAGTTACTGAAGAACAAGACTGTATGACATTACCTGACTGAGTTACTGAAGAACAAGACTGTATGACATTACCTGACTGAGTTACTGTAGAACAAGACTTGGCTGACACATGTCATCATATCCCAATTGCGTAGATCAGTGCTCATGCTGTTGATGACTGGAATGTCTGGTCCAGACTCGATTATTTACAGACTGCCCAATATATAGCTGGAATATTGCTGTAGTGTTAAACAACAACCAACAATATCTTAACGAGAGAAAAACGATGCAGAAAATGGAACGAAAAATGTTTTCAGGTGAGCCCAGAAACGTCTTCTTTTTGCTACATTGGGTGACTGAAAGCTGGTACACGTGTGTCGCGGTTGCAAATGTTACACATGTTATACATGTATATTTGGGATTACACTTTCTCAAGCAAGTACAGATTCTAGTACTTGTTTGGGTTGAGTCCCATACGGGATTCGTACCCACACTCTCAGAGTCAGTCACCTAATGGCCAGCACACAAGGTCAGCCATCTAACCCACTCAGCCATCACAGCTTCCACAAAACTGGAAGTCGGACAAATGGCAGTCCAGATCACGGATTTTGTGTACCCCTCTGACAAGTGTAAATTGGCATGGGTGAAATGATTTTATTTTATGTTCTACCTGTGTTACAGCTCAATGAACAGCTCATGAAGGTGACCAAGGAATTGTCCACTTGTAAACAACACACGTCTAATCATACTGTGCTGATGGTACACCACAAGTGTTCGCCCAAATGGTGAGGCTTCGTGCTAACGCTGCTGTATGCTAGTGACGTTTCATATCATATGCTTCTGTTGGGGAGTAGATACCACGACAGTGGTGGCAGCTATGAGTTGAGACTCAGACATCTGTCTCATTTCATCCACAGCTATTGAATGACCTTTCAGGAAGACACATCTCTCACATGACAGCCACTTCCGGTACATTAAAAATGTTGACGTTCCTTTAGTCAACAATGTCATTTTTGTTACTGGGAATAATTCGCAACTATTTAAAAAAAATATCATAAAATAACTACATTGCATTCTATACGACAGATGTACGAATGTTTGTCGTAGCTGACAATTATTGATATCTTCCAGTGGTATGCTTCCTACGAAAACGTAATTCGCAGAAACTTCTGCATTTGAAAACTTGCTTGTTCGAGATACACACGGTTTTCGGCATGTGATGTGTTGCCTTGACCAGGTGCCAGGATTGCGTAGGTATAACATTAACTAACATGTTGTAAGAGGTGTCTGGTGGTCAGTCGGTCACCATGTCCAGATACAGTCTACACAAATCTCCCGAGAAGCCCTATTGTTTTTGCTCTACAATACGTATTACCTATCTGCTGACTCGTGAAGATGCGGGTTAGAATTGATCTTCAGCAACCCATGCTTGTCGTCAGTGGCGACTAACGGGATCGGGTGGCCAGGGTCGCAGACTTGGTTGACACATGTCATCGGTTCCCAATTGTGATGAAGGCTCATGATGTTATCACAGATTCAATTATTTACAGACCGCTGCCATATAGCTGGAATGTTGCAGAATGTGGCATTAAACAAACAAACAACGTATCTGCGTGTTTCAGTGTCGAGAAAGCATCCGTTCTGTCGGTGAAAGGACGTGATAGTTGGCGGGGGATGTACCAGAGGAAGAAATGTCGGCCCATGTCCGAGTTTCAGCAGCTGCAACACACAAGAGACAGGTAAGGTCAAGGCTGTTTCCGTCAGGTCAAAGACAGGTGAGAGGTTAAATGTCAGAATTAAGTTTTCAGATGTTTATGTAATCCAGGAGGTGCATAGGTACGTTTAAGTAACAATGTGTTAGCGCAGCTCAGTTGGTGAGTGAGTGAGTTTGGTTTTATGCCGCTTTTAGCAATATTCCAGCAACATCACGGCGGGGGACACCAGAAATGAGCTTCACACATTGTAACAATGTGGGAAATCGAACCCGGGTCTTCGGCGTGACGAGCCAGCGCTTTACCCACTAGGCTACCCCACCGCCCGGCAGCTCAGTTGGTAGTATTTACTTATTCTCTGGTCCATGATCGCGGTCCAATCTATACATGAGTACATGGTGGAGCATCACGTACGGTACCCTTCAAAACGAAGCTGTGTTCTCTTTGCGACTGGATTATGGCAGTTTTGAAAATATATCTTATCTTAAAGTTACCATAGCCTATCTTTGAACGTAAGTTCTTAAGATTAATGGTAGGTCGATCGTTTCGAGAAATCAAAACCCATTACCGTAGCTTCCTATTTTTTTAGTTGTATTACCACATCATATGGAACAATTCCTCTCTGTACATTTGTAAATATCTGGAAGATTTAATTATTACCCCTTCCATCCACAGTATTTATTGTTAGGCTTTTTAAAGATAGGAATATTTATTACACATGGGTGATATATTAATGGTTTCGTTCTGCAGGACTACTATGGCGGATGTGTGTGCTACCTGCACGTCTCTGTATCAGGGTCATTGCCTTCCCAACATGAAGAAACACATGGCGGCTTTTGGAACCCGCATCCAGTAGGTACATTTATAACATGCCCATGGCTATATCGAGGCCGTTCCTTTCAACCTTGGACGAACACGTGGATTTGTAAACCAGCCAGTGTTAACTTACTTCAAATTCTTAATGCTGGAAAATTATTGAAAGTATTCTTTGAGTGTCATTTTAGAAGTTGGGATGTATAATTTTGAACATACTTTATGGATAACAACTTCTTTTATTTCGTGAGTGGGACGTTTCGATACAGATTCTTCTACCGCAGTCAAGCTTGAATTCCTGTTTTCTTCCTTCAATTTTTCTCGCCAGTGTGGAAATTAATGGCCTTGTGTCGAAAAAAAAAGAACACTTACTTGGTGCTAACTTACAAAAAACACACGGTCGCCTTGATCTTTCTTTCATATATGTTTATTACAAAATTGTTGGCGGAGCCAAGTGGGGGTTCAGGGGGTTCCAACCATAGGCCCTCGTGTTTTTGCGAAGATAAAAGATTTAAAAAATAATTTTTTTGAGATGACCCCCGATTCGAAATGCCACACAATACAATACATTATGACATATGGGGTTCTAAACACACACACACACCCGAAAATTCCTGGATCCGCCTATGAAATTTTTGCCGAAGCAGAGTGTCGATCTACAATCTAACGTAATTAAAAGACGATTATGAGGTGATATAAATATTAAAATGTCATGGAATAAGGTTGAGGTTTAAGATGAAAAACGGATGGCCTTAAAATACTTTAAAACACTTTAAAATACGGATAGCACTCGTTATGAGGTCGATGAAATGGAAATGTTGACGTAATGTTTGAACGAACGAACTCAGTGGAATGGAGATATTATACTCTTAATAAACGAGAATGATACGTTTCGGAAAATGGTTATGTAAACTCTAAACAAATGAATTAAATGATGGAATGACACATGATTGTTGTTATCCCCCGCAAAGCGTTTTGCGGGGGGTATTAAAATGGACTCCGTCCGTGCGTCCGTCAGTCCGTCCGTCCGTGCACATTTGTCTTTTCCGGAGCATAACTCTAGAACCCTTCAATGTTTCTTCACCAAACTTGGCACATAGATAGATCTGGTGGTGTACTGGTGCCTTTTGGTAGTTTTGGAATTCTGAATAAAATATTTTTGGCGTTTCCATGGCAACAAGTTTGACTTAGACTAAAATTGGTGGTTGTGCTCTTTTCCGGAGCAAAACTCTAGAACCCTTCAATGTTTCTTCACCAAACTTGGCACATAGATAGATCTGGTGGTGTACTGGTGCCTTTTGGTAGTTTTGGAAATCTGAATAAAATATTTTTGGCGTTTCCATGGCAACAAGTTTGACTTAGACTGAAATTGGTGGTAGTGCTCTTTTCCTGAGCTGAACTCTAAAACTGTTCACTATTTCTTCACCAAACTTGGCACATAGATAGATCTGGTAGTGTACTGGTGCCTTTTGGTAGTTTTGGAATTCTTAATAAAATATTTTTGGTGTTTCCATGGCAACAAGTTTGACTTAGCCTGAAATTGTGGTAGTGCTCTTTTCCGGAGCTGAACTCTAAAACTGTTCTCTATTTCTTCACCAAACTTGGCACATAGATAGATCTGGTGGTGTACTGGTGCCTTTTGGTAGTTTTGGAATTCTTAATAAAGTATTTTTGGCGTTTCCATGGCAACAAGTTTGACTTAGCCTGAAATTGTGGTAGTGCTCTTTTCCGGAGCATAACTCTAAAACCGTTCAATGTGTCTTCACCAAACTTGGCACATAGATAGATCTGGTGGTGTACTGGTGCCTTTTGGTAGTTTTGGAATTCTGAATAAAATATTTTTGGCGTTTCCATGGCAACAAGTTTGACTTAGCCTGAAATTGTGGTAGTGCTCTTTTCCGGAGCAGAACTCTAAAACCGTTCAATGTGTCTTCACCAAACTTGGCACCTAGATAGATCTGGTGGTGTACTGGTGCCTTTTGGTAGTTTTGGAATTCTGAATAAAATATTTTTGGCATTTCCATGGCAACAAGTTTGACTTAGCCTGAAATTGGTGATAGTGCTCCTTTCTGGAGCAGAACTTTAAAAGCTTTCAATACTCTCCTTCCACTTTTCTATATACACACCTAAATATTTGACATAATCATAACTCGTAGACATAATCATGAGGAATATTTTGCCATTGCGGGGGATATTGATGACTTTGTGTTCTTGTTTTCTCTGTAAGGGTGTTCCACAGTGTGCAGATGAACCTGTTGGACATAAGGAAGACCCTGTCTTTTGTCAAGGAGCAAATAGATGACCTGGATGCAACGCTTATTCAGGTGAGCTAAATGGCAAATACGATGGTGGCGTTTAATAGGAGTCTTGTATGACGTGTATATAACATATACTTAATTTCAACCGCCTCTTTGGTCTTGTGGATAGATCTGCTCAGAGTGAGTGAGTGAGAATGGTTTTACGTTGCTTTTGGCAATATTCCATCAATATCACGGCAAGGGACACCAGAAATGGACTTCACACATTGTATCCATGTGGGGAATCGAACCCGGGTCATGAGCGTGTCGACCAACACTTTAACCACACCGGTATTATGCTATGTGATTGCATATATGGTTAACATCTTAACCATGAAGTATGTAAGACATCACTTTCGGTTTCAGGTCGGATCTTTCAGCGGGCGGGCATGGAGTGGCGTCACAAGTCAGATCAGCAGTCTGCGTCATGGGTAATTATCCTGTTGCGATGCCCCCTTAGGAAGTCATAGACAAGATCTTCCTTTGTCAGGGTATGAAAGTCCCACAATTTCAGCCAGACCACAGGGCTGGTTAGATGTAAAACTTGCCAGCCCTGACCAAAACTTACCTGCTCACAAAAAATACTAATATACATGTCTAAATTTTAACCCCACCGGGCAGGTGAATTCAGAATCTGGCAGTCCGTGTTGAAAATAACCCGTCCCGGGCGGTCTGGCAGGCAGGTATTTCGAAGCTGCCTTTGACCTTTAAGGTGTATAGTTGCATAACAGTTGACTGGACGTACAATGGACCCTTGGAGATCCGGGGTGGTTGCTTTAGGCTTAACAAACAAACAAACAAACAAATGCACAAACAAGGAAACGAAACTGTCGACGGTCGATCCCGGACCGTTATTCAGTGGTCCAAGAACTGATGAATCACAACTGAAATGGATGGTTGCTGATGCTGTCAGACACTGGCATATCTCATCCAGATTGGAATGTTTACAGAATGTCGTGGTTCTGCTGCGACAACTGAAACTGAGAGCTCACCATCGTGTTCCGACCGCGTGGTTCTTTGCCGATAACGCCAGTCACTAGTTTGTCTCGTTCAGACTCGAATGATTTAAAAGCGACCAGTAGCGTACCTGCCATTAGGCACGTGTCTACACTTAATAATGTTCGGCAATTCACCACTGTGCGTGTGACATCAGCAGCAAGCGAGAGATCCTTTAGTGCAATGAGGAGGATCAAGACGTACCTTCGGTCCACCATGGGTGATGTCCGTATGTCATGACCTGCAATTATCCATGTCCACCGAGACATGCCAGTAAACACACCGTGTCATGGAGCAATTTGCTGATCGGAAGACGAGGCGCATGGATTTCATTTAATACTGTACATAACGTGCTGACAGCAATATTACTCCCCAGAATACAGACATCTTTTCTTATTGACCCACATAATTGTCAGTTGTTCAAACTAAGTTTATACATTAAGTAATCATGAGGTAGCATTTAAGCGTTCAATATGTATTCACAACACTACATGCAACAATTGGCTTCAGCCGATATAACCAGCACTAAGCTACAGATTTTTCTATGTGCATATAAATTGTATACTGACTTCTTTCCCACACACATCCATCTCCCACACACCCCAACACACACACAGACACACATACCCACACCCAAGAATATGCATGGAAGGTAGTTGTTTTTTTTATTATGATAAAAAGTAAATCAGTCGATACATAACATTGCATGGCCAAATTGAATAGTGACTTTTGCTGAAGGACTATTTTGTCATTGCTTATGTCATAAAATATTTGTGAGAGTACTAAATTTATTATTTCAGGAACTTCACTATGAAAATGTATTTTATGAAAGGTTTGAAGTTTCGCACGTCCAGTTGAGCCTACACTTCATTTCTTTCCTGGGTACGCCCCTGGCGACGTTTAGACAAACAAATTATGGTTCAGAAATAAACATAACTGTCATGTGTTTTCCAGTGTCCCTTTGGATGACGGCAGCGCTTCACTTCGAGTCATGAAGGAATCTGCTGAAAACAGGAACAGGTAGGATCATTCGTGACCAACTCGTGTTATTCCGGGACAAGGAGGGAATGGTCCAATGTTTGTCCAGTTGTGTTCTTGGTGGGGAAATAAATAAAACATCTTCCCCCGTTTCGCTTATATTTTTAGAAGAAAAAATAATAAAAGTCACGCCCCTTACTTTTGAGAACAGAGGTGTCAAAAACATTTAAATGTGCTTGTTAGTTGTGCAGATTTACAAATATCTTAATTCCATTCTATTAAGGGGTAGTGTGGTAGCCTAGTGGTTGAAGTGTTCGCTCGTCACGCTGATGACCCGGGTTTGAGTCCCAACTTTTTGTCGAAATTTGTTAAATATATGCTACACATATGGATTGTTCATTGTTAATGGCAGAGTACCTGGCGATGCTAAAGGTGAATTTACGTTCATAAGTGCACAAGGAAGTAGTGTAAATAACTATTTTATCCCTTCAGTTTTTCGACATAATAGCTATGTTAAATGTGGGTCAACGTCTTGAATCTGACCACCAGCCCTTGGAGCTTTTTTGTTACTCTCCTAAATCGCTGTCAGATAAACAACCAGGCATTACACTTAATCTCGCGGAAACGTACAGGTGGAACAGTGCTTTATCAGATCACTTTATAGCTTGCCTAACAGGCAAAGCTAATGCCTTTTTTCACAGTTTAACTGAATATATAGATACTAATCTAGATGGTGCTCTTAGCCAGTTCGTAATTCATCTACTGGATGCAGCCAAATGTATGAAAAGACCAGCTTTTAGATGCCAGACTTTAAGACGCCAACCCTTAAACGACGAGTGTAGGTCTGCAAAGCGTGAAGCGAGGAGGGCGCTTAGGAAATTTAGACTTACACGAAACGACTACAACAGAAAGACTTTTTGTACTTTGAGAAATAAATATAAAGAATCATGTCGAAAATAAAAGAGCAAAACAAGAGATCTCCGATTGAAAAAACTTAGCACTTTCACTCAAAATTCTGGTAAATTTTGGCGGGAGATTCGTTCCTTGAAAAGTAAAGATAATGTGGTTTGTAAGATAACAACTGACCAGTGGTTGTTACACTTCCGTTCTGTCTTTTCCCATTTTCATGAAGAATATGAATGTAATGATACAGCTAGCTTGCAGGAATCTAAGGCTAGTTTGGAGACCAGTGGTTATACAGAACTTGATGCTGAAATCCTTGATTCAATAATAACCGAAACCGAAATTGTCGATGCCATAGGAAATCTTAAAAACGGAAAATCACCTGGTCCGGACAAGATTTTAGTGGAGATGTTAAAAGCTTCCCAAGACATTATATTGCCATTTTTTACATAAATGTTTTAACTATGTTTTTTAAGACTGGATACTTTCCTAGAACCTGGGCACAGTCTATCATAGTACCTCTACATAAGAAGGGTGACATCAATAACCCTGACAATTACAGAGGCATATCTCTGACGAGTAGTATTGGTAAATTGTTTACTTCTATCCTCAACAAAAGATTAAACATGTGGGCTAATATTAGAGATAAAATTCCTGAAATACAAGCTGGCTTTAGGAAAGGTTATTCCACATCTGATCATATTTTTACATTGAATGCAATTGTGCAAAAGTACTTAATAAGAAGAAAACGTAAGTTATATGTAGCATTTATTGACTTTAGGAAAGCATTTGACTCTGTAAATCGACAGAAATTGTGGGCTTGTTTAAAGCGGGCGGGATTAGATGGGAAAATGTTATTTATGTTACGAGGTATTTATGCCAGCGTAAAGGCTTGTGTGCGTAGCAATGGGAGAGAGATTCACTGACTATTTTGAGTGCCCACTGGGTGTGAAGCAAGGATGCTTGTTAAGCCCTATTCTCTTTTACTTCTTCATTAGCGAATTGGAAAATGAAATAATTCATAAAGGCAAACATCTGCTTTCATCACTATATCCATTAGCGCCAATAACACCAAAGATGTTTTTTAAACTTTTCGATGCACAGATACAACCAATGCTTTTGTATGGGGCAGAGATATGGGGTTTCCCGACTTTTGAACCGATTGAAAAGATACATCTATTGGCATGTAAGAAGTTCCTTAATGTTAACATTACAACACCAAACTATATGGTATATGGAGAATGTGGAAGATACCCACTTTATATAAACTCGCACCTTCGCTGCATAAAATACTGGTTCAAAATACTGAAAATGCATGAACAGCGTCTACCAAGAAAGTCATATAACATGCTACTTAATTTAGATAATATTGGTTATGTAACATGGGCATCAAATATAAGATATCTGTTATTTTCGTATGGATTTGGATATGTGTGGATTTTCCAAGGTGTCGGTAACGAGTGGCTGTTTATGAATGAATTTCGCCAAAGAGCCGTGGATATGTTTCGCTAGAATTGGATGAATACCCTTAATCTAAGTTCAAGATTTGATGTATATAGATCCTTTAAAACATTGATCGAACCTGAGACATATCTATCAAACATTACAAGCAAGAAATTTAGATATACAGTTATTAGATTTAGATTTGGCTTGACAGATATAATGATCAATACTGGCCGTAACAAGTCACTCGCCAAACATCTCAGATTTTGCCCTGTCTGTATGGCGGATATCGAAGACGAATATCATCTGTTATTTATATGTGACGCTTATGCCGATTTAAGAAAGGAGTACATTCCACAAAAATATCTGGGTCACCCTACAAGGGAAGCACTTATAAGAATTTTATCATCAAAAGACGAATCTGTCCATGTAAAATTAGCCCTGTTTTTAACTCATTCGCTGTCTTTAAGGAAGAGTCTAATTTCTCCTGTCAACTAACCTAACAATGTTATGATGCTTTCCACTGTTTGCAATGTCCTTACTGTGCCTGTCATTACAATACTATGTATACGGACCAGAGGCCTTATGTACAATAAACCATATTGATCTTGATCTTGAGTCCCCACATGGGCACAATGTGTGAAGTCCATTTCTGGTGTCCCTGGTAGTGATATTGCTGATGTATTGCTAAAAGCGACGTTAAACTAAACTCACTCACTCACTCCCTTTCTATTGCATGTCTTTCTAAAGGTAACGGTGAACTCTCAGGCATTGTACCTTCTGTTTGGTTATATTTGTATAGTATATTTTGGAACTAGCTTTGAGTATGACAATATGGTTAGAAACACATGGGTGCCGTCGTAAAAAGCGATCTTAGCCCTAAGATAAGCTCAACACCTATATCTTAACATAGGCTTACGACAGTCCCAGCGTTTGTACAACATCTATATGTAAAATCAAGACAATATGTAAAAACTATCGCAATATGTAAAACCTTAACGCAAAACGTTTTTACATATTGGGTCGTGCAGCGCCAACGGCACTCAGAACAGTAGCAGTTACATACGCAGGATAGCCTCCTCTAAACTGTGTCACAAGTGACTTCATTGTGACATGTTTGGAACCTAGCCCCCATGTAACGAAGTCAGAGGGACCTACAGTAATAGTTCGAGTTAGAAGAGGTTCGACACAACCGTTAAATGATTAATAAGAAGACACAGACCAAACGTTTTGCGTCGAGACAACGGTGTTTGACTGTCTACCTTTTTTTATTATGTTTATTAATATAATATTTGGTTTGTAATTCATATTTTTGTTTGAATTATTTTCCAGTATGGAAAAGCTCCTGAAAACGCTGCCTGACCTAAGAGCCCTGCCGGATGTGTTCAACAAATTTGAAAACGGCTGATAAAGTTGTTATTCTGCGAATAGACGAGGAATGTCTCTACCTCACAGCCGACATAAAACGACAAAGACACTGACACTTGTTCCCAGATTGTAATCTACACGAGTGCTTATAGCTTATAGCCATTGTGACCACTGACAACGCCCGATGTATAGACATATCGGACGCCGTGTTAGCGCTATCTATCCCTGTCATTTATTTCAATACAGTACATTTATTGCGAATCATGGTAATATGAGATATCACAAAGTGTATCCTCATTCCTGAGAATCAGTTATATGATCACATCTAATCTTGTTAATACTTAATAGGCGCTCTTGTTCAGCTGTCCCGTCGCCGCGAATAGCTGTAATATTGTTGATGCGGTGTAATATAAGATTTGGTTACTCAGCAGTTGAGTGACGTCAACAAGCACGCTGATATCCTGTGCTAAATGTTGACATCATCATCACTGGGAATACTTCATCCACATATGTAAACTAAGCACATGTTATATTTCTTTCGTTATTTTGAACATTTTCGAAACGAAAGGAATGTTTCAGCAAATCTTACAGTCAGACTTGTAACTTGTTTGAGTGGCATTTTAGAAGTTGAGACGTACAATATGGAACAAGTTTTTATGGCTAACAACTTCTTTATTTCGTGAGTGCGACGTTTCGATACAGATTCTTGAACCGTTGTCAAGCCAGAGTGACTCTTGCTTGACAACGGTACAAGAATCTGTATCGAAAGTCGCACTCACGAAATAAAGAAGTTGTTAGCCATAAAATCTTGTTCCATATAGTCAGACTTGTGTTTGAATATGTAGAGTTACAGACACTTTTTCTTGTGGCGATATACAAGACCCCTTTTCTTCTTCCTTTCAAATCTTTGAGAAGACTGTTACGAAACCAAATAACAACCATCTTACATCAAATTGAATATTATGATTACAGTGTCATTCAATTTCGACTGATCTACAAAAAACTACTACTCACCCCAAGGGGGCGGCGAGGAAGCCAAGTGGTTAAAGCGTTCGATCGTCACGACGAAGATCCGGTTCGATTCCCCACATAGATGAAAGGTTAAAGCCCATTTATGGTGTTCCCTTCGTGATATTGCTGAAATATTGCTGAAAGCGTGGTAAAACCATACTCTATGTAAAAAAATCCCACATGAAAATGTTTCAAGTGAGGACTTCGTGAATATGCTATGAAAAGGTGTTGATGTGAGGGAAACAAGCATTTGATTACCTGGTGTGTGTTATAACCGTATTAAAGACGTAGATACTTCACCATAATGCTGTACATACCATCACTTTGTATCCATTTGCTACTGCAAGGGTCCGTGTTCTTCACTAGGGAACACTATTTAGTGCAGGCCTGTTCACACTGGATTTATCTCAAGCGTAGAATGGATAATGCATGTTTGTATAACTTGAGAATGGTTGAAAAAAATGGTACAATCTGGTTTATTGTTCTTTCTTTTGTACACTGTTCTTGTCAGCAATCCTTCAATTCTTCACAGGATTTGACCGTAAATATCACTCGGACCTGCCAAGATGGAGGAACCTGTCACAAACCCTGAATTGGTAGTGGTTGGTGTGTTGGTATGTTGGATTGGTGGTGGTATGCAGTGAATTACAGCTTCAGTAATGATCTTTGGGTTTGTGGTCTGTTTGTCCCGAACAACGGGTAGATTGAGTGAGGGTTTTACTGCATACGTATATAGTGATGTTGATATTATTGTTTGTATTAAAGAACAAAAATCTTTTATTTTGTTTACTCTTTTAACCATTACATATGAAAGACGAGTGGTTAGTCTTAAGCGGAACACCAAATTCGTTCTTAAAAAACTTGTGGTTAATTAATACCGAGCGATTAAAAGTTGCCAAAAAGTCGCCTGCTTCACTCTCGCCCGCCAACGAAACCACAGACAGGTTACGTAACTCTGTCGCCAGCGAAACGGAAGTGACGTCATGTGAGGAAGGATTTTCAGTTAGTTGTATATAAAGTGTGTAACAAGCTCGTCATTTTGCTGATTTCTTAACGTCAAGAAGACATGCCGAATCGTTGCGTTGTCGTCAATTGCTCCTAGGGGTCGGGTGATGGTGTCACTATGCACTGATTTCCACAGGACCCCGTAGTTTGTGCTGAATGGGTTATGTTTGTGAGTGCGAAGCGAGCGTTGTGGAAGCCTGGAACGATATCATACTTGAGTTCATATGGCTTCACGGAAGTTAAAGAATCAAAACTACTTCCTGGCTGTAGTAAAAGATGTATATGATTGATGACCAAAAAGATTTTCCATGACACAACTGGTAACATCAGGATTTCTGCCTCAGAAGCGAGGTTGTGGTCGAAGTGACAATAATATTGTAAGTAGTGTTATATCGACACCCACCTCGCTTCCACGAGAGAAATTGTTATGTTATAAGCTATGTCATGCAAAATCCTATTGGCCATCAATCAAAAACATATTTTACTACCAGTAGAAAGTAGTTTTGATTTTGTAACTCGGTGAAGAGAAATCTATTCTCAGACTTTCGGATGTTCGCAACAGGGCGCCGCCATTTTTAAAATTCGTGAAGTCACGGGGTAAAGTCTGTTAAAGAATTAATGAGATTATGGTTTGTTTTCATCAAGTTAGAAAACCAAAACGACTTTCTACTCGTAGTTAAATATGTATTTGAATCATGACCAAAAGGATTTTGCATGACACAACTTCAGCCATTTTATAGTTTGCCAATGTGAATCATAATTCGCACACACGCCCTTGTGTATGTTGTCTGTCTCATTACACTTCACAGCGAAAACAATGGTTCTGTTGAATGCTACGACAAATGAATGAAAACAAAATGCAAATATTAAAATTGAAACAGATTAAAGTTATAGGAACAATGTCAGGATATTACCTTGTTCGAGGAATGTATCCATTGATATCCACAAAAACGAGTGATATGCCATTCATCTGCAGCTGTTCCAAGTGGTGTGTCTTTTAACAGTCTAATATGCGAAAAAGTGATACATCGTTTCAGGTTTTTCACTTTGGTGTATAGCCCCTCTGATTGGTTGAAATTTCGTTCGCGGATACCTAGGGTATATGTACGTATTACCTAGATATATCCTTTGTAGTATGGATGAAATGTATATTCGGCCTATTCTAGAATATGCATCTGAGGTATGGGATAATTGCCGTACCTTTATTTGTGATAAACTTGAAATGTTACAACTTGAAGCAGCAAGAATTATAACCGGATTGCCTAAATTCGCCTCAAGATATAGAATATACAATGAAACAGGTTGGTTACCATTGAAAGTTAGACGAACACAAAGGAAACTCTGTACATTCTACAAAATTGTTAACATGCAAGCTCCATCATTACCTGATAGATTTGCTTCCACCTTTTACTGAAACCATTTCCGGATACAACTTGCGTAACAAATCAGATTTGGCTATTCCTAATATACGCACCTCAATTCTCCAAAGGTCATTTATTTATGATTCTGCAAGTTTATGGAAAGCTCTCTCCTCTACAACAAAATGTACAAATTCATTATCATCGTTTAAATCAAAGTTATCTGAAAAAAATGACAAAGTTCCAAAATATTTTCTATTTGGTGAAAGAAAGACAAATATACTCATGCCAATAATGGTTGTCACCCCCTTCAATTTTTTTTATTGGAGAGGGTGTGGGGTTGGGGTGGGGAGGAGGGTGACAACCATTATTGCCATGAGTATATATTACACACAAAGTTAAGGCATTCGTGTAGTTCATAACATGCACATCTTTTTCGTGTTAATTTATCAGAGAGTAAAGCTTGCAATTGTGGTGCTCCAGTGGAAGATGCAAACCATTTCTTTTTAAAATGTCCAAAATTTGTCAGCTGCCGTTTTGATCTGAAGCAAGACTTTGAACTATCAAAAGTTCACTTAGACATTGATACCATTCTTTACGGCAACCCTGCTCTGCCAAATAGTATTACTGAAAATATCTTTAGACATGTGCATAAAACATTGTACGAAGTAAGCGCTTCGATTAATGAATAATATATCTAAATATTATTATGTCCATTCATTACGTCCATGTTTCTGATGGGAGCGGGCGGTAATAAGTTACATAGCTTGTGCCCAATCCCTTTCAACATTGAATACAATATGTTCAAACAAACAAGAGTATATGTGATCTTTAAACCAATAAAGCGGTATAAATAAGGATATTCTGGTGTTTCTTTTCTTTCTAAAATACAGCTAAAACATTCAGTTTTTAATGTTATAGTTGCAATAGTTATATATGTTCTTTGTCGTCAGTGGCGGAAGGGTAGCTTAGTGGTCAAAGCGTTCGCTCGTCACTCAGAATGTGCGGTTCGATTCCCAACATAGGTACAATTTGTGAAGCACCATTTCTGGTGTCCACCACCATAGTATTGCTGGAATATTGCTAAAAGCGGGGTAAAACCCGCTCACTATTTGTCGGCAATCGTTGGTGCGGTCCCAGTACTTCAAGGGGGAAAAGATCCAACCTAATCGTCAATCATTAGTGCTGCCCCAGTACTTAAAAGGGGCAAGGTCCCAGCAATTGTCAATCCTAGGACCGGCCCCAGTACTCAAACGGGGGCTAGATCCAAGCGAATTTAAAAATTAAACGAGACTTACCTGGAAGGTGAAGTTTAATTCTAATTCCATCGTTGTATGGATGTGCGCATGCGCTAAGTAATCAGTCTTCATAGAAGAAATTTGACAATCCTGGGTGCCCCCACCCCTAGTACTTTAAGCGGGACATGGTCCAAGCCATTTGTCAGTGCTGGGACCAGCCCCAGTACTTAAAGGGGAATAGGTCATCGTCAATTGGCAGTCCCCGATTCTGACGAAGGTATATCTGCTTCATATGATCTTCATATGATCTGTGTCATGAACAAACCGGAAATGTTGCCGCGAACAGAAGCAAACAATCAAGCAAAGCCATCTTGCGGAACTCAGCTAATAATCGTAAAGAAACTTTTTCAGAGTGGAGCAATTGCTTAGTGGACAACTCAGTATTCAAGTTTAATTTCTTATTAACATTATAAATATAAATACAACCCATGAATGCTGAAGACAAACTGAGGCTACATCCATACTAGAAGCATACCGTATACATCTGGTTGAGAAAGGAGGGGTGCACAGTTCAATTTCACCCGTTTTCGCGCGAGTTTCAATTGTCATTGTATAAACTTTCAGGACAAGAAAAAGGGGGGCAGTAGAGAGGGGGAGAGAGAGATGCGCACCCCTGCAGCCCCCCACTGGATCCGTGATATGTACCTATTGTTTACCAGCATACACTTGTAACCTGTGGCGCTCAAGTGTCAATATTAAATAATACTAAGATAAAAGGTGTTCTGTGTCTAAATAAGACAAGAAGCGCTCTGTGTCAGTACACAACATAACATACAGGCGCTCTGTGTTAATACAGAATGTGTGGCATTTTATCTACATTTATACACCCTAATGTTTCAAAAATCGATGGTGTGTAGCACATAATTACGACACCAGGTGCCGAGAATAGGTAAACCGCCTATAGATACCGTATAGGTGTGTAACCCTACACTATGTAAACGCCAAGAGCGTCCCGTGATCAACAGTAAGAAACAGTGCAAACACAATTAATGGACTAGACAGTCCGGACTGAACCATTTACTTTCTGTGTTGGTTGAATTAAATAACTCGTTCGGAATATACTGGTAAGTTATAATTTGCCCCATGTTCTATAAAAACAAATTATGTTTTGTTGACTCGCTAAACATAAACATTGTATGTTTCATCTCTCAGAGAAATATAATGTATATTTTGAAGCACTAAACGATAATTCATCTCGTTTCCGACAAAAATACCATCCCCTCTCCTACCCCCACATAAAATGGTCTCATCCATGTACATGTATATATAACATTAGAACACTTTCAGAATGGAAATAACTATGTTACACTTACATATCGTCATACCTTAATAACTGAACACTGAAATAGCAGACGGGCTGCTATAGCCACTCTCCCTTCCGTTGTAGCTCTTCAATGTAGTTCAACAGAAGATTCGCCTTTGCGATGTTAATCCCCATCCCATAGTGCTCAGAATCAAAACTACACATCCCGTCAGTTAAATGATACGTTCTGAGTATCGGGACAGACCAATCTTTAAGAAACGGTTCCATCTCTGTATTAAACCTTTTTGCCTTCTCCCTGCTTTCAGTCAGATGCCACGGAGTCTTCATTAAACCCGGGGCGTGTTGATCCACCCACAGCAGTTTAGGCCATGTCAGGGATCTATTCCTCTTCGCCTTCAGAACGGGGCTAAGGAACCCATCTTTAACTGTGTTGGAATTATGGGCGTCGTGGGTTGCTATTCCCATTACTAGCATCGTCCTCGACGTCTTTAGCTCCCTCAACGTCTCGTCCTTCAGCCGCATGCCTGTCCCGCTGTTGAAATAGTACTTCATGACGACGCGCACATTGCCCCCGCAGCCGACGTAGTTGTAGTTGAGATGATGTCGGCAAGTCTTCTCTGTGAACATGTACCAGCCGGAGCACTTGCCAAGGATATCTGGGAAGCGAAATGATTTTAAATAGGTACTAGAAACTACTTAATAGATTATATGTAATCCCAAATACAACACAAGTTATATTCATATGTGGTACAACATTTTTATATAATGTTGGGAAAATAAGAGATTCTGATGTTTTTATGTAAAACCAGGGAAAATCTACAACATTATATAGTCTCCCTGGTAAAACGCATGTAACTTTTTATTATATTTATGAATATATTTTGGGCCAGTGGCCTATTACTGAATAAATGTCTGTCTGTCTGTCTGTCTGACAACCTCTACGTTCAGTTTAATAAAGGGTCAGCGCCATAAGAGTGATATGTAAACATCTTACTTTGGAAACGCACGTTTCACTGTCATCAGTTTGGAACATAATACGTAAAGGAATGGTTATTTCTTTCTCATATAACGTCATTCGTAAAATTAATGTTTAAGCCGATTTTACACTCATGGACCAACTTTATTTTACATTGTTTGAGGGCAACCACCTAGGTCTTCAGGAGCACGTACACTAGGAAACTCACTCAAGGAATCCAAGTGTATTGTGGACTTCGGTCAGTCAGTCAGGAAGCAGCCATTGCATCGATGCACGGACGTTGAAACAAACTTGGATATTTAAGGAAGGATAGCAATACAGGGATGTACAACTTCGCTGTAATAAGAGAGTTGTTCATCCCTATATTGTTATCCTTCCTTACATGGATATTCCTCTGATCGTGACACAAAGTTTTGTTTTTAGAGCATCAATAACAAACATTCGTTCATTATATATGTACGTACCCGTTTGGACACCCTTGTTGAGAGCACCTGTCTGAGGGTTCCCGCTCAACAGCAGCAGCATCGCTGTGTGGAGATGTCGGATAAAGGAGTCGCCGACAAAGTGAAGGACACTTCCGGCCAATAGTCGACAAGCTTCCTTGGCGGTAAAGGTCTTGTACTTACACTGCGGGTCCGAGGGAACCCACGTGGAGAACTCAGCATGTTTCTCCCGTCGAACGTCAATGCAGTTCGGACACAAACACTCGTGGATGGGTTTCTCCTCACAGTGATTGTCGTAACAGCATGGCGTCTGACCGAGAGGGTTGCACAGAGCTCGGATCCACGGTACATATTTGGGATTTTCGTAAGACACGTTACCACATTTGCCGTCCACGCGCTCGTACTCGGGAGGGAAACGATACCGCGCTTCCGGGTGGGTAAGAAACACAAGAATCGCATTGCTTTCCTTCCTCGTGAGATACGACGTCCGCCATCTTCCCTGGGTCATGTGACCCAGTACATCCGGGCAGTGTGTCGTCTGCGTCGGGTTCAGCTGTGTTCCTTTTATCGGTGGTAGTACCACAGTCCTACCTTTGGAGGTTACAATGATCCTGTGTCTGTGTGTCAGTTGGACTGTGGCTCCTGGCGATAGGGGCCGGCTTTCTGGGGTCGTTACAAACACGTCCATGACGGCCCATCGTTGTTGAGAGAAGGCGGCCATTAAGGACACGATGATGAGGGCCAAACATGCATAGATGACTGACCGTCGATGCCGGACGATGGCTACTGCTAAACCCATCTGCGGTGTTCAGAGGCTCTACTAAAAATCGAAAATGTGTAATCAAGGTTTGCTACTGTTCGCAAATGAGCTTGTTAAAGATATGATTCTCATTGAACAGAATATCAATCTCCATCTTACATCAAGTGAATGGTGTATCAGTATTTGCTTTGATCAAATACATGATTCTCTTGGAATCAAACTAGCGATCTGTACTTACGTACCCCCATCCCCACCCTCCAAACACATGCACACAAACCCACAATCATCCACCCCCGCCCTCACAAAAGGTCCTACCACCCACTCCTACCCCGCATAGATATTTACACACGAGCGATAGACAATTTCAAATTCAATTAAGTGCCATCGTATTTGGAGATGACCTAGTTCTGCATTGACATCACGGTGTGTTCGTCTTCTAAATGAAGTAGATTTTTATTGCATTATGATTATATATACTTACATACAAAAGAAAGTACACACTCGGTGTTTTAGGAGTATTTTTCCAAATGTAAAGTCTGGTTCAAGACATGCTCTGTAATGGTCGATGGGATGGGGTGCCCACAGCACACAGTCGTTTTATCACAGTGTTGCAGCTGATGCAGTGACCCACACTGCTGATGCTGATGGCGGCACTGTGAGCATCCGGTTGCGCAGATGAGGAATGCGCAGGTGATGGTCATTTTGCGGAGTAATCACTCTCATCTTTCCATTTCTGGGACTGTCAGATGTTTAAGCAGTCTGGATGAGGCGTCTCATTGGTCTGATGATGGCCTGCCATGTACGACCGAGCGTTCTGGCAATATGGCTATCGGAGACCCCCATCTGCGACATTCCAATAGCTCGTCCAATGTGTGCCTTTAACAGGTAGGCCACTTACACTCTCAATCGATTGTGTATTTATAGTGCTGACGCATAACATACACGTGTGATTCAACAAAATCATGATTTTCATGATATTCCACTGACAGCCTTGTGCACAATGTGTGAAGCCCATTTCTGGTGTCCCCCGCCGCGATATTGCTGGAATATTGCTAAAACCGACGTAAAACTAACTCACTCACTCACAGTGTTGTGAAGGATACTTGAGGTGTTGCCTTGTAAGTCACCATTAAAACTCTTTTGAAAATGTCCACTATTTTCTTTTGAAATAACCCCCAAACACCACGTGTGTACTTTCGTGTGTGCGTCAGTTTATTAAATACAGATATTGATACCGTGTTCCTATTTCACAGCTTGTCATACAAAAGAAATAGATAGTGGACAACTGTTTCATATCACAATCATATTAATTATGATCCTTTGAAAGATATATATCAATATATACCATACCATTATAATAATACATCTCTGCAACAAGCAGAGCTTGTGGGACGATTTCGACTTTACCACAAGCTGGTATATGTGAATCCTTGTGAGATAGTGATACCAGGTGTTCAAGCATAGGTTAACGTATCCTGCGCCCATGGTGGCACCCGTCAGAAACACATGCAAAGGCAAGGCAAGTGGAATTACATGCTGCAAGTCAAAATTGGGAATTGCATCCTGATAGCTAGTAGCGGCCATAATGTGTGTATAAAATCGTCAGCAAAGAGGGTTTATTATTTGTTTTCTCGGGCGAATGAATGAATTAATGCATCTGAAAGCACCACCCCAACTGCTTTCCCCGTCCTCGGTGAAATAAATTAATGTGTCTCCACTAGTTGCCAATGTGTCTTCATTGGTGGCTATTGTGCCTCCTATGGTGCAAATGTATCTCGACTGGTGGCTAATGTGTCTCATATGGTGGCTTATGTATCTCGACTGGTGGCTAATGTGTCTCCTATTGTGGCTAATGTATCTCGACTGGAAGGTAATATGTCTTCACTGGTGACTAATGTATCTCGACTGGAAGGTAATATGTCTTCACTGGTGACTAATGTGTCTCCTTTTGTGGCTAATGTGTCTTCACTGGTGGCTAATGTGTCTCCTATGGTGGCAAATGTGTCGTCACTGGTGGCTAATGTGTCTACTATGGTGGCAAATGTGTCGTCACTGGTGGCTAATGTGTCTTCACTGGTGACTAATGTGTCTCCTATGGTGGCAAATGTATCTCTAATGGTGGCTAATGTATCTCGACTGGTGGCAAATGTATCTCGACTGGAATGTAATGTGTCTTCACTGGTGGTTAATGTATCTCTAATGGTGGCTAATGTATCTCCTATGGTGGTTGATGTTTCTCGACTTGTGGCTAATGTATCTCGACTGGAATGTAATGTGTCTTCACTGGTGGCTTATGTGTCTTCACTGGTGGCTTATGTATCTCGACTGGTGGCTAATGTGTCTCCTATTGTGGCTAATGTATCTCGACTGGAAGGTAATGAGTCTTCACTGGTGGCTATTGTGCCTCCTATGGTGCAAATGTATCTCGACTGGTGGCTAATGTGTCTCCTATGGTGGCTTATGTATCTCGAATGGTGGCTAATGTGTCTCCAACGGTGGCTAATGTATCTCGACTGGAAGGTAATGTGTCTTCACTGGTGACTAATGTGTCTCCTTTTGTGGCTAATGTGTCTTCACTGGTGGCTAATGTGTCTCCTATGGTGGCAAATGTGTCGTCACTGGTGGCTAATGTGTCTACTATGGTGGCAAATGTGTCACTGGTGGCTAATGTGTCTCCCTATGTGGCAAATGTGTCGTCACTGGTGTCGTCACTGGTGGCTAATGTGTCTTCACTGGTGACTAATGTGTCTCCTATGGTGGCAAATGTATCTCTAATGGTGGCTAATGTATCTCGACTGGTGACAAATGTATCTCGACTGGAATGTAATGTGTCTTCACTGGTGGCTAATGTATCTCTAATGGTGGCTAATGTATCTCCTATGGTGGTTGATGTTTCTCGACTTGTGGCTAATGTATCTCGACTGGAATGTAATGTGTCTTCACTGGTGGCTTATGTGTCTTCACTGGTGGCTTATGTATCTCGACTGGTGGCTAATGTGTCTCCTATTGTGGCTAATGTATCTCGACTGGAAGGTAATGAGTCTTCACTGGTGGCTATTGTGCCTCCTATGGTGCAAATGTATCTCGACTGGTGGCTAATGTGTCTCCTATGGTGGCTTATGTATCTCGAATGGTGGCTAATGTGTCTCCAACGGTGGCTAATGTATCTCGACTGGAAGGTAATGTTTCTTCACTGCTGGCTTATGTATCTCGATTGGTGGCTAATGTGTCTCCAACGGTGGCTAATGTATCTCGACTGGAAGGTAATGTGTCTTCACTGGTGGCTTATGTATCTCGACTGGTGGCTAATGTGTGTCTTCACTGGTGGCTAATGTGTCTCATATGGTGGCTAATGTATCTCTAATGATGGCTAATGTATCTCGACTGGAATGTAATGTGTCTTCACTGGTGGCTAATGTGTCTTCACTGGTGGCTAATGCATCTCTAATGGCGGCTAGTGTGTCTCATATGGTGGCAAATGTATCTCGGCAGGTTGCTAATGTGTCTTCACTGGTGGCTAATGTATCTCTAATGGTGGCTAATATATCTCCTATGGTGGCTGATGTATCTCGACTGGAATGTAATGTGTCTTCACTGGTGGCTAATGTGTCTTCACTGGTGCCTAATGTGTCTCCTATGGTGGCAAATGTATCTCGGCTGGTGGCTAATGTGTCTTCACTGGTGGCTAATGTATCTCTAATGGTGGCTAATGTATCTCTAATGGTGGCTAATGTATCTCCTATGGTGGCTGATGTGTCTTGACTGGTGGCTAATGTATCTCGACTGGAATGTAATGTGTCTTCACTGGTGGCTAATGTGTCTCCTATGGTTGCTAATGAGTCTCCAATGGTTGCTAATGTATCTCCAATGGTGGCTAATGTGTCTCCAATTTTGGCAAATGTGTCTTCGCTGGTGGCTTATGTGTCTCCAATGGTGGCTAATGTATCTCGACTGGTAGCTAATGTGTCGTCACTGGTGGCTAATGTGTCTCCTATGGTTGCTAATGTGTCTCCAATTGTGGCTAATGTGTCTTCGCTGGTGGCCAACGTGTCTCCAATGGTTGCTAATGTGTCTCCACTGGTGGCTAATGTGTCTCCACTGGTGTCAGATGTGCAGCCGGTGGATACTGGATAACACAAACGGTCCAGCCATACTGGATAACACAAACGGTCCAGCCACACGTGGATGTTGGATAGTGAAAGCCAGGCAGCCCATACAAGCCATTGGATAGTTGTTAGTACAAACGGGGCAGCGCATACAAGCCATTGGATAGTTGTTAGTACAAACGGGGCAGCGCATACAAGCCAATGGATAGTTGTTAGTACAAACGGGGCAGCGCATAACATCCGTTGAACATTGGATAGTAAAAGCAGTGCAGACCCTAGCGACCAGTGGACATTGGCAACTACAAACGGTGCAACGCTTAGGATACTATGTTGGACCGTAACCAGGGAGGTGCACAGCAACAACTGAATGTCGGGTAGTAACAGTTTTGCAATACGTAACTATGACTTAGCAGCTAACACACACCAAGCAAAACTCAATAGCACTCAGTCAGTCACACTGTGTATCGCAAATACAAAACTTTGCGTAAAAACACTACCTACCTGTAAACCTATGCAGATCCAATGAAGTCTCTTCTCGACACTTACCGTCGGGTCATCTACATGTAAGTTGACGTGTATGAGCTAGGATGTTTACCGTGGGCAAGACCTGGCTCTTACACCCCTTTGATACCCGCACGGTCACTAAACAGTTAATGACTGACGTACGTTTAGATTTCCTGAATACATTCAGAAGAACTTTGTTCAGAATAAACCCGAGGTAGCAATCAGGCTGTTTAGGTAGACGAAAACAAATGTTTGTCAATTCCGTGGTGACAAATGTCAACAAATATTTTTGACTGATCTGTTTATGGCTCACAAGCCGACTTTATTTCTCCAATTCATATAGCTTCTTACCTTGAATTGGTCAACTTTTCCGTAGTACATGTTCTTTGAGTTTTTATTTGAGTTTAAATGACAACAAAATGTCTGATGCAGTTACA